TCTAACGAATTACTTTAACAATTTAAGTAATTTCTTTTTGTACAATATTACTACTTTTCTCTAATATCAGGCGTTTATTTTGCTGCCTTCTATCATTGTAAATAATTATTAAACACTGACAGCTGTCCTTTTATAATTCTGAAAAACTTTTGAATAAATTACAAAATTATATTATTGCACTGTAATGTATAAATTAAATATCACAAGGAAAACTAGACACAGATATTGCAAAACTTTTGAACGAACTGGTCGATTTCTGAACAATTTATTGATTCCTACAAAGAACTCTATCTTCTTTCCAGTGTTATCATTAAATACATGAAGATAACAAATGTACAGACACATTCAAAATTCTGTAATTTCCTTTTGCTTTGTTTGTTAAAAATAATCATGCGTAAGCATATTTAATTTGTAATTTGATGAAATTTAAGACACCGCAAATATTAAAGACGATAATGATTTAAATATAAAGCCCCAAAAATAAATAGCAGAGCAATAACAAAATTTGAAAATAAACTTTTATGAAATTATAAGGAAAAGTCATTTAATCGTGTTATAAATACAGCAAAAAAATTATAAAATGAAGATGATAAAAATAAAAGTTTGAATTTAAGAAGTAATTAAAATGTACATGAGCAATTTATAAAAAATTATTCAATATGTTTCCTGTTTTCTTTTTATAGACTGTACTATTGTAATTACAGCGTACGTGTTTACATCAAGATTAAAGTAAGTGTTTTGTGATATGATGCAACTTAATCGCCACAATTTCAATAGTTTTTACTACTTTCTAAAGTTTGTTGTATAAAATTTATACAATACATGTAGCTGTTTAAGATAACTTAAAGAATAAAGATTATTTAAAAACTCACCGTGATGTAGTATACAATTTTTGGTTTCCACTCGGGAAACCACAATGATCACCAAAAGATGACGCTATTCAAATCCTGCAAATATAAGAAAAATTATACACATGTTTTAGTAACAACTCTTTATAAGATTATTTATTAAAATCTAAGTCATACATATATGAATTAATATCTTTATTCATATTTCTTATGAATTATATAATACCAAAAATAACTTGATATTAGAATGAGAAGCAGTTTCAAAGGCAAAGAATATTTATATCATTCTAAATCAAGTATAAACTGTATGGAAATATTGCAAACATAAAGTACACTAAAAAATCTGATTAATTCCTATTTTAGTATCCGACAAACAGGCTTTAAATCTAAACAATTAGTTTTTCGCTTAATGATAAAGTTTCAAGTTAGAAAATTAGCAACATTTTAATTTGAAAATTTCAAATTTAATAATATTAAGCTGTAACAAATAGTTTAGCATTGCATTAATATTACAAATTCATACAACAATATTTAGATGACTCTATTTGTCTTAAAAAAATTAAATTATATAAAAGAATTCTTTGTATGCGAGAACAAAAATGATAAGTAATATTAAGGGGATCATTTTGTATATACTTTAATCTTTAACACATTACAAATTTTGATAAGCTCTTACAGAACATGATAACCAAAATTATTCTTCGTACAATTTTTGTTTTTACAAAAAAACAGTGAATAAATAATATCAATGCACAGTAAACCTTACATTATATTTGAATCAAATCAAATTTAAAAAGTTATTTCAAAGGAAGGTTAACTCAATAAAGACTATAGTTAATTCTCAAATTCTGCCATGTAGCATTTGGGCACAAAAATCAGAACATCTTTCCATTGTAATGGAGTTTTTGAAATACCAGAAAAAGCGTCATAATTAACAAAAAGTTTACGATATTCGTGATTAGACGAGAAAATGAAATTCGAGGACAATGTATCGATTGAGTCGTCCGCAGTAACCTTTCGTATCGAGGTTAAAAACAACGATCATAATTTTTCCATTGATTTTTATTCTTCAATGATTTTCGTACCCATTTTACATACTTTCTCAAAGAAATTATTAACAAAGAAAAAGTATATCGGAAATACAAAGGAACCGAATGAAAAACAAATATCTGACTCACCTGTCTTTCTGACATTTTCTGTTTGTGTCACATAATTGTCAATATTCTGGAATTATCCGTGTGCTTTCGTCAAAGATTTCTCACACTTGTCACGACAAATCGAAGAGAAAATTTTTCTAAAGGAATTATTTTACAAAGAATATTCGTGCGACCATGACGGCCCAAGCAGTCCGAAGCTACGAAGACGATCATATACCGGGTGACGAAATTTATTTGAATTTACGTTATAACGGGATGTTGAGAAAATCTATATTCATAGAAGATTTTTTTCTTCGCTATATTCCATTATTTGTTACACATATGCTTCTTAGCATTTCTTTTAAAGCAATATAAAAGAGTTTACAATTTCGACAAATAATTAATTTTCTATTGTGCTTGATCCATTAGTCGAAGGTACTCTGTCGCCCGCGAATGACACCAAATCTTTCGTCTAACGAAATCATTCAATTTATAGAAATGTATTCAAATTTATCTTGGTTCCCTTATTACTAATTAAATATATTTGTCTATTCACCTGCTTGGATCACGCATATTTTTCTCTTCCTATTTGTATTTTTACTACATCCTAGAATGATCATTATCTCTATGATTTCCATTGAAAGATAGTGCTCTTCTTCACCTTCTCCCTTCAGCGTCCTTTTCACTCTCATCCATGAACCATGTTTCGTTCAAGGATGGGCTAAGTCTTTTAAAACCGTTAGAGTTTTTAAAAGCTTGAATGTCTTGCCGTTTATATGAATTGGGACAAATTTTCAGGACATTTTCTCAGGAGGCACGATTCGATATCCCAACTTTCTCTATAGCTGTAAATTTGTAGCGTTTAGGCAATACGTATCGTCACCAATTGAGCTCTAGTCTGTATCGGAACAGAATTAAATAAGGATTTCATTATTTTCGTAAGTGTTGTACGAATGATTTAAAATTTTTTTTAAAGAAAGCAACGAATTCAGGTGGAACCCGATATATCTCGAACAGCAGAATCAAATTATAAGATTATAAAAAGAACTTAATTTTTATTGAAAAAAACTATATTATACAAATAAACAGTTTTGTTTGGTAACCTTTGACTTCTTCCTTTATCTCTTAGAATCTTTTTCTCAATCTTACAAGAGCAACTAGGTGGCGCCATATGTCTGTCGATAAAGAAGCTGAGCATTATGCTGTCATAAATTACATTTGGTACCCCCTTCGTACCTAAGATTTCTTTCGTACAAGAATACTAGTATACGAGACATATAAACATATAATAATATTGAAAATTTTGTTACAAATTGTCTATTAAAATATACAAATAAAACATATATCTATTGTTCTCTTTTTGGCATACCTACGTCTGTATCCAATTTCCCGCCAATTTTCATTATTAACGTAAATCTATGTTAAATTTTAGAAATAACTGTATATAAAGAAAGTAATTGAAAAATAGAATAATACACAATAAACAAATAACAGTATAGTTAGTAACATTATGTGGCTTAGATTTGTTACTAGCAACTAACCGTAGCGAAAAAAGTGAGGTTATTGTATTTATATACAATATTATAATATTTATAGACAATTGTATTTATCGACTCATGCCAAACACATTTAAGAAAGAGATTGATGACCCTCTAATAAAAAATTACAAAGATCTTACTATGTATTATCAAATATCATTACCATCGTTACAGCCTTATTTATACGTATAACATTTCTTCGAGACATTAACCGTATTCAACATAATTTTCTTTAAATAAAGGTAACGTTATTATATCAAGAAATAGCAAAAAATTTACAAAGAAATGCAAAATAAAATTTGCTCAAACAAAATAATTAATGCATGACATTATTTTTAGTAATTTTATTTTAATCATAATTTGATACGATGAAAATAGTTTGTTTTTATTAAATATAATTTAATGCTGTTTGTACACACACACCAAATAGTAAAAAATGTAATTAAACGGAATCTTTTATATAAAATCATTTTTACACGACAGATGTATTGTCGTGCACGATTCGATTTCGATTGTGTCGGTGTGTGTGCAAACGGCCTAAAGATTGTATTATAAATATACTCTTTATCTTCACTTTAATATAATTATTACTAAACAAAACAAATTAGCATTTTATTATACAAAGTACATTCTGCTTTCACAAAACCAATATATTTTATTGAATTACTATGTTATTACTTATCATATATCATACATATATACATGTAATACTCTTTAAATAATATAATTAATTGTAGAGTCATGAATAGAAAGAAGTACGATAAAAATTTTACTGAAATACCATGGATACCATCGGTCAAATTGGCACAGGAACCATCAGAATTATTACTATCTCCACAAATGGTAAAAAGACAAAAATTTTTAAGAGACCATTCTTGGACAAAGATGACCTCAAAGGAATATTCGTACAGATATACAAAATTGCCGGATGATATTGGAAGTATATTTACATCAACAATGTACCAACTTAGCAAAAGAAATTCAACAAAACAAAGAATACGTCTGAAAAAGAGTTCTACTTTCAAACAGAAACTTGATTATCCACCTTTGGAATATTATAAAAATTACAAAGATAATATACAACTTAAAGCTACAAAGGAGAATGCGCATTTTTCACCAAGCAACGTTGTTAGTTTGAAAGATTTAGCTGATGGTACATGGTTGTGGAAAAAAGTTCAAAAACAAGTTAATGAAAGGTTCAAAAGAGTTGGAAAGATTAAGAAATTGAATAAAACTCTGCAAGAAAGCAAGGTAATACGCTTTTAGTACTCGTAGAAACAGAATCTAAAGAAAATGTGCTACGTAAACTATTATTAGAAGTAACAGAAACAGAGAAAAGTAACAAAGATATACACAACTTTAATGATTTTAAAGTATAAGTTTAATAAAAAATTGTACACATTTCTTGTTTAGCGAATGATCATAATAACTGGTATATTCAAAACAATAAAATAGGCAGGAAGGCCATTGTGCTGGATCTTAATATTCATAAGGACCTTAATGTTTTTTAACAAAATTTCATCTGGGCTTCTTAAAATTAATTCTTCGTGTTATTATACGAAATGTAAATTACAGGCACTCCAGCAAATTGAAGCAGAAATTCCAATGTCAATTGAAGAACAAAGGGATGTTCTTTTGAAAGCGATCAATAAAAGGCAAAACCAACTCGTTACCAGAGAAAGTAATGAGATTCTTTGTTTAAGCGGTGATGGTATTGCAGAATATGAATTAAGTAGTTACGATACCAGTCATTTTAAAGAAGCGAAAAAACGTATTACCGGTGAATTACGAAAACGAGAAGAGTGAGTTTGCAAAGTATCGTATATTACTTTTAAAACACGTATAGTACATATTAATATTCTATTAGATAATTATATTTCCAGTTTCGACGAACATTTAGAACACCTGGAGTTGGAAATTATTGAGATATATAAACAAGTTCTTCGGTTCACTATACACGACTGTATTCTTCTGGATGTTGATGAACGAAAAAGATTGCTTATAGAAAAATCGTTTATGGAATACCCGGTTTTAATTATACGCGCTCCTCTTCCATGGCATCAATCTAAACTGTTGTCACAGAATTTTATGCAACATAACCTATTTATTGGCAACGCGATCTTGAGAGATATTCAAAATTTATATTTCTTCAAGTAAGATATACACTATTATGCCAATTATTTCTAAGAAACTATTTATTAAAGTTATCTCTCTTGCTCTACTGTTAACAAAATCTTGAATGCCACGTTCGAAGTCTGTTTTGTCTATCAATTGTTGTTCTGTAGACACTATGGTACGATTTGCTCACAGTAAATCTTAGGTAATATTTTGTCCTTCAATTTCCAAGATCATACCTTCAAATAAACTGCAATAAAACTTATTAACCTTACAAATTTAAAAGACAATTTTGCAACGATGAAAATGTTCGTTCAACGAGAATCTGTGATCTGTGATCTGTGATCTGTGATCTGTGATCTGTGATCGACTGTCATTGGTTCGCCTATATTCAATGTTTGAAACGTTAAAAAAAAAATCAACTTCGTCACTCATAAGTTTGCAATATAAATATATGTACAGTTTCACAAGTAGTGATAAAATTTGCCCAATTCTGCTATTTAATCACTTAAGCAAGTCAGTTAGGGGTTAATCGTAGGATTAGCATTTTACAGCAAACAAGATGGCCGTCAATTTTGAGTGTTTCCCTTCGTAAACAATTCATTTTTCAGATATCAAGATACAATGATACTCAACATTCAAGATATCGGGGAACTTCCTATCTCAGCGTTCCAAATAGAATCTAAAATAAATTTGTTATGCGATAAAGCAAAAAATAAACTTATCAACGAATGGTTGGCTGATATTGCTGAAATTTTTCTGGAAAAAAATTACGCTTGGTCTTGCCTCGTCGAGGAGCACTATAACGCATCCACGACACTGATCGAAAGATACTTTTTAAGTGTAAATACTCTTGTATCCAGACAATTACGAATGATCGTAATGAAAACGCTGAATCATATCAGAGACTTTTTTATGGAGTATAGTAGCGGGAATAATTTCGTGGGTAATTACAAAGATCTTATGTTCTTCAAGTAAGTTATTTCTCTCATTTGGTCGGAAGTGTTGCTAGTATTATTCACTACTGGTGTATTTTAGATTACCTTTTATAACAATAATAGTCGAACCAGAGATTGGTACGCCGTATTTACATTGCAAACCGAGTATCTCGGAAATGCGTACAACAATTTCCCGATGCATCGATAAAATCATTACAGTCGCAACTATAATTCCGAGAATCGAGACTATTTTATTCCCTGAACTGAACAAGAAGGATTTCTTGTTTTCTGTGTCACGAGACGAAGAAGAGGCGAGTACAATATTAAACTTTTTCTGCATCGGGAATCCCCCAAAAACAAATGAAAATCTTGCAACAGAAGAATATTATTTGCACCATAAATGTATTATTTAATAAATGTTACAGATTTCACAGATAATCACTGATATTCTAGACGTTATTAATACTCATACAATGGGCCCACAAATTTATTTAAAGTGTTATGAAAATTTATCATACATCGTAGACGGACAAGCTAAACAAAGTTTAGACAAATTTTTTATGTCAGAGCCAATACCTCTTCTACACGAATTTGAACAAAAAATAAAGGACTACGATAGTCTTAGAAAAAATATTTCCATATTTCGTAATAAGGTAATCGCGTAAACAAAAATTGCTTAGGTACATTGCAATAATATATCGTTCGTAATAATTTATTTTAGGTTCCTTTGAATATGATAGAAATCGATTGTACACTCGTAAACGATACGATAAGACAAATCCTTTACGAACTTCGCAGCCAAATCTGCGATTTCTTCGCGAACGAATTACGGTCAAATAATCGTGATTTATGCTCGAACTTCGACACGATAGCGGAGAACATATCAAAGATGCCAGAAAAAACGGAGGACGTTGTCGAACTGTACAACTATTTATGCGAAAGCCGAGACTCGACCATGTTTAACATGAGAAGACAATTGGCGCGTTCTATAGAGCTATTGTTGTTCCTTTTCGATTACGAACCGCCGACAAACGAGGACATCCAGTTGAATTCACGTACCATCACGTGGCCGAAAGAAATGGAGACCGTCATGGAGTTAGCCCATACCAGATTAAACATGAGAAAAGAATTCCTCGAGGAAGTGCTGCGTATAAAGAAAGACAATTTCGAGCAAAAGATAGAAAACATGCAGTCAGCGATCGATCAATTCAAGAAGAAAGATCCACCGGTATTAACGATCGAAGTGATGCAGGAAGCAACGAAGGAGGTCGAGCATCTTTCTAAAGGAATGGAGGAAATCAGGAAGGAAGCTGAAGAGATAAACGTGGAAGAGTCTCTGTTGGATATAGAATTAAGTCCGTATTTACCGTTGCCCACGATGTCCGCTATGGTCAACACATTGGATGATGTTTGGCACACGGCGTTAGACTTTCACATAAATTACGAAAAATGGTACTACGGTCCGTTTGCGGGCCTCGACGCGGATGCAATTCACGAGACAACGGAAAACATTTGGCGAACATTGTACAGATTTTCACGCGTACTGACCGATGTTCCAGGTGCAAGGCGAATCGTAGAAACGGTTCGCGGAAAAGTAGAGAAATTCAGGCAGCTTGTGCCGGTATTGCAAATCATTTGCACGCCCGGATTGCAAAAACGGCATTGGGAGCAGATCAGTAAAATAGTTAACGTGGAGATAGTACCCACGGACACCAGCAACCTTTCTGATATGATAGCGTTTGGTTTACCGATTCATGTAAGCAAACTGGAAGAAGTGACGTCCGCCGCTGTGAAGGAACACGCTCTCCAGCAGAACTTGCTGAAGATGAAGGAGGAATGGTCCGAAATCGTGTTCGAATTAACGCCGTACCGCGAGACAGGCGTTTTCATATTAACAGCCGTGGATGATATTCAAGTGTTGCTGGACGATCACACTTTGAAAGCTCAGACAATGCGTAGCTCGCCTTTCGTGAAGGCTTTCGATTCGGAGATGCAAGAATGGGAGGACAAGCTGCTTTTGATGCAGGACATTATCGACCAATGGCTGACCTGCCAGTCGACGTGGATGTACTTGGAGCCGATTTTCAGCAGCGAGGATATCATGCGTCAAATGCCCACCGAGGCACAGAATTTTCGAAGGATGGACAAGATCTGGCGCGGTATCATGACGTACGTTGCTAACAACAGACGAGTACTCGATGCCACCGCTATGCCAAAGATGCTGCAAGAATTCCAACTCTGTAACACGTTGTTGGACGTAATACAGAAAGGCTTGAACGATTATCTGGAGAAGAAACGCCTGTTCTTTCCAAGATTCTTCTTCCTGTCGAACGACGAGCTCTTGGAAATACTGTCGGAAACCAAAGACCCCCAAAGGGTGCAGCCACACTTGAAGAAATGCTTCGAAGGTATAAGCAAGCTACGGTTTACCAACGATGAAGAGATCATTGGAATGATATCGGATCAAGAGGAATACGTTCCCCTCAGCGGAAAGATCTATCCAGCCGATGCGAAGGGCATGGTCGAGAAATGGTTGAGTCAAGTCGAGAAACTCATGGTGACTTCTCTTCGCGATATCGCCGAGGACAGCATAATCGCGTATTTCACCACCGTTAGGGAGGAATGGATATTCTCCTGGCCTAGTCAAATAGTAATTTGCGGCAGTCAGATACATTGGACCAGCGAGGTTTGCGAGTCGTTCGAAGATCATTCCACCGCGGAGTATTTGGAGAAATGCAATACGCAAATAGAGAACGCTGTAGCCCTGGTGAGAGGTAAATTAGACTCGGGTATAAGAATAACGATAAACGCTCTGATCGTGATGGACGTGCATGGGCGCGACGTGGTGCGATTGCTCATCGACAAGAACGTGACCAACGTTATGGAGTTTGATTGGATATCGCAATTGAGATATTATTGGTTGGATAATAGCATTACCGTGTCGATCATTACAACCAATGTGGCGTATGCGTTCGAATACCTTGGGAATACACAGAGATTGGTAATAACGCCGTTGACCGATCGTTGCTACAGAACCCTAATGGGCGCGTTGAAGCTAAATTTTGGCGGCTCTCCGGAAGGTCCAGCCGGAACCGGCAAAACGGAAACTGCAAAAGATCTCGCGAAAGCCGTGGCCAAGCATTGCGTGGTCTTCAACTGTTCGGACGGTCTCGATTACCTAGCAATGGGTAAATTCTTCAAAGGTCTCGCGCAATCCGGTGCCTGGTCCTGTTTCGACGAGTTCAACAGAATCGAGTTGGAGGTACTCTCGGTAATTGCACAGCAAATTCTATCCATACAAATGGCTATAAGCATGAAGTCGGAGAAATTTCTGTTCGAAGGCACGGAGATCAAATTGAACCCTACGTGTTATATTATCATAACGATGAATCCCGGTTACGCCGGTCGCCAAGAGCTTCCCGACAATCTGAAAGTCTTGTTCCGTTCCGTGGCGATGATGGTACCGGACTACGCCATGATAGGAGAGATTACTTTGTATTCCCTTGGTTTTATAGACGCGAAGAACCTGGCGGAGAAAATAGTTCACACGTACAAATTGTGCTCGGAGCAATTGAGCTCGCAGAATCACTACGATTACGGTATGCGAGCTGTTAAGACCGTGCTCGTCGCCGCTGGAAATTTAAAATTGAAATACCCGACTCAGGACGAGTCTATGCTGATCCTACGAGCGATCATCGACGTGAATCTCCCGAAATTCTTGTCGCAGGACGTTCCGCTTTTCACCGGGATCTACACGGATCTTTTCCCGGGCGTTGATCTGCCGCAGACGGACCGCGACGAACTGGTAGACCTGTTGAAGATCGTTTTAGGAGACCGAAATCTGATAGCCACGGTCTGGTACGTGGAGAAAATAGTTCAAATATACGAGATGCTGCTGGTGCGACACGGATTGATGATCGTGGGGCACACGCTGAGCGGGAAAACGAAAGCGTATCAAGTTCTGGCGGACGCTCTGGGCGATCTGGCTGGCAAAAGACGAGCAGTTTTGAGGGAGTTTCAAACCGTTTACAAGATAATCAATCCAAAAGCTATTACTCTGGATCAGCTTTACGGCAGCTTCAATCCGGTCTCTCACGAATGGAGCGACGGCGTTTTGGCGAATATCTTTCGAGAATTCGCGCAATCTTTCTCCGTAGATCGTAAATGGATTATATTCGATGGCCCTATCGACGCCGTATGGATCGAGAGCATGAACACGGTGCTCGACGACAATAAGAAACTTTGTCTGATGTCGGGAGAAATTATATCGATGTCGAACAAGATGAACATGATATTCGAGCCGGCTGATTTGGATCACGCGTCGCCGGCCACTGTCAGCAGATGCGGAATGATCTACATGGAGCCGTCCCAGCTAGGCTGGAATCCATTCTTCGAATCGTACAAAAAATATCTCAGAGACAAGTTGCTCTTCGAGCAATACGAGCTTGTCACAGAACTGATAGACTGGTTGATAGAGCCAATTTTATTTTTTATGAGACTCTATTGTAAAACGTTTATAGAAATGTCGGACCTTCATATGTTCCTGGTAAACAATTGTATACAAATGTTAATTAATAGACGCGTCAGTTAAAAATGTTGATTAATCGTTCTTTTTTTTTTAAACTTCTTGTTTCAGTCTTTTACAAGACTTTTCACCTCCATGTTAGACGGAGAGACGCAAGTTAGTACAGTCTGGCTCCAATGCATTCTGTTGTTCAGTATAGTTTGGGGAATGTGTTCCACATTAGCGAACGAGAGCAGAAAGGCTTTCGATGTTTATCTAAGAAAATTATTACTCGGTAACGTAGACGAGCATCCAAAACCGAAAGCGTTTAAATTGACGAAGCAACAACTCTTTCCTGAGAAGGGGACAGTTTTCGAGTGGATATACGACAAAAGAAACAATGGTTGCTGGATATCATGGATGGATACTACGCTACAGGTATCGTTTAGCAGTTTAAAAAGTATCACAATAATACCATAACAAAAGTTTGATATTTATTTCTATGTAGACGAGCTTGTTAACCGACAGGAAATCTAGTCGACTGATTATACCAACGACCGAAGTAATGATCCAGCATTTCTTTTTGACGAGTCTGCTTCATAGAACGATACCTGTTCTATTCGTGGGGCCCACCGGCACCGGGAAATCTGTTATTATTCTGGATTATTTGGAATCCTTGGACAGAGAGAAATACATCGAAAATGTTATAAACTTCAGTGCTTGTACCACTGCTTCCCAAACGCAAGAGATGGTCATGTCGAAGTTAGATCGTAGAAGAAAGGGTGTTTACGGTCCACCGATGGGGAAGAAATGTATACTCTTTGTCGATGATTTAAGCGTTCCACAGAAAGAGATCTACGGGGCTCAGCCGCCGATAGAACTGATTCGTCAATGGATAGATCATGGGCATTGGTTCGACGTAAACGATACCTCGATTATAAATTTGGTGGACATGTTTTTGATATCCGCTATGTTACCACCCGGAGGAAGTTCGAACGAGGTCACGCCTAGATTGATTCGACACACGCACGTAATTGGCATCGATCTGTTCGAGGAAACGACAATGACGCAAATTTTCTCCGCGATCCTCGAGTCGCACTTCGCGAAAGGATTTATCCCGGAAGTATCGAGACTCGGGAAAATGGTCGTCCAAGCCACCATGGAGGTATATTTCGCTGCAATAAAAAATTTTCTGCCCACCCCAGCGAAAAGTCATTACACCTTTAATTTGCGTGATTTTAATCGAGTCATCAAAGGTATACTTCTGGTACCGGCCACCAGAATGCCGGATCCGGACAAATTAATCAGACTCTGGATACACGAGGTGTACAGAGTGTTCCACGACAGACTGGTGAACGACGACGATCAACAAGTTTTGTTCAAAATGGTCCAGTACACGTGTTACAATCAATTGCGACAACCGTTGGAAAAAGTACTCGCTAGATTCTTGAAAGAGGATGAGAAAGAAATCAACAGCTCTCATATTCGTGATCTGTTCTTCGGCAACTATATCGAGCCCGATGCTGATCCAAAAATATACGACGAGGTGACGAATTTGGAAGACTTGAGAAACAAAATGGATTATTATTTGATGGAGTATAATATGCTTTCGAGGACGACGATGTCTTTGGTTCTGTTCAGATATGCTATCGAGCATATCTCTCGTATTTCTAGAATACTGTTGCAAGAGAGTGGGCACGCACTTTTGGTAGGAATGGGCGGTTCGGGTAGGACCTCTTGCGCCAGATTAGCAACTAGCATGTGCGAATATATGATTCACGAGATTGAAATGACAAGAACCTATGGATTCACCGAGTGGCGAGAAGACATGAAGAATTTGTTATTGCGCGTGGGTTGCCAGGGAAAGTCCACCGTTTTCCTTTTCGGGGATCATCAGATAAAGCAAGAGACTTTCGTGGAAGATATAAACATGATTCTGAACACTGCTGACATACCGAATTTATACAACACCGAAGAGATGGCTGAGATTCTGGACAAAATGACTAATCTGATTCGCGAGACTGTTGGAAAAAGGGCCGAAACCACACCGATGATACTTTACAGCTTGTTCCTCGAAACGGTGGTGAAGAATTTACACCTGATTTTAACTATGTCGCCGATAGGAAACGCGTTTAGAAATCGCTTAAGAATGTTCCCGTCTCTGATAAACTGTTGCACCATCGATTGGTACACTATTTGGCCGGAAGATGCTTTGGAAAAGGTAGCACGAACGTCGTTGCAAAATTTGAACATCGATCCGAATTTGCGGGAGAAGTGTGTCCAGGTCTCCAAAGGATTTCACACGAGTATCTTTTTCGCCAGCGAAGATTACTACAAGACCCAAAACAGGAGGTATTACACCACGCCAACCAGTTTCCTGCAACTGATCAAACTGCTATGCAAATTGTACGATCAGAAAATTGACGAGATTACTTTGCAGCAAAATCGATACGAAACAGGCCTGGAGAAATTGGATTTCGCTGCTGGAGAGATAGCGGTTATGAAAGAAGAGTTGCAAGCGTTGCAACCGAAATTGTTGGCTCAATCCGAGTTGAGCAACAAACTGATGATCAAGATAGAACAAGACACGATTAACATAGAAGCTAGAAAGGAAGTTGTCGCTGCTGAAGAGGCTCTGGCGAACGAGGCAGCCGCTGCAGCACAGGCTATAAAAGACGACTGCGAAAGCGACTTGGCGGAAGCCACGCCCGCTTTGGAAGCCGCCTTGGCCGCTCTGGACACCTTGAAACCAGCGGACATCACTATCGTCAGGTCTATGAAGAGTCCACCGGCTGGCGTGAGACTGGTAATGGAAGCTGTTTGCGTGTTAAAAGGTGTCAAGCCTGAGAAAGTCCAAGACCCAGCAACCGGACAGGTCACGGAGGATTATTGGCCAGCCTCCATAAGGGTCCTCGGCGACATGAAGTTTCTCGACAGCTTGAGGAACTTCGACAAAGACAATATACCTGCGGCTTACATAAAAAGAATTCGTGACAAATTTATTAACGATAGAAGCTTTCAGCCGGAGGCCATCAAGAAAGTTTCCACCGCGTGCGAGGGTCTCTGCAAGTGGGTACGAGCCATAGAAGTTTACGATCGTGTGATCAAGGTTGTCAAGCCGAAGCAAGCGATGCTCGCGGAGGCAGAGGCCGCCCTTGCCGCGCAGATGGAAGCGTTGAACGCGAAACGTGCTCTTCTTCAAGAGGTCACGCAGAAATTGCAAACGCTCAACGACGAGTTCGCCGAATGCATGAGGGAGAAGAAGAAACTCGAAGATCAGATTGCCTATTGCATGCAGAAGCTCGAAAGGGCTGAGAAGCTATTAGGTGGTTTAAGCGGAGAGAAGAACAGATGGAGCAGTACAGCCGTAGCGTTAGGAGAGAGTCTTTATAATGTTATTGGGGACGTTTTACTGTCTTCGGGGGTGGTTGCTTATTTGGGAGCTTTCACGATTGAATATAGAAACAGTTTGATCGAGAAATGGCATTCCTCTTGCGTGGAGGCCGCGATTCCCTGCGGGTCAAAGTTCACCTTGATCGATGTTTTAGGAAGACAAGTGGAAATCAGAGCGTGGACTATTCATGGTTTACCAGCTGACAATTACTCCGTGGAAAATGGTATCATCGTTAAGAACTCCGATCGATGGCCGCTGATGATCGATCCCCAAAACCAGGCGAACAAGTGGGTAAAAAATATGGAGAGAGAAAATAAGTTGGTTGTCATTAAGCTATCCGATCCGAATTACGTTAAGATAGTGGAGACTGCTATACAGCTAGCCACGCCCGTTTTGTTGGAAAATATTTTAGAAGAGATAGACGCGATATTAGAACCTGTGCTTCTTAAAAATGTTTATAAAGAACGTGGCATCTTGTATATGAAGTTTGGAGAGAACGTTATCGAATACAATCCCGACTTTCGATTTTATATCACGACGCGCTTAAGAAATCCGCATTATTTGCCGGAGGTGGTGGTCAAAGTGAGTTTGTTGAACTTTATGATCACTCCCCAAGGGCTCGAGGATCAGCTGTTAGGTATCGTTGTCGCCAAAGAGCTGCCTGTTCTCGAAGAGCGAAAAAATCAATTGATAGTCGAAGGCGCGAACAACAGAAAGACACTCGAGGAGATCGAGGACAAAATTTTAGAGATTCTATCTACGTCGGAAGGTAATATTCTCGAGGATGAAACGGCGATAACGATACTATCGACCTCGAAGATAATATCGGAAGATATTCAAGCGAAACAAAAAATAGCTGCGAAAACAGCGATAGAGATCGACCACGCCCGTAACGGATACACGCCTGTTTCGGGACACGGTTCCGTTCTCTTCTTTTGCATCTCGGAGCTGACGAATATCGATCCCATGTATCAGTATTCTCTGGTATGGTTCATCCATCTTTACGTAATGGCTATAGCCAACAGCGAGCAGACTAAAAACTTAACGAATCGGATCAAAAGCTTGAACGAATACTTCACCGCCAGTATTTACAAAAACGTGTGCCGTTCTCTGTTCGAGAAAGACAAACTGATATTCTCCTTCATTTTGTGCATCGGTTTGTTGCGCGCCGCCGATAAAGTAGACGAGGATCTTTGGACGTTTTTATTAACGGGTGGCGTGGCTTTGGAGAATCCATATCCTAATCCCGACTCGTCCTGGTTGACGGATAGATCCTGGTCCGACGTGGTTAAAGCTTCGAACCTGCGTGGATTGGAAAAATTGAAGCAGTCTTTTCAGACGCGTACGTCGCAGTGGAAGACTTATTACGACTTGTCAGACCCTCAAGACAACCCTTTCCCGTCTCCATTTCACGAGGAGGCCGAGGGTCTAAGGAAACTGGTAATACTAAGGTGTATAAGGCCGGATAAAATTGTGGTCGCTGTACGGATGTTTATCATACATCACATTGGCAAATTTTTCGTCGAACCTCCAACGTTCGATCTTCAAGCATCTTATAACGATTCTAGTAACGTAACGCCTCTCATTTTTATTCTTTCCCCTGGATCCGATCCGATGGCAGGATTGATAAGATTCGCAGAGAATTATGGTATATCCAAGAAGAATCTGATGACCATATCGCTTGGACAAGGACAAGGTCCGATAGCGGCGCACATGATCAATTTAGGATTGCAAAGCGGCGAGTGGGTGGTACTTCAGAATTGCCATTTGGCAATCTCGTGGATGAATGAACTGGACAGAATTTGCGACGAGATAATTATACCCGAAACCACGCATCCTAAATTTCGATTATGGCTGACCAGTTACCCGTCGCAGGACTTTCCAATCTCTGTTCTGCAAAACGGAGTCAAGATGACCAACGAGCCACCAAAGGGGCTGAAAAATAATTTATTGCGAAGCTATCTCAACGATCCAATATCGGATAAGAAGTTTTATAACAGCTGTAACAAGATATTTGAATGGAGAAACCTACTTTTCGCTTTATGCTTCTTTCACGCGGTCGTTCAAGAAAGACGGAATTTTGGACCATTAGGATGGAACATACCTTATGAATTTAACGAATCAGACCTACGCATTAGTATTTTACAATTACAGGTAACATTGAGTAATAGTTTTGTTCTTTGTATAGAAATTATGCAGGTTTTGTTCTACGAATTAAATATAATCTGTGAAAGGGTTAATTTATAGTGTAAAAAGATGAATGTGATCAGCCAGAGAGTTAATTTAAAATGGAAAACCTGTATTAATCTATCAAGTTCTGTTATAGATCATTACAAAAAGTGATTTTCTGAAATTGATATACAGGGTGTTCGACCACCCCTGGGAAAAATTGTAATGGGAGATTCTAAAGACCAAAATAGAACGAAAATCAAGAATACCAATTTGTTGATGGAGGCTTCGTTAAAAAGTTATTAACATTCAAAGTTCCGGCCGTTCTGAATTTTTTTCTCGAAAGTGCGTAGGATTTCGGGGGTATGTCTATTCACCAAAAATTATTGTAATTTACCCCCACAACTGAAAATATTTTTTTTATAACGATTTGAAATTTTCTAATTTTGTCGAAAAATTTCACACCTCGAATTTTTTTCTCGAAAACGCGCAGTATTTCGGGGGTATGTCTATTCACCAAAAATGATTGTAATTTACCCCCGCAAATGAAAATATTTTTTTTAGAACGATTTGAAATTTTTTAATTTTGTCGAAAAATTGCAAAACTTCTCGAATTTTTTTCTCGAAAATGGATAGGATTTTGGAGGTATGTGTAATGACCAAAAATGATGGTAATTGACCCCCGCAACCGAAAATATTTTTTCCAGAACGATTTGAAATTTTTTTTTTCACCGAAAAATTTAGGCATCTACACCCTGTCGATTTTTCTTAAAACTTCGTTTTTCATTTTTAATAATTTTGTATGACGCTCTATAGAAAAGTTGCCTAATACTTTTTTGGAGGTATCGATGGGCTCTACTTCAGAAAAAAGTTTCATTGAATTATATTCACTATTGTAGGAGTTATAGCTGTTTGAAAATTGGAGAATTTTTATAGGGTTTTTCTCACTTTACGCGGTCAAGGAACAACTTTTTCAATATTGTTAGAATCTCTACATATTCTACGCTAAAAAACGCGTTGTTTGCCGTTTGAAACATTAAAATCGTCCAATCCGTTCAGAAGTTATGACGTTTCAAAAATACGCAGAGGGATTTCGGGAACACATTTCTGGCCTCACATCATATTTTCGGTAATGAATTTTTTTCTCGAAAACGCGCAGGATTTCGGGGGTATGTCTATTCACCAAAAATTATTATAATTGACCCCTGCAACCGAAAATAATTTTTTTAAAACGATTTGAAATTTGTAATTTAATTTTTTAATAACGTTTTAACGAAGCCTCGATCGATAAATTGATATTCTTCATTTTCGTCTTATTTTGGCTTCTAGAATCTCGCATTAAAATTTTTCCCAGGGTTGACCAAATTTATGATAACTTATGACTTAATATTTATAACATATGATATGAATATTTTCTATTTCACTTTTTATTTTTCTTAGCTTTTCTTAAATGATTATGACGAAGTACCTTTCGACGCGCTTCTCTATATAACGGGCGAATGCAATTATGGTGGTCGTGTGACCGACGATAAAGACAGACGTTTGTTAAATTCGTTGCTTCAGCAATATTATAATCCTGAAATTATCACTAACCAAGAGTAAGTTTCATTATTATCTTAGTACATAAGATATTACATACACCAAGTACCAAAATTAAACAAGGTACAGAGGAGTACCTTTGCTCATTTTAAGACAAAACCTCTACTTTTTTTATCCTGAATTGAATTTTTCAAAGGCGCTTTTATACTCTGATGAAGTCCTTTCCTCCAAAAATTTTCCGAATTCAAACGATTCTATGGAGTTTAATACATTTTGTTCGCGATTCGTTTTACAGTGAGCTTAACACTTTACCGACCGGTAGCGGTTGATTAATCGGCTATCGGTCGGTAAAAAAGTTGATTAATACGCTATCGGTCGGTAAGTGTTGGCCGGTAAAAAAGTCGATTAATAGGCTATCGGTCGGTAATGTGTTAAAATGAGAAGCCTCCCCTTTACAATGACCTCCTAAAAATTGTTGTACGATTCTTTGTTGCCGAGTTATCGTACTTTGAATGGAAAGTGGCGCGTTAGATGATCCTAACACTTTCCAAAAAATTTAATTATCCTATATTCTTTGATACAGGTACTGTTTTTCGCCAAGTTGTATGTACCGTATGCCACCGACTACAGATTATCAAGGATGCTTGGACTATATTCGCAGCTTGCCGATGGACCAGCCACCAGAAGTTTATGGTTTACACGAGAACGCAGATATAACGAAAGATAATCAAGAATCAACGTACTTGCTCGAAGGTGCTCTATTGACCCAACCGCACATCACCGGAGTAGGAGTCGAAAGAGACACCGACGAAATAGTTTTCAGTTTATGCAATGATATCCTATCGAAAATGCGATTAGAATTCAACGTTTTGGAAGTATCGAAGAAGTACCCGGTACTGTACATGAACAGCATGAACACGGTTCTCCGACAAGAGATCATTCGATACAATAAGCTCATTCTCGTGATCAAAGACACTTTGGCAAATGTACAAAAAGCTATCAAGGGTTTGGTTCTAATGTCTTCCGAATTAGAAGAAGTCTCCACGAGCATCGGTATCGGGAAAGTACCGGAAGCGTGGCACAAGAACTCGTATCCGTCGTTGAAACCGCTAGGAAGCTACGTTAATGATTTACTGGACAGATTAGCGTTTTTCCAAGATTGGATCGATAACGATGCACCGACTGTCTTTTGGATATCCGGCTTCTTTTTCACCCAGTCTTTTCTTACGGGTGTTTTGCAAAACTACGCGCGGAAACAAAGGATTCCGATTGACAAATTAGATTTCGAATTCGAGATAACTACGTTCGAAAGCAACATAGAGACTGCCCCGTCCCATGGAGTCTATGTGAAGGTAACTTCTATGTTACGATCTCTTTTCATAAAATAAAATATAATTATATAGTGATGATCGTTATACAATTTGCTTGCGACAAGTCTATTATTTTTTAAATTTCAGGGTCTATTTTTAGAAGGCGCGCGATGGAATAAAGAGCTAAAACGACTCGACGAATCGAAACCTAAAATAATGTTCGATATTCTGCCTGTAGTATGGTTGCAACCTGGTATAAAAGCTACATTCGTTGTTAAGCTCGTGTACTATTGTCCCGTGTACAAGACAAGCGCAAGACGCGGTGTTTTGGCAACCACTGGTCATTCATCCAACTTCGTCTTATACATATTGCTTCCAACGCACATCGATCCATCCCATTGGATAAAAAGAGGAACAGCATCCTTGTGCCAGCTAAACGATTAAACGATTAAATCCTGCAAAGGACAGGTTTCCTGTGTCGACTAGGTATTATAGCTACGTTACAAATTACGATCATGGTCTTTTAATCAAAAATAGTCTTCAGGTTTTCCCTGCAAAGCTATTTACTAATCGGAGAAAGAATATTTTCCCGACAGAGTGATGGGAAATACAGTAATGAAATTTCATCTTGTTCAAGTTTTATTTATACATGATACTAATACGAAATACTTTATAAAATGATACATACATAGTATTTAATCTCTTACGCGCGTATGCCTTGCGTTCTATGTATAATCTACAATATAAACAACATTTGTAGAAAATTTTCTTTCGTAGAAAATTATTCTAGCTTCGTTCTCTTTTTTTTTACATAGGATTCTATTGCACTTGAGCATTCCATCACTATTTGTTCATTTCTGTATTTTAGTTAAAAATATACAATGTGATTAGAAAAATACTATGGAACGTCGAACGCAAAAACGATTCAAACTGTTCTTGCTTAAACTACCGAATTGAGCATTCTTCTTTGGTTCACCGGACAGTATTAATGTCTGCTGTTCGAAAAAAAAAAGTTCTATCCGTCGAACGTATTCCCTACTCTTTTTCGATCAGTTTCTAGTTGTTGTACGGATGTAATTATTTATTAATTTAATTAGTATTTCGTTATGTTTGTCGTACACGTATCAAAACACAATAATATACATTTACAATTTCAGACATACAACTAGATGCTTGTCTAAACAAAGGAGAATGCGGTCGTATAGTATTCTTCGTGTTTTCTATATTATGAATTAAAATTTTTCTTAAAAAATTAATTCAAAGTAACACTTTTCTTAAATAATACAATTTTGTTCAACATTGCATTGCATTCGTGTCTTTTATACACTTATCTATAATATCAATCTTATAGACTTATAATATAATACGTCAACTCTTGTTTGCAATCACGTTTTGGTGACATATTTCGAAAAATTAGAGAAACGTGTTAACTTTCCCTAAAAAAGATATAAAAAGATATCTTTTCTACAACTACGCGAATTTCCCGTCTTAAGTTCCTAATCGTTGCACGCCAAACATACTTAATATTCAGTAATATTGCGATATTATAATACAAAAACAAATATGTGCTTTAGTGAATATAATTAATTTGGTAATGTTTCAGTTTCGATTGCTTCTTTTGTTATTTAATTACACATATGTACAGTAATTGCAGTTTCATCGTTTTAAATAGCATTACTTTTAATATCTCTCAGTTCTCGAGTAATTATGCTTATGTTTCATGTATCATCTTTAAATCCTGATCATAAATTTGCTCTGCTTATTCCGTAACGAGCGTTGGATCGTCTTCCGACGGTACATCGGTTTTTTCTTTTCTAGTCACGTATTCGACATAACAAAACGCAACCGTACCGACACAGATCGTTATCGTCAATATGAGAAGTTGCATGTAAAGATTCACGCTGCTGCTGTAAGCAAAACTTACGGCGGCTGCGACCGATTGGCAAAATTTGAACAACGCGAAAGCCGAAGCGCTCCTTTTTACAAACAGCGATCCTAGCAATGTGTAAACTTGAGTATTGAAGCATGCATCGCCAAAACCTAAAGCAAGACTTCCGGCCATCGCTAAAACCGGCGAAGGAGCGATAAATCCTACGCTGTTGGTGTCCTGGAACGGTGAATCGTTTGGTAAATTTATAAAGATAGTAATAAAGGCGAATAAATGTGTGCAAAATCCTACGATCACGACCGACCATGCGCCACAAAAATGGGACACCTTGGATGCAAATATACCAAAGAGAGCTCCGCCGAATACTTCTCCGATTCCAATAAAAATACCAGAAAGACCAACTAAGCCTTTCCTCGATGTACCAATCGCTTTGGTGAACCCAATACTCGACGAGTAGACTCCCGAGTAAAATGTTAATACAAGACCAGTGTACACGAATGTCAAAGATAATAAAAGCATTTTCGATGTAAGGAATAGATCAAATGCGTCAGTGAGGGCATGCCAAGCAGCTAAAAATGGTTTCTCCCTTGTAGATTCCGGCATTCGAAGTTCTTTATCGGCACTGGAAACACCTTCAGCCTCGCCCAACACCAGCCTCTGAGATACTCTCCTTAAACCAGCCAGAACGCACGTGCCTACAACTGCCAACCCAGTAAGTACACCGAAGACGATTGTTCTCGTTGCAGCATTGATTGTAGGTTCCGTAAACATATAGTAGATGAAAAGATTGCCGAAGAACATCGAGGTCTGAAAAATCGCCCAAAATATTCCCGCATTTCTGGACATTGTCTCCGAGTTGCTATTCTCTGTTAAGTATTGGCCGTGTCCTGTCCATATAAATGCGGCTCCAAGACCCAGAATGCACGACGCACTATAGAGTAAGACATTTTGTGGCCAGAGGAAAGATCCTATGAAAAAGACGTAACAGCAAGCGCCGGTAATGATAGCACCACGTGGCCCTGTCACGGAGATGTACGATGGAGCTAACCAGTTACAAGTGGCAAAGACGGCATAAACTATTGCTAAGCTAGTGTACGCCTCGACGGTGAAATTTGGATCTTCCGTCTTAATACTTTGCAGCACGGTTTTCTGCACAGAAAATAAATCCGATGTAATATGATGTTCGGACAAAACTTATCGTTACTTTATGTTTTTAAACCTTTCGCTGAAAAATGCTAGTATTTACATCCTATATAAATTAACCGTCGCTTGTAAAGGGTATAATAACACGCCTGTAAATTATACTCAATTTAGAACATTTATTTTTTCATTCGGTAGAGAAGATAAAATGATTATGGTTTCATTTCTACCGATCGCTTATAAATATTTTTCATTTATCGATCGACTATTAACTCATAGCACCTGTTGTCGAAATATTTGTATATCACTTTTATATTCAACCGATGCAAGGGAAATTACCAAAACGTATACAATTAACTTTTTTTATATCACAACATACTTTGGTCATAGTTAATATTAATTTAAAATATTTTTATATACCGTGTTTTTCAACGCAAAGGTAAAAATAAACTTTGGTACCTTTTGGTCCCAGATTTGAATGACCAAACTTTATCATTGTGTTATATAAACATGTCATTTAGGGCCTTATTCGTAAGTTATAATAGAAATATGAAATAATAATGCCACAATACAATGTAAGAATATACCAATAGCTTAGATAGACTAAACATACATGTTTATATCTAATCTATCTCTGTAATACTATTATATTAGTATTACTAATAATACTACTAATAAGTTGGTGCACTTAAAAATGCCTTAAATAGGAGATTGAATCAATTCTGAAAAGTTGAACTTCCAAGTTATCTACTATGAAAACAATTTGGTCGAGTGAATTTAATGTTTAACTAAACTTTATTTGAGCCCCTGAAAAATGATTTAATGATACCGCCGAATATTGGAATATTCTCACATTGTATCACAGTATTACTATGAATGATTTCAATGGCATTATATAGATAAGTAAAAAACTTCGTAAATCGGTAAAAAATGTTAAACCTCTATATTCTAAATATTTATAATAAAGTACGATAACTTTTTAAAATATCGTTAAAATGAAATTGAATATTATTCGGGTTTTCTGCTTATCTGTGAAATTATCGATATCAGTGTGTAACGCTTCGCGTAAATCCTTTGTCAAGAACATATGATAGATTTGCTCTTGCTCTCACCTCAATATTGCCCATCGTCTGAAATGCTGTAAATATCAACATGAAGCCGAAACTCAACATCAACACATTTACAAAATTTCTATCTATCGTCATGATGATCGCGTTAAATAAAATATTTTAACGAAAAAAACAAAGAAAAGTATGTTAGAAAGTTGTTATTCACACCCGCGTTTAAATACACTGTGCGAAATCGTGTTTTCGATAAACAGATGGTAACTAAACAAGATAAAGAGAAAACTTAAACGATGACACAGAGTACTTATCAAAAGCATAGATGTCAGGTAGCAGACCGGTACCAAGCTGCCATTGGCCAGATTATTAAATTACTCATTCTACTTTCACAAGCTAAAGCCAGCTCCACACATTGGTTTATTTAAGAAATATCGCGCGTAATGACACGAAAATAATTCGACTGATAAAATGTAAATAATTTGATATTTTCAAATACTTTGATACAGCTGTTATCGTTGATTATTAAGTTATCTGCTCTCGACGCGATTACTCATTTTAAAATGAATTTTGTGGAGGAACGAAAATGGCCGACCGTGGCCAGTAAAAACTCGTTGATTGTCCCGTTATCAAATGCTTCGATAAAAGCCTGAATGCTATTAAAATATAGTGTACTCGTGAAAGATTATAATCGTGGAAAAGAATGCTAGGTGTAGAGGTCCTTTACAAAGTTTCTTGTGCGCGCCAAATGGCCAATGGTGTACAAGGCTGTAAAATGCCGTGATTAAATTTTCTGCGAGGCTTGACACGTTTACAAACTCAACAACTTTAGTGCTGAATCGTGAAAAGTTCTTTGAGAGAGGAAACTCATTGGCATTACGCAAAGGTAGATCAGTTCAGGACATAGTAGTAATTCATAGAGGGTGTGAGATCATTGTATAAACATTATGACGAATTGTCGTCTTTGAAGCGATACGAACAATCTCTTCTTTTTCTGTCAACTCTGTGCATTTTTAGTGTCTCACGATCCTGTTAAAAAATGCATACATGTGAACAGTAGAGTAAACAAGTGACAAGTATTTGTATGAGTTATCTACTAAATTAAAATATTATTTTATTTACATAATAAGCGTTAGATGCTTATCAATCATGAAGAAACAGTTCTTCAGAGTTAAACAGCTCGCCGATCAAACATTTTCTAGGTAATTAATTGTTATACCGTCCGGATATCTACAAAAGCTGCAGTCTTTGTTGTATTTACTTTATGTTAAGTCATGTATTCTTGTATTTTTTTTTCGAATCCGAAATATCCATAAAAATGTAATTTACAAATAACGTGGAGACTAAATAAATAAATGAAACGATCAACTGCATATCTTAACACATAGTAAAGAAATAATAAAGATTGTCATCTATTATGTTGCTGTAAAATTTTAACAATGCATATCTAATAAGAGCTAACACGGTACACCAAAATAACTTATGAATCAGACGATCTTAAAATGGATCGACTTTATGCAGCTTTGAATTTCATTTTAATTTCGATTTATTTAATAGAACGTTAGTAAACATTATTATTTTATAGAGCTGGTAAAACAGAAGTGCTCACAGATGATTTACAAGCTGCAGATAAACATGTAGAGCAAATTAGGATGGCTCTCATCGGATTAAGCAAAAGACTCGCTAATCCACCAAACCAAGCTGTGACACAAGATATCGCGTTTAAAGAAAAGCGGCTGGTAATGTATAATATTAAACATATTTATAGTAACTTTGCGTTATAACTTGTATAATTTACAAGTATTTAATACGAAATTAATTGTATAAAAATTTTGTATACTATGTAGTATTTCAAATTAAGTAGAAATTTTTTTCGTTCTTTATGTTTCTTCTGTAACGCATACTTTCATTTTTAGAAAAAATGCCCGGAATATATATTAGGGCAAACAATGTTGGAAAACGCTCCTGAAGATGGTCTTATGAGTTTTACTCTTTTGGAATGCGGTCGTACACAAATTCATTTAGCGAACGAAACAATCGAACACGAAGTAAAAGTTGAACAATATGTAGCGAGCCCTCTTCAACATATTTTAGATACAGACGTACCAAATATATTGAAACATAAAAGGAATTTAGCTAAATTGATTTTGGATATGGATAGCGTGAGAACGCGATACCAACAAGCTAGCAAACATAGTGCCAGTAATGAAAATATTTAATATTATGTGTATAAATTATGTATTTAAAAAATTTTGTTAATATTACGTAACGTGTTAATTTAAAAGGTGCAGGTGCGTCAAAAGTAGATAATTTAAGGGAAGAATTGGAAGAAGCAGAAGCTAAAGTTGAACAATGTAGAGATCAGTTGGCTGCAGAAATGTTTCAACTGATGTCGCGAGAAACTGAGTTGGCACACATCATTATTCAATACGTAAAACTTCAAAGGGCTTATCACGAAAGCGCTCTACATTGTCTCGAAGAACTTATTCCTGGATTAGAAAGTTACATAAGTGAGCATTTTATAGATTTTTGATATTTAAAAATATTTTTTGTACCGTTTCTACTTAAGTTCATTTTCTAATTCCAGATGACAATGAAATGAAACCAGTTTATGGTTATCCGCTTGAAGAGCATCTCCGAGTGACTAATAGAAAAATAGCACTACCAATTCAATTATGTGTATCGGCCTTATTACGATTAGGTATGGAGGAAGAGGGTCTTTTTAGAATAGCCGGTGCTGCATCAAAATCACGACGAATTAAGTTAAGTCTAGATGCTTGTTGCCTTACTTTACCAACTGCTCTGGAATATAAGGACCCGCACGTAATTGCCGGTGCATTGAAGTCTTATTTACGAGAGCTACCCGAGCCCCTTCTGACACACAAGTAAACAAAAATTTAATATTTTGCATTATCACCGACGTAATAGAGAAAGATAAAATCATATCTATGTATTATTTTAAAGATTGTATTCTGAATGGATGGCAGCTGCAAAGATAACATACAATGAAACAAGATTGAGAGCTCTTTGGGAAGTGTTACATAAATTACCTACTGCAAATTTAGAAAATTTACGGTTCCTAATCAAATTTTTGGCTGTACTTACTAAAAATCAGGACATAAATAAAATGTCACCGCAAAATATTGCAATTGTCATTGCGCCTAATTTAATATGGAGTCCACAGGAGGATATAAATACAATGGTGTAAGAACATGTTTTACCGAATAACTATTAGAAATGAATTCACAGTTTAAAAATTTTTTTACTATAAAACGATCGACAGGACAATATTCTATCTATATAACGTTTATTATTGTTTCAGAATGAATATGAGTACAGCTAATAATTCTAGTCTTATAGTAGATCAGTTGATTACATATGCAAATTGGTTTTTTCCTGGTGAAATAGATTTTGATCGTGATTTAGAAGTCGGTATTATAAACGGTTTAGAAAACCAAACCGCGGGTATGCGTCGTTGCATTTCTAATAGCAGTCTTAGCGATCATGGTGAAAGCCCTCCGCAAGGTAGCCCTAAACCAGCAGCGCGTAGAAAAAACAAACCGGCACCGACACCGCCAAACAGTACTACACCGGACAAACACGATAGAAAACCCGACGATAAACCACCACCCACTCCCGACAAACCACCCAGACCTTTGATATCTGCGACTCTTAATCGTGCAACGTACAAGGCTCAGAAACACGATGTAAATACCGAATTACCGATTAAACAAGAAAATAATATCGAGAAGCAAAACGAAATCGCAGAAGTCGAAATTAAACAGCAGAACTGTGAAGTAAATACAGTTACCGATACTCCGTCCTTTAGTTGCACAGAACGTATTAACGAAACGCAAGATGAATTGCACAGTATGGATACAGAACTGGAAAAGAGCAATCAAGAAACAAAATTAAGTACTTCTATCGGCGTTGAAAAAAATGCTGTAGAAAATACACTAGGCAACAAATTGATTACGGACACTGAAAATTTGGAAGCTTCCACGCACAGATCAAAGCCAATGCTTACAGAAAAACCACATCCTTGCACGTTGGAGAGACGAAGACCAGTGGGTGCGCCGAGAAACATAGTCGACGTACTGCATAATACTGGTAAACATTGTTGCAGTTATTTTTTTAATCGTTATAGCGTTAAGACTTTATATATTTCTTTAACTTGTTAGAAGAAACAATCGAGTTACGTAGGAAGCCGGATAGCAATAATTCTACGTCCACAAACACGCTCGACAGAAGCAGCAAACCAGCCATACCGGAACGACCTGCCGGACTGATTCGACCTTCGAGTCTCATTAGACAACATCCGCGTCACAGTAACGAAAACTTAGACACCGAAGCAGGGGTGAGTATCGAAATGTTTTCGAGCATTATTAAATTTCAGTTTTATATGTGAGATAATCCTTTAAAATAAATGTAGTTACTGCCAGTGGACTCACCAAATATCACTGCCTGGATATTACATTTTGAAATACAATAACGTAAGCTACAAATAAAGTGTAAAATAAAACGCGACGAGAATTAGTCTTTTGTTCGAAATGTGAAGATCCACAGTAGTTTTCGGTATTGTTAACTTTTTTTTTTCTTTTAACAACCTCCTGTAGCCTTTAACTTTGGAAAGAGCTCATGTATATTCGGTGGACAAACAACAGGTCAGTATAATACAAGTGCGTGGAAATGGGAATGTGTTCTGCACATCGGGCGACAACAATGGCAACACAGCTTCGAACTTGCAGAGAAGCCCCAGTGTAGGTAGTCGTCCTTCATCTATGTCCTTGTACGGCGAGCGGCCAGAAAAGCCGGCGAAACTAAACGCTCCGGAACAAACGAAAGCGCACGTGCGAACCAGATCGGAGGGAAATATTATCGATGTTCAAACACAGACTGAAACAGTAGTAGTTCTTAAATCGCCGCAACAACCTGTCCCGGCCTCGCCACGGTTTCATCAAAGACCACCAAGGCCACAGCCACCGCCGCCACCTCCGCCTACCACGCGACTTAAATCGGAACACGAAAGCACCAATCTCTGAGAACAACTGTATAAAATGTGATTATTATATTTATAAGTGAACTCTTAAAGAATCACGACTATTTTTTAAACGAAGACACTATTTCTTACAACATAATTTGACATTACGGGAAACGACTGCAAAGAACTTCTAACAAAGCAATGTAAGTTTTATAAATTTTCTCAGTTCTATGTACGTTGAAGTATCAGTGTTTAGAGGATTGCATTCAAACTAATACCATAACTACGCGAAGTTTTAAATTCAGTATTTTCCTTTACGTTTCAGAGACATTAGTAAACAAACGATCAAAATAACAAATAAACTTGAAGTTTTCACGTTAACGATTTGTAATTATATATTAAAAAATAACTTTTAAGAGTTATATCTAATTTTAATGTTTAACTCTTGATACTTTTTTCCAACTTATCAATTTTTATACCTGTTACGTATGACTGAAGTTGTTGCAATTAAAAGAAATATTATACAAAAAAAAGACAGTAATTTGAAATTTGATCTCTAACTAAACGTATGTTTTAAGTTTACAATTTTCCGATATGATCATATACTAATTTTAATGTATTCGTATTATTTAAAATTTTTTGCTGAATTATAACTACCGACAAAAGTGACTCTTTACGAAAGAACGTGTAAAAGATGTATTATAAAGGTTTACATTGATTTCATAGCTTGCGAGACATAATTTTGTGCATGAGACTAGTACAACAAATTTATTCAAATACAGGTAAATAACTTTTGTATATATATATTTTGCAAAATAACAATATTAAGGTCCTACAAAAAGTTCAGGCTCAGTTTTTGATAGAAACTATTGCAAATATTGTTTGTGCGGTAAACAAAATCGTAAGTAGCATGTTCGAAATTATTTCAGCTTTAATTGCAGTTCTTTGAGTTGATAGTGAAATATTTTTTTAATAACCGAGGCAAATTATTTTGTAGAAGATGAAAATGAATAAAATTTATTCTACGCTTATAATATTTTTAAAGTTGATCGTTAGTTTGATATCTCTACAATATAATGGGCAGCTCATATATAAGAAAAATTTAACTTCACACATTATTAAACATCAATGAAACAAAAGGCTTAAAAAAAAAGTTCTATTTTAATAGAAAATTTTGACATAAATAATAACTAACTTTTGTTATTAAGTAATTATATCCTCCATTAAAAAGATGTATAATAAATATACGAGATTTGTTATTGCTTTAAATAATAATTAACATAATCGAGGAAACATTTACTTTATAAAAAAAAGTAAACCAAATATAGCGATTTTATATTTTTCTAACACATTGTTCGCCATCTAAATAAATTATATAAATTTTTTAAAATACTTGATATTTCGTATACAATTACATTAATTAAAAAGTTCTAGTATTTATGAAAATAATACATATTATTTATTGATCTTGCAATTATTTCATGTATTACATCTATTACAAAATTTTTAATAAAAGTAATTCGTAAAAAATGAAATGTTTCGACTGTAATTAATTTAAATAGGATGGTAAATAATGTGTTAATATGAGGATGTTAGATTTGCATAATGAACATTTTACATAAAGATAAAAAATTTATATCCTTGTTTACGTTATAAATCTTTTGTTTTTTTTCTCTATTTGTATATGTAAAAGGAAATTGTTATATATGTATATATACATATATATGAACAATTCAAATAAATTAGATTTCATTAAGGGAAATATCGCTTAACCGAAATAGATATTTATGGCTGACTGTTTGGTGATACAAATTGAGAAATAAAAAATCTGTTTATTTGTTGAATTTTATTAACTTGATCGAACAAGTAAAAAAGCTCTTTTGTTTATATATTTTACTTGTTAAATTTCATAAATAATCTATAGCTTCTAATGTCATTGCAATAAATTAATTTGCACTTATTTAAAAAAATATTTGTTTCATTTTGTCGAACAAATTTATTACGTAATATTTATATCACCAAGTATCTAAACTGACCAAACATTTTAAAAACACCAGAAAAAAATTGCCTCTTACGATGTCCCTTCATTACTGCATGATTTGTTTCAATCATCATATATTTATAAGTAATTTCTTGTAATAAGCAAATAACAAATACAAGAAATATTTATTATTTTCTGTGTTTTATTTTGAGAAAGAAAAAAGATCGAAATACATTCGTAAATATTTCTTGTTATTGATACTTTGAATTTTGCATTTGTTAACTTGAAAATATTTGTAATAGAAGTACAGCATTTGCCGTGTTTATTTGGGTATGTTAAACAAATAGTATTTTTGTTTTATAATAAGTAACAACACTGATATGTAAAAATTGTTTAAGTAAACTTTGTGACAAGTTGCGCATTTACCTAAGGAGTGCTTAGGCTGTGAATGTAATGAAAACTGTTAGAAAATCTATTTGTAAATAAAGAATTTAGAAAAACAATTAAGTTAGTAAGAGATATACCATAATTTTCGTTTAAAAAATCATCAATTCAATTTATTAATGTACACGAATAAATTTAGTATTATTACATGCTGATTAAATATGTTACTGTACTAACATCCGCAACATCTTTGGGTTTCATACCATTATTATCGTCCATGGATAGAGCGCCAACGGAAAGCAAATATTTCACGACATCGAGATGCCCGCACGATGCTGCATAATGCAATGGTGTTTGTCCATCTCCATCTTGCGAATTTACGTTTGCCCCTTTTTTAATTAAGAGTTCTATGATCTTCACGTAACCCCGATCTGCAGCCCAATGTATCGGTAATAAACCGTCTGCGTCCGTTACATTTACAAGTCTTGTTTCCTTGTCCAACAGTTCTTCCACTTTTTGTTCGTGCCCTTCTTTTATCCAATCCAAAAAGGTTTTATCTACATCGTTTATCTCTTCTTCCATATTTATTAAACGACTAATAGCAACCCAACTATGCGATTCAGATTTTATATCTTCTTCCCAGTTAGGATTTATGTTTGTTAATTCTTGTATATAATTATTCATAGCAACATTGTGACTCATATCGTTAAGATTCTTCCATGCTTCCCATTTTTGCCTAGCTTGTACTTGATACCAATTAGGCTTTGGGATATTACAAGATCCAACGGTAGCTTGTTTGTATAATGCATAGAATCTAAGAAGTTCATTGGAATTTAATTCCGATGCCAATGTTTGTAAATAACTTGCAGCTTTATTGAACGTTTCTTCAAGACACATTTTGAAAGTTTCCTCAATCTTTATTCACAATATTGTTTTACTTTAAAGTATGTTTTGTATGTTTTGTATGTTCTGTAACAATCAGTTTGGTATCCTCCAATATGTGATTTTGATCAAGCGCAGCTTTTAATACTACATTATCATAGAATTCTACGATTCCACAACCTGTGCTGACACCATCTTTACCAAATAATACTTGTGCTTTTTTCACTTTACCCAACTTTGTAAAGTATTCTTTAAGCTCAGAGGTACAAACTGTCCAAGGAATATTATGTACTTGGACAACATACCGACTAGCCATGACAATTTAAAGCCACTCAAGTCGCACGTTGTATACTTAATAAGTGAATAGTATGATCTTGCATTAAGTCGTATATGTTTATATCAGAGTCTGTGCCAAGTTCAGCCAGCGATATATGAGTACAAGTAAGATTCCATTTATTTAACAGATGTTCTATGGACCAATCCGCGCTTCGTTCCTGATAGCTACAAAGAAATTTTGCATTTGGATTTCTTTCCAATAAGAAAGCTATTGTAACAACTATATCCTCAAATACTGCCGGTTCGTAAAAACAATCAGATCCAAGGATTATGTCTAACGGTCCGATGGTAAATAAACTAGATAAAAATAATCCCCACGTAATACCGACAATTTGAACTTGAGAGAGAATACCATTTAATTCGCAACTTCTTTTTATGTGTTGGAGACTTCTAGGAAGACTAGCGGAATCACTTAAAGTTACGATAGCACCACATTTACTAGCTAAGATCCCAGGAAGAGCTGTACCTGAGCCAAGTTCTAGAACTCTCTTTCCAATAAGTTCTTCCTTGTGCTCCCAAAGAAACCAAGCTAATACAGGAGCGGATGGCCACGTATAAAAACTATAACTAGCCTGAAGTAACTGTAATAAAAACAAATGTATCACCAAAAATAATTACGCTCTCTCTTGTAGGTTAGAAAATTAAAAAACTGTCGGAATAAATAGTCACGGTCAAGGAATACCAATTTTGTTTCCTTTCTTGAAAAAATATAAATTGCGGATATAAAAAATATTTTCAAAACATGTATATTACCAAACACTACGTAATACTGGTAACACATATGCAAGTAAGATTAACAACCACTATCAAATACATATGTATGTATATATATATATATATTCTGTTTATGATATAAAATACAAATAAAGATTATATTACCTCTGGGATATAAATTTCTAACGTGTCGTTGCACTGCACGTTATCTTGAGTTTTACGAGAGGTGAACAAAAACTTTTTCACTTGCTCGGAAACAATTCCATCGGACATTAGGCTCTCTGTGGGAGGACTGGTATCGTGTGAAATACTTTCTTCTAAACCTGGCATGACTAATTTTTAAATCATTTGACCTAATACTTTTCTCACTCTGACCCGAATTATCAAGTATGCAATAGAAACCATGAACTTAAATTTTCATCGTCAACAAATCAAATCTAAGAGGCAAATATAATCACTATTTTGTCCAGAGTTGTCGTCGTACACATCACTGTAGATAATGCAAACATATAGGCAATATTTAAATTTCTAAATAGCGGGAACCAACTTACGAAATATTTTCCTTACTTATGTATTCGAGATATACCTATGTATGTACTGATATATTTAGACGTACAAACGTAATGCTTTCTGATTTATTTGTTTACAGTCTTATAATTCTCTCTTTAATATGTATGTATCGTATAATATTATCCATAGCTTTAAATGTATATTTTGTATCTAATGCGAGAGAAAAATAATTAAATATCTTTTATCGTCGATGTTAATTTTGTATAAAATGAAATGAACATAACTCATCAAATACATAGTTTATTAAAATATTTTCAGACACTACTTTAATTAAGAAAATGTATCATTGTTACCATATACGTACGTTCAAACGAGTTTATCTTAGCATTGAATTATTATTTATTTTTTTATTATTTGTTATGGGAATTACTTGAAATTTGACGTTTCGATATAATAATCTTTGGTAGAGAGACAAGATTCTTTAACATAATTTTGCAATTAAAGAATATTTTAAATCGACATTCCGTACAACATAGCAACATAAATCAAGTATTAAGATTATATTATACAAATCGATAAGGTTTTAAACATCCAATCTACTCTTTTTATAATACCCGTGTTGCCATTAATAAATATGAATAGGATGGAGAAATTAACAACGTATAACGTTCTTTTAGTGCATTCGTATTATTATTTTGTGCATTAAACTCGTAGTTTAAAATAGTAATAGGCATTCGGAACTATTTTTCAAGTTTATATTTAGTCCGAAAAAAGTTATACCGAGTAATCAATCTATAAATTTTCAAAGTGCTTTGATTTAAAAGAATATATAATAAAAATGCAATATTATTGTAACAATTATATTGCTTAGTGACACTTATACGATACTGTATGGTAGTTGTCTTGATTAAACATGGAGGAGGCTGGTAACGAGAAGTTCCTATCAAGAAGGCGTTCTGCTGCCCTTAAAGCTTTTAAAGTGAAAGATGAACGAGTAGCAACATTTAAAAAAGTACGTACGTAGTTTTTAATATATTCCAAGTAATCGGAATCGTTCGATAACAATCGCTATTCAAAATTTTTGCATATTTCCCGGCATTATTCCTGAAATTGATATGTTGTAAACAACTCGTATGGAAGCACTACATTGTTTTTTTCTAGGTAGCAGCGATTTTACAAAAATCTGAAACCGACAGAACCGCAGAGGAAACGGGGATTCTTCTTTCCTGCAGTGACGTAGTGAAAGAGGTTAATTTAAGGTATAGCCATTTTGAAAACCATTGATTGTACATTTATGAACAAACAAATTTATTTGAAGCATTGCTACCGTACTATAAACCGTCGATTACTATCGTTAATAATTACACGTTTTGGATATAGGTTTTAGCAATAAATTCCTTATTGAGTAATGAGAAAAATTTTGTTCATTGATTTATCAGACAACAGAAAAGACACAGAGTAAAAGCAAGATTGGAAGAGGTCGAAGATGCGCCAGAAATTTTGGAAGAAAAGTGTATGCGATTAGCAGCTGCGATTAGCAGAGCGACATCGCTAGCTGTTTATACTGGTGCAGGCATTAGTACAGCTGCTTCTATTCCAGATTATAGAGGAACTAACGGTGTTTGGACTCGTTTACAACAAGGAAAAGATATCGGGTAATGTCAAAATTGTTTACAATCGTATATAACTTATCGGTCGTTATTATTATCGCTAGATTTCTAAATTCCTTCGCTATGTATTTCCAGAAATCATGATCTAAGTCAAGCGGAACCAACAGTGACTCATATGGCTCTGTATGCTTTATACAAGGCACGAGTTTTAAAACACGTAGTTTCCCAGAATTGCGATGGACTTCATTTACGCAGTGGGATACCTCGCACATTTTTATCCGAGGTTCATGGGAATATGTACGTGGAAGTTTGTAGAGTGTGTAAACCATTTAGAGAATATTGGAGATTGTTCGACGTTACGGAGAAAACTGCACGATATTCTCACGGTACTGGTAGATTGTGTCACAGATGTAATTCTGTTTTGCAAGATTCAATTGTTCATTTTGGTGAAAGAGGCAATCTTCCGTGGCCGATAAATTGGAATGGCGCTACGAGAGCAGCAAAACAGGCAGACGTTATATTATGTTTGGGTTCTAGTTTGAAAGTTTTAAAAAAGTATCCGTGGTTGTGGCAAATGGATAGGCCGATTCATAAACGTCCGTCACTATACATTGTAAATTTACAGTGGACTCCGAAAGATGAGAACGCGGTCTTGAAAGTAAATGGAAAATGCGACGAAGTCATGAAAAGGGTTATGACTCATCTCGGGTTGGAAATACCACTGTATAATCGTGCCAAGGATCCAATATTTTTTCATGCTATACAGCTCGGAAATAATGAACAGTATACGATGAGTCAACCGTGTTTAGAAGAGCCGTGTAATATCGATTGCAAGGAGTTGAGTAAAATCAGTGGTGATTTTTGCAAAGATATTTCTCCCCAAATAAAAGAGGAAGAGGAAGAAGATTGCATCTCGCCCAAAATAATAACTGAATCAATGTCCGCTTATCCAGCGCCATTTTTTACAGCATTACCATTTCTGTCCATGGGTTTGCCATTTCCACCAATGTATATGTGCCCCCAATTAACACCATTTTTCTATTATCCGTTTATACAAATACCAAGTATGACCATGGACATACAGAAACCCAAGCCAACTTGTACTTTTTGTATGGAAAACGAAGGTTCCCTCACTTGTCTGTATTACCAACGAGAAACGGACATTTCCTTAATAGGAGCCGAAAGCAAACAAATGAAAGACGCAAAGACATTAGTAATTCATACGGATACACCGATCGCACCTCCTAAAAATCCTGGGTGGTTTGGCAAAGGGTATCGTAAAGGCATGAAAAAGAAGCGGTAGCATTTACTCTCTAATATATGGTATATGACTTTCTCTGTTATTATGTGAATGTATAACATATAGTATATAATATTGTACGTAAATGCCTCCATATCATGATGAAATATGTGTACACAATTTGCGAATGTATAGCGACTTAATTCCAGTATCCAAAATTTTAATAATCAAATTAAATTATGACAATAGTTGTTAAGCTTTAAAGTATAGACAGTCTATAATCAATGAAACTTCCAAAACGTTTATTTTCTAGTAAACCGATTCGTTCAATGAATATTTATGTCCGATAAGTTTTATATAAAAATTGTTCATTTATAAATTTTAATATTGATTTTCTATGAAGTATGCTTAATTCGAAGTTATTGTATTGTTATCGTATAAGTCAATTATGTTGTGATTTTTAATTATAAGGTTTTATTTAAGCAGATAAGTGTTGTGCAGATCACGGTAAATTCCTAGTGACCAAAGTGATAATTTTTTAATACGTTTTATTTGTTTTATTAATTGCTTTATATTCGCAGTGGCGGATAAAATGGAGGGAAACTAGAGAGACTAGTGCCTCCCCCCTTTCTATTGATCAACAAACAAATGTACTATCTAAATTTTAAAGCAATTTCTTTGTTCGTTAACAAATGTTGAACAATCATCGAAATTTTGATATTTCTATTTATAATTTCTTTTTAATTATTTCGTGATTTTTTTATTAGTCTCCCCCCTTGAGTTTCTCTAGATCCACCACTGTATATATTTGTATAGTTGAATGTATAACATCTTTTTTTTTTTCTTTTAAAATTGTTTTTATAAGTATTGCATGCATAAAGCTTCCCAGATTATTTCACTGTATTAATTTATCATTCCAATTTTGTAAACATGAAGTAAGTAAACATACAACCAAATTAATTATATGAACATTGATGGACTGTTTATAACCGATCTCAAACCGAGGTTATATTAATTATTATTATATGTTGGTAACATAGAATAAAGTAAAAAACTTTCATATATAAATTGATATCGATTTTCTATTTATCTACGAGGGGAGTCGAGAGAGAAAGACTCGCGTTTACTTTCTTTCTCGATTCACCGAAGATGTCCAAAGCGAGCGTGGCATTTCGGACAACTTTGAGGGGCGAAGAAAGAACGCAAATATGAGCCTTTCCTTCTCGATCTTGAACAGCTGAAGTCAAGTAATAAATATAGGCCCGCAGCCCGCTTGTTCTTGACTCACGATAGTAGTAGTAGTAGTAGTAGTAGTAGTAAGTAGGCTATAATTTGCAGCTTATTCGTCAATTTTTCCGTACAAACTTGTTCCGTACAAACGTAGCCTATGTTACCAGTGTCGCCAGATTTGTCATAATTGAGTGCATCAACGGCGACACTAGTAACGACGAATTTCCTTAGCGTTTAACGGAATGGTGGAGGGAAGCCGACATATCCTACCTCACGAGCCACATGTTACGCGTGGTCAGCACTTCGCGAAACTTCGGGAAATCGATAAAGAACGTGAATGGGAGCCTTTCTTTCATGGGCTTGAACAGCTGAAGTCCGTCCTCGTGTCGATTACATACAATTTCGAATCTCGACTGCCCAGGCATTTTTATATAAGACCCCCTGATCACGTGTTAACTATTGAAAAAAAAGAAATTATTTTTATCATTCCTATGAACGAGCATATGTATACATATTACATTGAGTATAAACAGCTGATTAAATTTATACTGATCTTTGCAAACCAGAATTCTCGACCCTGAATGGAACGAGTAATTATTCGGAGTTATTTTTCTTGTTCAGTAAGAGTTGTTCGTGTTAGAGATAGTTAAACGTCGCCCGCTAATACAACGTGCGACACTCGCGTTGGGCCGGGGGAACTCGCTCTCTCTTGCAATGGCCGGCGTGCTGTTTGGACATGCGACAAGAAATAGCGTGTAACAATTTATTACGTGTAATCATTGTACGTAGACAAATACAACAGTTCGTAACACGAAAAATATGGTTTTATTCGTGTTGAAAGAGATCAGAGTGGTCTCTTTTAACAGCTGTCCTGAACTCGGCTCAGCTTCAACTGAAATTTATCGTCTCTTTCCTCGGTTTATCTTGGTTGATGGTTGAGGGATGCGCCAGGGGGAGCCACTCGCTGCTGCTGATTGGCACAGAGCCCGGCAATACGCTTGCTTTTGAATAAATCCTGTAAAAATTGCACGGTTTATCAAATAAAACTATGAAAACTATTTTCAAACGATTTATTTCAGAAATTTTAAAAAATTCCTTACCGAAAATATAATTTATAGCCAGAAATATTCGCATGAAGATTCGGGGAAACATTTTTGGCCACGCATTACATTTTCGGTAAGGAATTATTTTCTCGAAAATGAGTAGGAATTCGGAGGTATGTCTATTGACAAAAAATGATTGCAATTGACCCCCGCAATTGAAAATAATTTTTCCAGAATGATTTGAAACTTTTCGATTTTGCCGAAGAATTTCAGCACCTACTTGAATTTTTTTCTATGTATATTCACCAAAAATAATTGTAATTTAGCTCGGCAACGATTATGGTACCTGTGAGTCGAATACCTGACGACTAAGAGAATAGATCCTTAGCGTACTAGTGATATTCTCCGAAGCCTTAACGAAGTACACTCACACGTTATCGGCGACAAGTTCTCTCTTCCAGATTTGGCATAATTGAAGTTAGATGCTAAACTATCGTTACATCTTTCTCTAAGCAGAAAGTTACGTCTTTTATGATATCTACTCTTTGCTCAAAATTATGCTTTGAGGTATGCATATCATATTCTTGGTTAAGTATTTTATCTTTTAGGTTAGATTTCTCGAAATGCGATGTAAATAAAAATTAATAAATGAATTTAAGTTTAATAGGATTGTAAAGAAGCGTATAAAGTTTTGAACAAAGTGGTTGAATTTTGGAAATAATGTCTGGAAAGCATGGTAGAGATTTGGCATTGTCAATGTTACGAACATTACCAAGAGTGTGTTTAAGTAACATTCGAGATAATCCTGGTTCAAGAAAACCTGTGAGTCTTACTTTAACAATAGCATGTATTTTGATCGAACGAACAACAAATTGATTCGCACGAATGAAAAGTAAATTCAAGTATCGATAAAATTATATTTGTATTATATAATATGATATTATTTGAATCGATTTCAATTGGTTTGTAATAATTACTTTTTAATATCATACATTTCTAACAGAAACATCGCGGTCGGGCACAACACGGTGGAGATAAACACGGAGCTGGAAATAAAGGGTCTGGTCAGAGGCAAAATTATATGCGACCTGGATACGAAACTGGAAGTACTCCATTTTATCTCAGATTTGGATGCGAGCCATATTATAAAGGGCATCAGTAAGTTTTATATAAATTAATGGTTTACTTGCTATAGAAATAATACGATGTCGGTGTTATTATGTTTAATATTAGTGTTAATAAAATATGTTTGTGCATATTACAGTTTAAGAAGAGAATATCCACCATTATCTTTAAACACGCTACAATTGTATATTGATACAAATAGGATAGATCCAACTAAACCTATTGATCTTATATCTATAATCAACACAGGATTGTATAACTTTAACATACAATTCAAGCATGCAGGTGTTCATCTGACAGATTCGGTATCAGATTTTATTTTATAGTATGAAAAAATTATATACAGTAATGTCGACCGTATCCGTGGGTAATACCTATTAAGATCTTATCGCGATTACGTGAAATGTTTACTCTCTCAGTCGCTTATACTTAGTACGCTACGTTATCGTGAAAAGTTTTCAGGGATGATGGAATTATAAAAATGATAAAATTCTTTTTTATTAGTCCATGCGTATACGGCGGCATCACTGTATAATATTTTTTGCATAAGAAGCAATTTAACTCGTTCGATATCATTTTCAAGGGCGCTGATTTGTTCAAAGCTAAAGTAAATATAGAAGTCCAGTGGGTCAGCGAGCCTGTAATAGCAGCAATTGAAAAAAATGGTGGTACTATTACAACCGCATATTACGACACTCACTCCTTATTCGCGTTACACGATGTAGATAAATTCTTTCGCAGAGGTGAATCTTTTGCTCTTTTGCTGCACAAAAGTTAAATAATATCAGAATGTCGTACTTAAAACATTTTGTATTATTCAGGGGTGGCGATACCACGCAGAATGTTACCTCCAACAGATTGCTTAGAATATTATTCGAGCGCAGCAACAAGAGGATATTTAGCAAATCCTGAGGAGGTTTCTCGGGAACGACTAGTTTTATCTCAAAAATATGGTTATGTACTTCCGAAGATCGAGGATGATCCAAATTATGCGATGCTTACCCAACGTAAAGATCCTAGACAATTATTTTATGGACTCGAACCTGGTTGGGTCGTTAGTCTTAAGGACAAAGTAATTCTTAAGCCTAAAGATAATTATCTTAAAGAATATTACACAAGTTGAAATGTTTCTTTGTATCGTGCTTGTTCGATAGACAAATAAATAATTTACCGAAAGAAAATAATGTATAAAATTGAACAGTAGAATATTGACATAGATATTACTTTAACGCTAACTACTACTGGTAAATTTTATCAAACCGGAACAAAAATGTAGGTTCAAGAGTTAATATATGTAAAAAAGACGATTAAAATGTAATCTTTGTGATATACATTACGTCGATATAGCTAATACAATTGTAAATGAAAAAAATTTATGGTCAACGGGACTTGATCCCGTGACCTCGAATGTACGATGAATTGTTTTCCTTAATCATTTGTACCGCGATTAGTTCGATGAAACGAATTAATATTCATACGGTACTTCATATATAATACATAGCAACACGGACCTACATAACCTACCAACCCAGAAAAGTAGATTAAAATTCAATAAGTTAGGTGCTTCTCTTGTCAGACGTAAACATCTCGGATTCAACGCGATAGTTTTCGTGTTATATAAACGTAATATACATAACAAAAAGTATGAATGCGTATTGAATAAATTGAATCGCGCACCTTTTTTCGTTCCCGTTTAAAAAAGATTATCTAACTCGATACCCGTTTGTGTTTAACTTTTTTTTTAAATATTCTTTGGCCAACATTTCGCAATCTTACGTGAAAGTCCAAGTTTAAGGTGAACACAACCTAAACATTTGACATTTCTGACGCGAATAGAAACGTATGGTCGCGAGTCAGTCGGTTTTCCAGTTATCTTGCTACCGGCAGTCACGCGATGAAGTAGTCTAAACTCATTCTTCTTCCGTGACAGATTTGTCTGTCGGTCTACTTAAATAGTTTTAACGCTTTTCGATTTGTGACAACGATTTAAACATGGCATTTCGCGTCGAGCCCGAGAAGAATTATGGATTCATATTGAAAAGTTTAGTTGCTGGTGGTAAGTTAAAATATTATTGCTTTTTATTTAATTACCGCGTAATAAGCTTCGGAAAGATAATATGTTCTATAAAACTGTTTAATAATTGTTAAATATTTCAATAAAATATTGTATATAATTTGTAGGTGTAGCTGGAATGTGCTCAAAAACAACAGTGGCCCCGTTAGATAGGATAAAAATATTGTTACAAGCGCACAACAGACACTATAAACATTTAGGTAAGGATGCTACTATTGCGCATAATTATTGAAAACTATATGAAATATAACTCTTGACACTAATTCATTATATAAGGTGTTCTTTCCGGATTAAGACAGATTGTGCATCACGAACGATTTCTTGCCCTCTACAAGGGAAACTTTGCCCAAATGATTAGAATCTTTCCATACGCCGCAACGCAATTTACTACATTCGAATTATACAAGAAGGTAATTATCAATTACTCTTTCCGTCCTACGATAAAATACTTTAAAAAGTAATACCGAGTTTCTTCTGGGTAAAGTGGTTCCACAGAGTGAAGTAACCGTTGTTAATATAAAGACTTGCTCATAATTTAAAGGTGAGCCTTAACCATATAGATTCGCTTGTGAATTTATGTGCGAGTGTGTATATATATATGTTTATACGTACGCGCACGCATATATATTTACAAAAATGTAAAAAAACGTATACTAAATATAGAAGTATAAGAGTACAGAGATCATGGTTAAACAAGATAAACGAAACACGTTTGCGTTATAAAAAGAACGAAGAATTAAGTTATGTTTAATTTTTATCAGTATCTAGGAGGCTTATTTGGGAAGTACACACATATAGATAAATTTTTGGCTGGATCTGCGGCTGGTGTTACAGCGGTTACATTAACATATCCATTAGACACAATTAGGGCTAGGCTTGCTTTTCAAGTTACCGGGGAACATATTTATGAAGGAATTATGCATGCCAGCATCACAATTTTCAAGGAGGTAATTTGTATTAATCTACATTTTAACAAGCATTATTCAAAAAAGTAATTCATATTCAATACAGAATTTAATATTTAAGTATAGAGTGCAGAATGCAATCAGAATTTAGACTTTGAACGTCTCCTGTCAAAGATAAGGAAAGTTTGATAAATTGTAAATATATCAATAACTTGATGATATTTTTTAGTTTTACTATTATACATTTACAATGGAACGGACAATTCAAAGAGACCTTTTAAAAGTTTGTTTTTTACTCTTCTAGGAAGGTGGTGTAAGAGGATTCTACAAAGGATTCTGGCCAACTATTTTTGGTATGATTCCATATGCAGGATTTTCGTTTTATTCGTTCGAGCAGCTTAAATATTTATGCATGAAATATGGACCAAATATTTTTTGTGAAAAATGCGACAATAATACAGGTACGACAAGCACTAAATTTTCATGAGAAAAACATTAATATTCATTGTAATAAATATATAAATTTATATAAACTTTCTTTTATAAAACAGTAAATATTTCAACGAACACATAATTATACAAATAATTATGATTCTTGGGTTGTCGATTAAAAAAGAAAAGATTATAATACATAATGACATTATATTCTATTAAATATATTCTTCATATAATACTGAACGAATATATATATACGTATACCCTATAGGTGGTTTAGTTTTGAGTATACCAGCAAAATTATTGTGCGGAGGTATTGCAGGTGCTATTGCTCAAAGTTTTTCTTATCCGTTAGATGTTACTAGAAGACGTATGCAATTAGCTATAATGCATCCGACTACACAAAAATATAGGTAACTATGTCTACAAATTTCAAACGTAAACGATTATTCACCCCTATCGAATAATTTATCGTGTAATATTACTGCATTATAATTTCTTTCTAGCGCTGGTATGTTAGAAACTATAAAACTAATATATCTAGAGAATGGTATTATAAAAGGTTTGTATCGTGGAATGAGCATTAATTATTTACGAGCTATTCCTATGGTGTCTGTTAGTTTTACAATGTATGAAATTATGAAACAAATACTTAATTTGGATACAGGAATGAAAGTGTAAATTTGTTTTATAATGCGATAGGTAATTTTGATATTCAAATTTCACCTACAAAAAAGTACAAAGCGCATACAGTTTAATCAAATACAAATAATGTCCAATATTTTTTTAACAATTACTACTAAATCCTAGTGATATTGTATTAGTTTTATATTATAATGCAGTAAAGTTGTAACAAATGTTTAAATCTGATCTAAAATTATTAGGGACGACTTCAACTAAAACGAATAATTACGATTAAATGATAAATATCCAATGTACGCAGACATTTATTTTTTTATGTATACAGCTCAGATGTTGACATATGGTTTAATGTTCACGTCGAGTAAAAAGTTGTATTATTTTTGTGAATAGGCAGTTCGTTTAATAATAATTCGCATATACGTAACTGAAGAAATTTTTAATAACAATACGTAGAAAATGCAATCAAACATTACTGTACTAAAAAACGGAGGGTAAAACAAATAACTGTAATATAATTTGTATATTTCTATTGATAACGTGGTAGGATTCGATCCGACAATTTAAATTCTAGATAGGAATTAATTTATTATAGAAACTGTATCATATTGTATAAGAAACAATATACTTGGTGCGGATATTCCAGAGGAATGCATGTAACAGTAATTGTATTTAAAACGCGGTAATTTCAGAATTATAGAAAATTTATAAATAAAATATTTTTTCTCAATTATCGTACCCTATTTTTGATCCATTAAACATTTTCTTATTGATTAAAAATACCAAAGAAAAGACGAGGAAATTATTTTAATAATCATAAAAGCTATAGCGTATGTAAATTTGTAAACTCAAGTGTTTCTCATTTCTGTATCTGTGGAATACTTGCATAATAACCAACAGGTTGCAATAAATAATTTTTCTCGTTGATATTTCCAATTTGATTTTTGTTTTTTTGTCAATTATTTCTTAATAAACGTTTATTTTTGTACATAAAAATTGACCTATTTCTATGAGAACTTACTTTTAAAGTCTTTATGTTAGAATAAATGTAAATAATTATTTGCTCATTGTATCCCTTGCGTTACCGAAATTCAGTGTAAAAATGATGTAAGACCTTCTAAATATGATAACATCTCTTTATTTCTCTAGCTTTGTTTATAACGAAGCGACATAATATCAGTTCATGGCGCACTGTTTTCCTTGCTTCAGCATTATCTGTTTAAATATAGATCTTGCAATCCTGTTTAGTGTTTGTAACTTAATATTTTGAAGATATCCAAAGTCTAAAAACAATGAAGTATACTGAAAGTTAAAAACCGAATACACACACATAATTCACAGTTGCCCAAAGCATTCGTTTAGGCTAATATAAAAACGTTGTAAAAGATATAGTAAAGCGTTATCTGAAATTTATGTGTACAAAATATAATAAGCATATAGTGTAGAATAATTATATACAGGTATAAATCGATCGTATTTCCAGAAATTTATATACACAACATAAAATATGTTGAGACATATTGATATATAAGTTCTGAATTACGTTTATGCATGTGCATTGGTGATCAATCGGCTCGTTATAAAAGCATGTTTTATTTGATTTACTTTAATTCAAAGAGTATGATAATTTCATAATAACCTGCATATGCAGGCACATAAAAATTTGATGTCGATTGCTGAAACTGGATCGGAACAAGAAAAACAGATGAAAATTTGATAAATAAAAAATAATTAGCTTACAACGTTTTGTAGCAAATTTAACAATAAATTTGTCTGCGATATTGAAATTTATTCATCGTATGAAATACTTTAAGAAGAGAGAATAAATAGAGTGAATACAAAATTAGCTATACAAGTTCTACGATCTATTACTGATTTTCATGTAAGGCTTATTTCTAATTAACTCATCTGCTTCTATATTGTAGTACTACAATCTTCTTTTCATTCTATGTAGGAAATTTTATTTTTAGTTTTTATAATCCATTGAATGTACTTGATACGTGATACAAAATAAAAAAAACAAAAAAATGCTCGGCCCTGCATGACGCAGAAGGGGTTGCTGTATCCACAATATGGTTCTGTGCTATTTTCTTTTAGATTTACAGTCTTAGTAAATTGCTATAGTGTGCATCTATACATTTCATTTTTTCACCTTATTAATTCTACTGTATCGTTTTGCTTTCATTATGCATATGCTCAAATTATTTGCTTATTTCTATGAACATATGTATTCTGTGAATTCATCCGATGTTCATGTATACAATATGTTTGTGTACTGACGAATATGAATGATTTGACACAACACATTAAGTTTCTTTGACTTGCATTACACATGTTTATTTATCAAAAGCATCATTTTATATCTATTAATTAGTAAAAAGGTCATCGGTAGGATTATGAGCAATCAATTTTCAATTTAATGATCGTGAATGCATGAATTCTCATTCAGTATAAAGAGTGTGTGTGTGTGTGTGTGTGTGTGGCATGCGCGCGTGCGCGGGTGTATCGCTTAGAAAGTTTTGATAGGATCAATGCAAAAGTTTTGCTCTTTCTTTAAAATTCACAAGATGATTGTGTGCTTAAATTTGTATAAAAGATTTAGAAACTACATCTTTTCGAGTTGGTTGGAAATAAAATAATTTCAAAAGTAAAATAAATACAGAATGAACACAATTGACCAACTTTTAGGTGTCAAATTTACTGTTGCATCAACCCTCTTTATATTTCCTTGAGAAGAGAACATTTCATGCTCCATTCGTATTAATAATTATATGTGACACTCTCTTAAATATAAACTATGATCGTTTTTGGTATACTCGTTGAAACCTTAGACAACATTAACAACATTAATATTTAAACAATTAATATTTGTTCAAGGTTTCAAAACAAATACCATGCGCATACTTTTATTTGCTCTACTTATTGCGTTCAATCCATGTATTATGTTCGTTTCTTTATCTTTTGATAATAAAAATACAAGCAGTAGAATGAAAGTTGTAGAACTCAGTGTTATACGTGAATTTTTAATCGGTACGTGTGTACATTATTATTTGTTTCTTCTTTTTATGTATACAATTAATGTTGTGTCTAGATGTATGGTGTTGGACACACGTCAAATACGCGGATGTGTGTTTCGTCTCTCTGCGAAACACCACAAAGTGAATGATGATATAATACTTGAGACAATAATATTTTGTGTAAGGATAGCTGGAACCTCACACTTTTATTGATGTTCTATCCATAAATTATATTCAGGGGCATTGTTATAAAGCCTGAATCATTTCCATACCCCTACCTTAATAGTTAAATCTGGGGGTTTGACTCTTTACAAGAAATAGTCTGGTGTCCGCCTAGTAACATGTGGCTCTCCACGCCTCGGAGCTGGATCAAATTGAAGGCTGAAAAATAAAGAATAGGAAACGAATTAAGATTATAACATTTAATTATTTCGGACGTGCTACGTTTCATAAATTTGTTTAAAACATACAATGAATATTTTAAAGCATCGTCTAATTCCATGATAGCAGCCTGATTTCCACAACGATAGCAATAATTCGGCGCTGAGAAAATAGTTACAACGTTACGATCATGACACCTGTAACAATAATTACGCGCTTCTCAGATAAAATTATATACAACTACGTATGGATATTACTACACAATACAATAATAGATAATAATTAAATACTGATAGAAAGGAAATTTATAAATGGACAATTTTAATAAATATACCAATTGTAGCCCTCCATAACTAATTGATGTGCTCGTGATACTAATGTCAGGCCATTAGAATGATTAAAAGTTTCAGAAATATCTTGTCCAAAAGTATATCCGGCCCCACGAGGAGAAATACCCCACCCTCCTCTATCATCCGGGTCTGACCATAAAAGGTCACACATTGGACCCTTAAAAAATGCAGCCACACGTTATTTTATATTTGTTAGCTTTACATTTAAAACTTAAGAGCGCAAGCACAAGCACCAACCTCATGTGGTACTTCTTGAAGACGATCTAAGCCACGTATATGATCTAATGTATCAATCGATGGAGATAAACCACCATGTAAACAAAATATTTGACCGTCCACAAGCGCAGTCAATGGTAAATAATCAAAAAGGTCCGTAAAAAATTTCCACACATTGGCATTGCCGTATTTACGTAAACATTCATCGTAAAATCCATATACCTGTGTGATTTGTCTGGATTCATGATTACCTCGTAAAATTGTTATTCTTTCTCTATATCTGACCTATATAGACGAAGTTATTTTGTTAACCAACATTAGAATACAATAATAAATATCCATATCCGTAATTATATTCGACCAATTATCTTTGTTTACATTACTATAATTTTATACGATATACTCGTTTGTATGTAATAATCTTACCTTAAGCGCAACGAGCAAAGTAACAGTTTCAACCGAATAATAACCACGATCTACATAGTCACCCATAAAAAGATAATTTGTATCTGGAGATTTGCCACCTATTCTGAACAATTCCATCAAATCATGGAACTGTCCATGTACATCTCCACATACTGTTACTGGACATTTTACTTCTTGTACGTTAGACTCTTTAGTTAAGATTTCTTTCGCCTACAAAAATACATTCAATCTCATAATATTTGATGTTGTAAATATAACATGTCTTTAACTTAACTCGACAAGAATATTTATGAAAATTTGTAAAACAATGTAAAAAACCCCTGCGACAGATTTACCAATAGATATTATTTAAACAAGGAAATAGAATTTATTTAATAAACAAACTAATATACAATCATATTTCAATATTGAGCATTATGCTATTCACAGAAATACCTTCAAAAATACTAAAAAGTATTTGATTATTTTTTACAGATAATATATTCCACAATATATCAGTGATCATTATTTCAATGATTTATTACATACTTTTACAAAAAATTTCTAATAAAATAGATTATACGCATGTATAATGCAAACTTCTAATTAAATATAAATCAATTTGTTGCTATTGGTAATGTTAACAAAAATAATTAAGTTAAGTAATAGTATCTGCATAATACAGGATTATATTAATAAAACTTATAATTATCAATGCTGTGTTTGATATCTAAATTTTAAATAGATCGTTCGGATCAATAAGTATTTACAAATGTGTAGATAATTTAAATATTTATATCTGTATCGATTGTAATAATTGGTTCCTTCTCATTTTACAAACAAATCCTTCTCTATTTAATTTGAATTATTAATTTTATATATTCAAAAAGAAACAATTTGAAGCAACGATTGATATAAAATTAAAAAAACACATCGAAGCAGAAACTTATATTGAAATATAAAATATCAGTACTGTACCGATATTTTCTTAATACATCTAGATAACTTACAGACACAAAGGTATTAAAAATACAGATTTACAATCTATTTCTTTTATATGATCCGTATCTGTACGATAAATTTATTATAACTTTGAACAAAATGTTAGTCCGTATTATATATAAAAACTGTAAACTGACAAAACTGTTCAAAGGTGAATTCTGTTCTAGAAATCAAAGGTTCCTGTTATTTATGATTAATGTCACCAGTGTTTATAAAGTTTATGTACATTGTATTTATAATCATATACTTGTACCATTACAACTATATTATGTATACTATGAATACATTTTAAGAAGTTACATAAATGTTATATCGGGCAGATGAAAAGCAGAGAAATAGCAGTTTAAACGTCGGTTTTGCGCATTTTGTAACAGAAATTGAAAGTTTCAGTATCATTTATCCGAGAAATAGACAATATCGAAACAATTTTTAGTTCCAAGTCTTTACGTGAAAACATTGAAACGAAAAAACGATCAACGTATAATTTCTATGCCGAAATAAATCCTATCCGAAAAATAAGATAAGTAGAATTGTCGGTTAATTCGACGAACCAGTAAATTTTACAAGCACCGAACAAGTTGCAGTGGGACTTCCAATATCAGCGAATACTATTATTCGAGCGTCCGAACATGATCAAAACGCGAATATTCATTAAAACCTGAAGTCCGATAAAATTGTTAAATGTATAAAATTAATGGTTAAAAGATGATGATCGGTAAATTTAAATTTATCACAATGTAATTTATAATGACACGTCAAGGGATATTCAGCGTTATCGTCAAGTACCACTAAATGATTGTAAAACAACAAATCGGACGTAATCGCGAAATGTGTTTAAAATGTTCAAGTTAAGTAAGCAGCCGCACAGAAATTAACGAGAAAATAATTAAAGGCGGATCGCCGCGTACCTTCTCACACAGAGTTTTCACTTGGCTTTCTGTTAGTTGTTGGCAGTCATTTAATTGTTCTATCCACTGGTCGAGCTCTTTCAACGACGCTTTTTCCTCCATCGTACGAATCTACGTAAAGTCCAGGAATATTCCGCGCTCTTAGCACGTGTAATAAAATTAAAGCGAGCCTGTCTCGTAAACTAAATCATTCGGTCTTACTGGAAAAGCTTAATACAAATATCTCGATCAAGCACACACTCACAAAATGGCCGATCGCGAGTACTAACGGTGACGTCATACTCAATTCATGCGTACTTCTCTACCTATGCTCGGATTACCATACTGACCAATCATCACTTGCATTTATTGCACATTGCCCAATGACGATCTGACTTTATTGTTGCCCGTGTGTCGTCAATGTGTATCCACTTTCCACTGTGCGATTCTGACTGCATCGTTTCAATAATGACGATTATATTTTTCTCGAAAACATGAGAATTTTCAAGTATTGTGTAAGTAAATGCGAAATGAAATATAAGAAAAAATACGAAAAATGTTTAAACGGAGAATGCTAGAGGCCTTAAAATTCAGACGTGAATTTAACGTGCTAGTTATTATACGCATTAAATTTCAAACTTCATAGCCATGACATTCGCGCGCGAATGTTGAAAGTTGAAACTTTTTTATAGTGTCAAAAGATTCAAAAAAAAACTAAATAGTTGACGGTATATGTTGCTTCTAAAACTATTCCATTATTCTTAAAATGAAATATAAATATGTGTATATGAGAATGGATCCCAGATGATTACTTTTTTTCCATTTTAAATTGATACTTATTTGTATGTTTCAAACAAATATCATCTTTCATTTTGATATTTATTATAATATATACAATACTTATGTTAATCATATAAAACCTACAATAAAAAATAACATTGAAATTGATTTAACAATATTACTGCAGTAGTCGAATAATATAACTTCGGAATGTAAAGTACTTAACGAATATGTATTTATATTATTTCAATATATTTTGTGTATACATCGATGAAACAAAATTACATTCAAAGATTTTAAATTATTTAATGAGAATATAACATCGTATGAAGTCATGATATTCATAGTTTGCTTATATAATAATACTTAATTTTACAGTGTTGCTAAAATTTAAAAGATTATGATAAATATTTCATAACGCGTATCGTGTATAGCAACCATGGGCAACATGGGATTTTATTACCCGTATGACCATTTGGGTCATCGATGGGGCTGTCTCGCTGTAACATGGCGCAATCTGTAGTCCATAACCAGCTTGGCGTATAGAAACCCAAATATTTAAATCAGAAATAGTTTAATTTTAGTGTCCTTGCAGTGTTTTATTATTCCTGTTCTATCGTTCGATGTAAAAACACTAAATTATACTTTTTTTAATTTAATTTTTGTTTTAATTTTCAATGGATACTTTTTTTTATTTAATAATTTTAATAAGACTATTAATAAAATGTAAAATGCAAACGGAAGGAATGAATTTTTGTTGAAAAGAACCTAATTATTTCAAACCTTTTATTAACAAGGCTGAAATATATTTTCTAACGTTTCCTTCGTTACTGAAAAATAATCTTTTAAAACAATACTAAGAGATAAATAATGAAGTAAATAGATACAGTTTACATAATTATCGTTACACACTGATCTAGTTTGTAGTATTTCATTGTTCATCTGCAAAGCGTCGCGTCTAATTGGATAAGCCATGGGAGCAACAATTTCATCTTTGTTCTATAATTTAGATCCGATGCGATAGGATTATGCTCTAAGTAAACAGTCTGTAATTTCTTATTGGTTGTTAAATTCTCTACGGTCGCCCAATCTTCGATTTCATTGTTATTTATCTGCAAAATACATTATATTGAAATAAAAATAGGATAAAAGTTTTGACAGCAAAATAAGACATCGTTCTTACCCAAAATTCCTCTAAACTTTCAAGATGGTCTATATTTTGAACCTTTTTTATTTTGTTATTTGCCAAATCCAATGTTGTTAGCCTTGGGCAATTTGATAGTCCTTCGATACATGTTATCCCATTTTCGGATAGATACAATTGATCCAGTTTTTGTAATTCTTCTAGATTTTCTATTTTTATAATGCGATTACTTTGTAAACTTAACAACTGAAGATTTTGTAAGTATCCTAAATTTTCAATCTTTGCGATTTTATTTTTACCAAGGAACAGACTTGTCAGATTTTCAAGACCGTCAAGATTCGTAATTTCTCGTATTTTATTGTCGCCTAACTCGAGAGTTGTAAGTTTTTTCAGGTGCGACACATTCTCGATACACTGAATTTTATTCGACGATACGAATAACTTCTGTAGGTTCAATAAATTCTCTAATCCCTCTATCTTTTTAATACGATTAAAAGATACATCTAAAATTCTAAAAATGCAATAATTCTATATTATTGTTCGGTAATATAAAAAATAGGATACAACGACAATTAGTTAAGAAACAAATAATTGTTATAAAAAGAAAGTAAAAGTCTTTTATATTATTTAAACTACATACTCCAAATTTATAAGGGTATTTAAATTTTCTATAGTAACAATCTGATTATCCCTTAATTCTAATTCAACCAAAGTCGTGAGGGTACTGAGATTTTCAATTTTCTTGATCAAGTTCCACGTAAAACACAATCTACGTATTTTCCTCAATGGTTCTAAATTTTCTAGTTTCGTTAATCTTGAATGATTGAAATCTAATTCCTAAAATATAAATAAATATAATTATATACAAGCATGCTCGACAAACGAAAAACAATTAGAATTAAAAGAATTAATAACGAAGACGAACTTCGTTATCGGGATCTATGATAAGAATTTTTTCTGGTTCTTCGTTTTCGTCATTCTCATTTTTCTCTTTAATTTCAGCCGAACTTTCATGTTTACTATTTTCTAAAACAACAAAAACAGTCTCGAATATAACTACGTATCGGTCTTTTTATTAATTATTACAATAAATATTCACTGTACCATTATTTGCCATTATTATTCAATACGATTAACAATAATTCTGAAAATTTAATTAATCGTTTCGACTAATCACTGCGTAGAAAATTTTTAGTTTCGTAGCTTTTTGAAATCTAATGTAAATTATGGAAGCCACTGCACTTGTAGTTTGAACAGTTCCCAATTTCATAAACTTTGCACCGCGTTATACTACAGCAAGTGTTACAATGTCCCGCATATATAAATTATTATATCCCGTAAATGTTAACTAAGATGTATAGTTCTTAAAACTTTACATCGTTTATTCTCGATCTCACACGTTTTACAATAAAGGGTAGTCCACGTAAAGTAGTTCTGAAATTTTTGCATCTAGAAACTTTAGGGTATTGTGGCAATGAAATAATAACATTATCGTGTTCGTAGTTCAACAAAAATTTTATTATCTTTGCGTTTGTATTCTATAGAAAACAAACAAGTTTATGGCTACGTTTACACGATCAACATTTACGCCAAAGTTATAACATCGATGTACGTCAGGAATATTAATTTTTGCCATCTAGGAACTTTGGATTCGGTAAAAATATGAGTCAGGTACTTGATCATTTATAACACACATTCGTAAATTTGAACCACATAAACGTACTCACAGTAACTGACTTAGAGTATGTTTACATTGTACGGATTACAGAGTTGTAATATTTATGTACACGTGGAACATTAATTCTTAATCTCTAAGAGAAGATCATTAACTCTGGTATTAATCTTCACTTTCGGATAGACGTCTTAGTTTATACTCCAGCTAACGTGTTTTTTCCCTAGAATTAATCTTCTTCGAAGTAAGTACATCCATTTGTAAGGTATAAATGTATTCGATAACGTAGCAAAGTAATTTCATTAAACGTTAAGAATTTTGTACAGGTAATATCATAGCTAATTCTACTACGAACTATATCGAGCGAGAGACAGAAAAAGTTGTGTGTCCGATTTTTCATTGGATAGACGGAGACACACAAATATTACATATCTTTCTATCAAGCGTAAAATCAGACTCTCACTAGAACTTACTAGAGTTAACTATGTTACTGGTACAAAGTCCAGTAATTTCGGTGAAAATTATTTTTAACATTACTCGTACCAAAATCTTAGGATACATTTAATGAAAAAGCTAGGAAAATAAATACAAAAATTTCTAAATAATATAACATCTAATCTAGGGGAAAATGTTAAGAAACGATATTTAAAATTATTAGCAATATTTGTCGCTGTATTTCTGAAGAAAGAAATAATCGGAAAGAGATAATGAAATTTATAATCTTAATAGGAGAAAATGTGTACGAAATATGATAAAAATAAAAATTTAAAAGAAAAAGAAATTTAACAATTTCGCGTACATGTTTCATCAATGAGTATTACCGTTTATGTATCATTGTCGCGTCCGTGACTTGGATTAGTAGCCAGTCTAGTGAAGATGGCTGAAAACAATGGCACTGGTTATTGAGCTAACTTTGCGTTCTCCTGATACTTGTCAACAAAGAAGTTATCATTAATTAAAAAGTAACCGAAGCACACATCATAGTCACACGTAAGTACGGTTTCCCTTCTTTTATTCTTATCGATAAAAATTTTATTCTTCTCATTTAATATCCTTGGCATTTAGCGCTGTGCAATATAGTGACCGTGCTTTTCGTGTTTTACTGCTGTCATCTAGACTCTGATTAGAGAGAACATTTCGAACTTATTTTAACGTGTTCGAAAAGTGCTTCCTACAATCTTCGTTCTATATACATGTGTTTTTCTAAATCACGATATCTTACAAATGTTTATGCATTTTTGCAATGTAGTGTCTCGCAAATTTTAAAGGAAATTATGCTGTAATTTACCTACAAAATTTTTTATTTTTATAAATAAATGATATTCTTTGATCCGTAGTTATTGTATTCGATATAAAAAATTTATGTTCAGATGATATTAATAACGTTTTCACGATGTGTGGTTTCGTATAAAATATATTTTTAATTGTTATATGGCAGAATGTAAAGTTTTGCAATTTGTTCGAATTGATAATTGTATGGATTATAATTTTTCATTGGGAATATTACATTGGGTCAGTCATTATTTTCTGTACAAATTTTTGAATTTTTTACTTTTGCATACATCTATAAAAAATACTAGATGTAAGTATAAAATAAAAAATAAATAAAAATATTATTTACAATATATTTCTTACACGAAGATGAATAGATTTATAAAATTAATAAAGTATTTCTATTAAAATCAATATAATGCTCGAGTTAAATTAAAAATTAAATTTAGGCCAAAGTAAAGGAAATATTTGTATAAACTAAACTAGTGTTATTTAAACTATATAAATAATGACAAAGCTGAAATCATATGTAAAATATACAATTTCTTTATTCAAGAATTATTTTCAATTTATAAATTTAAAGAGAATCTAATATATTCTTAGCACCTTATAGATTTAATAGTTTAATATGCAAATTTAATTTTTCCATGTATTATTATGTAAAGATGATTATTTTCAGGTATATATTATGGCAACTGCTATTCAAAAGAATGGCATGAAACCTTTAACAAACACAATAAATCATGTAGAGAATGTAAATAATTTAAACAGTACGGATATATGTAATGAAGGAAAAGATGAAAGACTGTACGATGGGCAAATCCAACCTTATGTCGATCCTCCTGAACAGGAACCTCGCGAGCTGGATATTGTCATTAATAACGTAGTTTGCAGCTTCAGCGTTAGGTGTCACTTAAATTTACGAGAAATTGCGCTTAATGGATCTAATGTGGAATATAGGAGGGAGAATGGGGTACGTTCCAAAGCAATCTTGTTTTCTTGTAATAAATTATATTTATGTAATGCGTTTAGCTATGTATCAATCTTAAATATATCTATATGTTTTACCAATTTACTTTCGATGTATTTTTAATTGGAATTTCAAACTTTTTCTATAAAAAATTCAAAATTATGATACCCAAGTTCATAAGGTACTTAAGTTACAAGAAGTATCGGTTGTTTAATTTTTATCATATTGTTTATCTTCTTTTCTCTTTTCATTTCTCATTTGTTGACATTATTTTGTAATTGTGCAATTTAACATGGTATAAAAAGCTTGGGGAAATAACCTTGTGTGGCCAATATTTTTACTGTTAGTATAATATTTATATAGTAATGAAGAAGAGACAATAAGTGTGTTAATACTTATCACGTTCAATTTTTTATCTTTATACTTTATAAGAAATTATAATGATTTTTTTTAATAAATATAGTTATATTTTATTCTGTTTCCTCTTTTAAAGTAATATTCGTCTTTATTTTCATTCCAAAACAAATATCAAATTAAAAATATTAAGAAATAGCCTATTTTAAGATTAATAACAGTTTCAATTCAATGGTTTTTTCCCCTTTATAAAAGTAACCTTTTACAACACAAAAAGTGTTATTTCTACGTAGAAATTATTTATTATAGTTGTGTATAAAATATTATTTTGTTTCTAAATTGGGTAAAGTAATTTGGTTTTTGTAACTAACATTAATTAGTAGTTATGAATGTTTTTCGCATATATATACACATGTTGTAGATGATAACAATGAAATTGAGGAGACCTTATACTACCGCTTCTATATGGTCTTCTGGTAAAGTAACATGTACTGGTGCAACTAGTGAAGTTCAAGCGAAGATTGCAGCTCGTCGATTTGCTCGTTCGCTTCAGAAACTTGGATTCAAAGTGCGATTTAACAATTATAGAGTGGTTAATGTACTAGGTACATGTTGCATGCCATTTGCAATCAAGATAACATCGTTTTCTTTGTATCACAAGGAAGATGCAGAGTAAGTATGTTTAGTTACATACACACAAACATATGCATCTAAATGTGTACATATGTAAAGTGTAAGAAATTGAGTTTAAGTTATGTTTTCTTGTAATAGTTTGCTTATATTTGAGAAAAAATTATTAATAATATTTATTGTGCTTAGTTATGAACCAGAATTGCATCCTGGTGTTACATACAAGTTAAAAGAACCAAAAGCCACATTGAAGATATTTTCTACAGGCAGCGTTACTGTAACTGGTTCGTATTATTACTTTATTCAAATTTTCATAACTACGAAAGGATATACAAATATTTTCCTTGGTATACATTAATTTTCTGATTGATCAAATAAATTTTAATAAATGTTGCAGCTCCTAATGTTGCTGCTGTCCAAGCAGCAATCGAATACATTTATCCACTAGTCTACGAGTTTCGTAAAGAAAGAACAGCAGAAGATGAACTTGCCTTAACAACAAAAAAGCGTAGTAAGATAAGTAAGAAAAATCACGAAGAGTTCCTAAATGACCCAGATTATGTATATGAAGCCATGTTCTCGGATGAAGAAGACGAAGGTGAAGGGGGTGAGAGTGATGCCAGTTGGGACTGATCTGTTTACTTTGCTACTCTTTTGTTAATTGTGAAACTGTTATATCTTGTTCTTTGAAAAATAGATATGCACTGCTCTGTGTACAAAAGTGTTATCGTAAAGAGTGAAGTGAAGTATTCGTTTTCTCTTAGTGAAAAGACAATATGTGAGCGCCAGAGACAAATATGCACGCATGTGTGTTTTAATTATGGTTACATTAATACCGAATCAAACTGAATTCCATCATCAAATAATATTGTCATATTTACTTTCATTAATAGTATACGTATGTACATAGATACATTCATACACACACGTCCCTCCCCCGCCCCCTTTCTCTCTCTACACACACACACACGCCTATGCATGCATGCATCTATGTACATATAAATATTAAACATAAAAACAATTTTACACGCAGAATTGTTTTGTTTCAGCACACAATATTTTCAATGTTCATTTAAAATTTCTTGTTTTTTCTCAATTACTTTTTTTTTACATAAAGATTGAGTGTATTTAAATGATTAGAAAAAGTTCTAAGAAGAGCTTACTTGTAAGTATACTCCTTTACATTTAGGTATGAAATGATACATGCTTTTTAAGTTTTTGGTTATATATAATCGATCGATTATGTATTCCAGTATTGTGGCGGTAATCAAAAGCGTGTATAGTTTACTGTCCTTTGTTCTATTTGTTTCTACTTGTAGATGTAATCTATTTTTGCTTAATTAACATATTGTGCCAAAGATGGATGTTCAAAATTTGAGGCAAAGTGATCAAAGTGACATCTAAGAAGCTGAAAATTTTGTTCATTATAATAATTAGCTTTTTTATTACAACGATAATGTGAAAATAATATACAATGATTTTTCTTTAGGTTTCAATATAAATACAGAAAAGTCATAAATGATTCGACATGTTAATTCCAAAATTATTTGCAACTTCATAGAATACATTTAAAAAACTAGTATGCTTAATAACAGCTAGCCTATCTTCGATCGAATCAGTTAAAAAAATTAATATCAAATAACTTTGGAGCGAGAAAAAATTTCATTTTCCAAGAAATGATATAAGAAATTAAAAATGCAATGTTTTGTTTGTTTAACGATACATGTCTGTTTCTGTTATCAAATATTTTTGTTCTTGAAATAAGAACTTTTTCAAACAAATTATAAATTTCAATTACACGATGCATTTCGCATAATTTTCTGGGAGTTGCAACCTAAACATAGCGAATACAATATTACAATAACATACTACTTACCATTTCTTATATTACTCATCTACATATACGATCTTAATTATTTATTTGTCACTTGCAGTATCCTCATGACGATAAGTGCATTTGAATCGTGTCATCTTCGTCACTGTTATATATCATAGTTTGAGGAACAATGAATATTATAATATATGTTTTCTGCTGTTACTGAATTACCAAAATATTTAGTGATTAAAATCTAATATGTCTTAAACATGAGAAGCTTGACTGACACATGGCTATTTTTAAGTTCTGTTCGATAATAAAAATTGCGAGTATATATGAAACAAAATTTTATACAAGCGGCATAAAGTAAAGAAAGAAACATTTTTCGACTGTTTTTTAATTATTTAAGTACATTAGTATGGATTTACGTAAGACATACATGTAAATAAAACGAGTTCACCGAATGCACTGGTACGCAATTAGTTATATACTTCTTAATGATTATTAAGTAAAGTGCGTACTTTATAATTGTTATTATTCGTATACACTATTTATGATTCCTTACGTGTCACAAGTATGCGCGTGCAAAGGAATATTGGCAATACTTTTCGATATCATACACAAAAGATTAATCTGTACCTCGTGCCATACAAAATACTTTTCGTACGCTAAGCTTAATTGAATTTTTGTAATAATTTCTTATGATTTATTCTTTGTATGTTAAACAAGTTTTTTTTTACAAAAAAGCTATAGTCACTGCCCTTTGTGTATTCAATGCAGAAATTAAAAAGACTTGAGCTTAATTAAGAACGTGACATGAAGTAACAAAGCGCTGTAGTAGTTAATTTTATATTATTCAGTCATCGTATACATGAAATATGTATAATCATAGAAATTAAAATTATGATATTTTAGAAATTGGTATAATGTCAGAATTATTGTCTAATCGCTTTTAATTTTACTCGATTTCCTTAATCCGGGTATAATTTTCGTAATTTTTGGTAATTATTTTACATACGTATTAAAATTTAAGTTGAAATATTATTGGTTTTAACTTTTTCCATAAGATCGCATGAATAAAACATACAAAAATATTTGTCCTTTGTATTTAAAACTATGGTAGATTCTCTTCTGCTACAAATTCTGATGTCGTTTATTATATTTTTATATCTATTTCAATTCTACAGGTATTCTTGGATATATATTTTTAAAATTGATGATGACATTTCATAGAATGAATTGTCTTGTTAGACAAATCACAAGAATTGAATTAAATAATTTTTATTAGAAAATACGAAGGTTTCTGGAGTGTTCTGTTTGAGAAATTTTATATTAGAATGAAAAAATTATTTATAATCATAATACACATTATTGATTTCAAATACTGCAAGATATTTTTCTTTATCACGTTACTGTGTCACGAATATTTGAACATTCAATGCAATGAGTTATTTTGTTAAGTACCATCGATGTACGATTGTATGCATGAAGTACAGAAACATTTAACTTTTATATGGAATAAAGGCTAATGTAACCACGAGTAGGAATCATATCATTTACAGATAGAAATCTTCGAATGAAATTTATTTAGTATATTTCAAATAAACACAGATTATTTCTATATATATTTTTTTACACGTTTTCCTTTACTCATGACTGCCAGTTTTACTACTTACCATCGATGCAATTATTAATGCAAAAAAGGAAATTGTTGTACCAAGTATATACTATGGTTTCTTTTTTATTGTAATACTGCACATCGTTAACATTTTAATTTGTTCAAAGCATACTTTATTCGAATATAACATGTTTCAAGTCTAGGAGTGAACTATTTGAAAAATTTGTATTCAAATCCAACTTAGTGTCAACGTGGAACTGCAGTGATCTTAGTAGGATTATACAGAATTTAGATTAAGTTCCAAATAAGCCACTGTTTATTATGTTTGTATGACTGTCGATCACATCTATGTAATATATTTCTTTTTTTTTTCAATAGTTTGATTGAGATGAATTTATTAGTTTTGATTCGAATTCATGACAATAAAATATTACCATTATAGTTTATTAATGTAATATCATGTTTATAAGATGGATTTTTTTTTAACACTAATCTATAACGCATCCATTGTCTTATTGATTAAATATTAGTTCTTACACCTGAAGTAATGGGTGCAACGTAAACATTAAATAATAATACTAGAAATGTTTCTGTTTCTATTGATCTTTATGTGTACTCTTAATGTTTCTTTAAACATGCTTGCAATTGTTTTCAATCAGTAGAATCAATTACTTTTTTGTTGCGCGCGTGCTATCTACTTTGAATGAATTACTATAATGAAAATATTATTATTACTACAGTAAAGAAAGAAACATGTTTCGGGATTGTTAACAAAATAATGTACACTTTTATCAAATTCATTAAATTTCATGTATCTAAATAGAATTTCACATTCCAGGCCTTTCGACATTACTACTTTCTAGTCTGAAAACTTGCATACACCAAAGACAGTTCATAAAAGCATGTTACAATTTAAAATAGTATAGATAACAAGAATACATTGCTCAAGATTGATTAAATTTTATGACACTATCTAGTACAGTGCTTGTAAAGTTATTAATGAAAATATGTAATTTAGACTTGTTCGGGATTAAAATTAGATCGGTCTGCAACTATAACAAATAAATTCAATCGAAGCTTTGGTAGAGGTGAACATTCTCTGTCAATCCTTCTATATATTCTGTAGTCGCAATACCTATAAACGAACGATGCATCAAGAATAAAGTATGATTTCCTGGCATAACGCTTAATTGGTAGCCACATTTTTATATAACTAAGTAATTAGGCGTATTCATACATCTGTACAAAAAGAAATAATCTGCAACACGACGTAAAAGCTCGTTATGCGATACAAACATTAGAATGTAGTGCCGAGGTTTATAGGCAGAAACGGTTTATTGAAATTAAAGATAAATTATATGTTATGATTTACTTGACAAAGAAAAATATGAATCGCTGATGAAAGTATTAATTTCTTGACATTGATGTTGTCCACCTAAAGGCGTTTTCAATGTTAAATTGTTTCTTATTAATATAATAATACATATTATCATGTAGCTGCATCAGTTTGTAGTAAAGAAAAGGAACTATAGAAAAGTATACTAATGTGGTATTATATCAATTAAATAATAATAATGCATTGTTTACATCAATATTTATAACAAACCTTGTTGCTCTAGTTTTTTAATTTGTTTCAACGTAATCGTGTCTGTGGAGGATAATGTACTCATTTATTTGATTTATAATTTGTCCGAATTATTGGGATCATATTTGTAATTATTTTTAAAGAATACATTAATCACACACGTGTATTCTGTAAAAGACAATTTCTTGGCAAACTGAAGTTCACTTATAGTTATTGAATATTTTTGTTTGTATACTTTTCAAAACATATTAAATTGTTTTATTTATAAGTAATTCATTTATCATTACTATTTTGATAGATTATTAGTAATAATAACAATATATACACTGTATTATTGTAAAGTACAGTAATATTAAGATATACTTAATATATAGTGAAAATTGCATTAATAGTGTGGCTCTTCTAAAAGCAATGTGTATTTAGGTACCTTTAATGGAACATTATAAATTTTACATTCAAGAGATGTTCACGCTCCCTATATCGAAGAAAAATCTTACACTATAATATATTATTGAATTGCTATTTTTAAGAAACATAAATGAAGATGGAAAAGCAATTTGGTCACTTTCAAACTGCTGCAACGTGTCCAAGAAATTAAAATACTAATGCATGACGTTATTAAGATGAACTGAAAAATATGTAAAAAAAAAAAAAGTAAATAGTCTGTAAGGTATGAGCCCAAGGCATTCATAATAATTTATATGTAACTTTTCATTAGGTAAATATGTATTCATAAGACTGTTAAATGAACTGTAAATGGAAATTTGTATGTAAATCAGAGAAAATAAAATTTTTAAACAATTTTCTTTATTTCATACATGGTTATATTTCATGTAACAAAATATAAAACAGTCATAAAAAAATTAAGCAATTTACTGTTTATGAACCATTGCATCTCAATAACAAAAAATTAATTTACAATTGAAAAATACTATAAAGTCACATTTATAGTATTTTAGACAAAATTCCATTAGTATAACGTGTTCTATATTTAAAATTTGCAACATTCAAAATTATAAAATATAATTATTTTTCTAATTATCTGTTTAGACTTTCTTTTTAGTACTCCGTTAAAAATATAATAAAAATTTAAATGCATAAAAAGAATTTTTCATTTTTTATGAATTTAAATTGAATTCATTATTTCACAATCTATATTAGGTCGTGCTTTTTTTCAATTTGTAAGCATTATACTTGTACAACCTAAGTTATAATAATACATGAACAAATAAATACTATTATTTTATTAACAACATATCGGCAATTAATGCTGAAATTATACAGTGTAACAAGGCTAAAACTATCGTTCGTTGATATTCTCCTATGTTAAAATAGAATTACATATGTACTCGCGAATAAAAACAATTAACAAGTATGTCTTATTACACTAATTGTTTTCTCTTGACTAATTAGGAAAGGATGTCTGTAAAATAGCGTTCAAAATCAAAAGTTTGTTAAATAACAATACAATCCCTTTTGTTTATTAAAAAACTTATTTTATTCGGAAGAGGAATCATTTGGTTCATCATTTCTCATATTTATTTTAATGTATACGTACTTGCGTAACATTTAAGAATAACAAATTAAAATGTTACATTCATTTGTAAACTAACTTTTTATGTTTCATTCGTAGCTTTATTCGTAAATTATAATTCGTTAAAAAGAATTTTAAACCGACATCTACGAGAACGAAGCTGTACACAAAAGCTAGTTTATGAATGAATCTAACATTTTTATGTTTACATTATTCATGAATAAAATTTGTCCAACTCTACCGAAAAGATTCGAGATTGAAAGTATTGATAACAGATAATTAAATTTTCCCAATACAATTGAATAATTGTTCGTATTATGTTTTAAAACCGTTCAATTAAGTATAATTAAAAATAGTTGGAGTAAGGTCAAATTTGAATTAATTTTCATCAGGAATACTCATGAAAATTTAATGATAAATATAAGAATTGTAATTTTTTATTATAATTGTCTACCAGTACTATAATTTATGCCAGCTTTTACACAGGTGCAATAATAATGTTGTGTATCATTATTTTTACTAATATAATTAATAACTATTATTCTTGATGTTGTCTAAAGGGTTTTAATCATTTTATTTAGACCAGATGGTATAAAAGCTTATTCATACTACTTAGGAGCAATAATAGATAACTTCTAATTAATAGAATACAATAAATATACCGTACCAATCAGAAATCGGATTGCGTCTAGCGCTTTTCATTTTATAGTACAGTTTACAGTATGGACAAGTTCTTTGCATCATGTATATACATATTTGTTATTATATGACTTGCGATCACGAATATATTTAATACAAGAGGTATTTTTCTGTTATACTTACTGGAAACGTGTCAGTATAGAATTAAAATCCAAAAAAAAGAGTATTACCTGGACTTTGTTTGAATGTTCTAGATACTTTTCTTTAAATTGTTGAAAAATGAATAGTGGAGGGAACATGTTAAAATAACTGTAGAAACAGGACGTCAGTTTAATATAATAGAGAATAAAAATTTTATTTATTAGAACAAATTAATAATAAATAATAAATAAGCAACTTTTTTTTTATCTTACGAATAGTTATCACGTATGGATGATATCTGTATTCTGTAACATGAACAATTATTAATAATTTTATATAATCAACATGCAGGAAAGAAATCAACTACACGTGTGTTAGTCTATGTTATTAAAAATAATAATAACTGTCGGATATGTATTATTAAAAGTATAAATTTTATGTACTATTCGTAATATCTAGGAACGTTAAGGGCCCGCTAACCATTCATTTTAACTGCGTACATCTTGTTTTCCAGTGCGCATGACCGGAAACACGCCAAACCTGACAACTATCGAGACTCAATCACTCTTTTCGTTGAACGCTTTGCTGAATGAGGACTGTTCATCGGGATCCGTTTCAATCCACGACATAAAATATTATAAAACGTTTACAAAATGACTGAAACTCTTCAATTAAGAGGAACGCTTCGTGGACATAATGGATGGGTCACACAAATTGCAACAAATCCAAAATATCCGGATATGATATTGTCTTCTTCACGTGGTAAGTTTACAAACATACTGTATCTTGTAATGAATTTATCTTCGTGTAGACGTATTTGTTTAATATTGTTGCATCGATATTGATTATCTGTATCAAACATTAAGATTTATTTCATAATTATTTTTACAACAAGTTCTATTATAATTAATACATAAAATAACATTTCGTAATATAATGGTACGGGTATATTATTTTATTAATAATTCTCTTCCGATGTGTGCTCGTTTATTATTTATTGGAATATCAAACATAATTTGATTATTTTCTAGGTGTGTATATAGCATTTTCGTTCGTATGGTATGCAAAATACAAAAATTTGATTTACAGATAAAACATTAATAGTATGGAAGTTAACACGCGACGAAGCCTATTATGGTATTCCTCAAAAACGGTTACACGGTCATGCTCATTATATTAGCGACGTAGTTTTATCCTCTGATGGAAACTATGCTTTATCCGGTTCGTGGGACAAAACTTTGCGCCTTTGGGACTTGGCTGCAGGTCGTACCACACGAAGATTCGAAGACCATACCAAGGTGTGACATTTTTCTTCTGAACTACGGTCGTCATTCTTCACGAGACGAATGGAAGCTTTTTTTTTTAAATTTTTTTTTATCTAAATGCCACGGGCAGAAGATAAAAACTATGTGAGCGATGGGGAATATACTGAAGCTTTTTTTTATATATTTTTTTTTGTCTTTAATAAATAGAAGAGGTGGGCAATTAAGTCTATGGTATTGTAAGTATTTATTACATCTGGTATGTGCATTCGTATGAGAGCAAATTAATTAAATGGATCGAAAAACTATATGTTAACAGGATGTTTTAAGTGTTGCTTTTTCTGTGGATAATCGTCAAATTGTATCTGGCTCCCGAGATAAGACGATCAAGTTGTGGAATACTTTGGCAGAGTGCAAATATACCATACAAGACGACGGACATACAGACTGGGTCAGCTGCGTGCGTTTCTCTCCTAATCATTCGAATCCTATTATCGTTTCTGCAGGTTGGGACAAATTGGTCAAGGTATGTTATTATTTTATATAATATATTATTTTTCTCGATTATATATTATGATGCATACTTTTCTTTAACATGATATCCATGAGTGTATGCGGATATGGGACTGATTCAACAAATCGTGAACAGTTTGCTGTAACTATTAGTCGCTTTTAGTTTTACTATGAAAATTGTTTTTAGGTCTGGAACTTGACAAATTGCAAACTAAAGATCAACCATAGTGGACACACAGGATACCTTAACACAGTTACCGTGTCTCCTGATGGTTCGCTCTGTGCTTCTGGTGGCAAGGTATGTATTAACATTAAAATTTTGTTATTTAAAAGAACGACTTATTAGACACTTAATAATTTATTTACTTTTTTTAAACTTGTAGGATTGTAAGGCTATGCTATGGGATTTGAACGATGGGAAACATCTTCACACTCTAGACCATAATGACATAATAACAGCTTTGTGCTTTAGTCCTAATCGTTATTGGCTCTGTGCTGCGTTTGGACCATGGATCAAGATATGGGACCTTGAAACGAAAGAGATGGTCGAGGAACTGAAACCCGAAGTTGTATCTGCGACGAGTAAAGCAGAACCACCTCATTGTTTGTCTTTAGCATGGTCTACTGATGGACAAACACTATTTGCTGGATATTCTGATGACACTATTCGTGTATGGCAAGTTTCAGTATCTAGCCGTTAAGTACTCTATGTGCAAGTAAAACAATAAAAAAAAAAAACGAAAAAAGCCTTTAAATTTTAACATTTAATTTATTTATTTACATGAAACTTTTATACAATCACTAGACTACGATTGAAAGATCTATTCTTTCTTGTCGTGTTCAGACTTCACAATTTTTTCTTCAAACTTTTCAAATTCTCTTTTTGCTATATGATCAGTTTCATCTTCTACTTGAATCACTCCGAGAACCTCTGGAATATAAAACTGCATCATATTTTGAACTCCGTTCCTTAAAGTAACCACAGAGCTTGGACAGCTTGTGCAAGAACCTTGCATTTTTAACTTTACTATGCCCTCTTCAAAACCCTGTAATTGGATGAAAATGTAACGAATATTTTAGCCTGAACCTTGGTTTAAACATAGATTTTTCAACTCGTGAAAAAAGCCAAACTTATGATAACATATGTATGTAGAATTACTAATGGTATGCGGATAGTTCGAGATTATTTGGATTCGGGCCAAGAAATCGGCGACATAACACATCATGAGAAATACGTTGATTTCTCAGACAATACATGACTGGTGGTTAAATCTGCTTCGGGATTGTTTGAACTGCATTTAAACTCGCCGATTTGTTGATTGCCTGAATTTGAGTCGACTACTTGCATACTCCTAACCTAACCCACCTAATTATTTGTAGTACAATCATTGTTTAAAAACGAAAAATTGTACCGAGTACATACCACGAATACAATATCACCTCCATCTTCTTGAACTGTTGGTCGTATACGAGTATCTAACAGTTCCTTTATCATTTGCACTATTTCATCATCATCCTCGCTGACTTCTGCAAATAAAAAATTGTTAAACATGTTACAGTATTGTTCATCCTTTCAAAATACCTATGAAGCTATCATAATACAAGCTACGATATTAAAAGCTTTTAATTAACAACATACACTATGTATTCATTAATAAATATATAAATTTGTGTTATATTAAGTTCTATAAATGTGAAAAAACTTTACGAGTATCTGCTGCAGGTTGATTTTCGTTTAAAACTGGCAAACCACTCGCAAAAAAATCCATAATAACTGCAAATATTTCTGGCTTTAATAATTTCCATTCAACGTCCTCGTCCACTTTTGTAATTGTAATAAAATCAAACCCAAAGAATACAGATTTTACTCCTTCGACTCGGAACAACATTTTTGCAAGCGGTGAACAATATGCTTCCGTGGCATTAGGGAAATCCTTTGTTTGACCTTGTTCGAGTAAATTAACTCCAGGCAGAAACTTTAAACTATTAGGATTCGGTGTGTCTTGAGTTTGAATGAACATATTACGTTTCTGCGTATCGATAACACCAAATTGTTTTGTAGGAGAAAGCAGGCATGATTTTAGCATACAAGTGTTACTGCGTGCATACGTATGTAAGGTAGAATTTATCAGGATTCTGTAACATGACATTAGAAATATTAGTGGAATTACCACTATGTTTTTATTTATACTTATAAATCAATATTGTATTTTGTTAGCTTACTTTGGATATCGGTACGTTGTTAATGGTTTACGTACTAGACGCCGGCTTATTATCAATGAATTTATTAAAATTTTATCCATTGTGCTTTCATCAGTTACGTTTTACTATAAAAAATGATTATTTTGTCTTTGCGGTTATGTTGCGTTTTATAATTGCATTTGACATTTATCTGTTTACTTTAGTTTCCCAACGTTTTACTTATATCTATCATATGCGTTGTTTTGTTATTTTTGTCACACTTCCCAACGGAAATAACATTTAAAAAGAATTCGAATCGATATACAAAGTATCGCCGAAAATATAGGATTTTTTTTTAAGATCAATGGTTAAAATATGATCAGGGTGTCTTTTTTATAATTTTTTTTTCATTATGGTCGAGTGTGTGAAAAAAAGGTTTATTTTGCCTTATTTCCCGACTCCCTCGAGGCGGCCCGAAGTATATTCGCGCTTACTTCGGGCAGCTTCGGAGAATCGAGAAGGAGAACGAGTGTCAGTTTGTCTTTGTCGACTCTCCCAAACTCTACGAGTTCATGTTCCCAGTGCACCTAGTACTCGTCCTGATAACACCGGGTAATATACGTTTCTGGTTACCTGTTCGTTCTTGCTTAAATGTTACAACTGCAACCGTATTACCAATTTTTGGAAAAATATCCCAGCCGAATGAAATACCCTAGAGTGTCGCTACACGGTCCACTCTTCATTCGATAGTATTTTTTATAATTGAGTGAATCAAAATGGCCGCGAAAACTTTGTAAACGGAAACGTTTATTTTGATGACACGAAGAAAATTGTATGCCCCGATTATTATTCTCGATCAGAGTGAATCGAATCGGCACGAAATAAGTCTTAATTGTCAAGAAATTGAATACATGTAGATGACAATGACCGAGGAAACACAATTATCTGAGACAGCCGCACAAAATGAGGCACAAACTAGTTCTCCAGATGTCGGAAAAGCTAAAGATAATAAAAAAGAAAAATGCCGGCCTATGACAAAGGTATTGTCGATTAAAGTGACGCTGAAAGTATTATGAACCATTTACTGTTCCTGTAAAGTATTTTTTTGGCTACATGCAATCTACATAGATTCCATACACTTGAAAAAACGAAGACGCAAGTTCTATTTTCGGCGTAAAATGTTTATAACAGAAATTTTATAAAAGAACACTATTCGTGCGATGCATCTTAAGTAAAATACTGTCTCAGATTTAAAATAACAATCCGTACACGATGTACGATAGTAAAAGCAATATTACTATCAAAGCTGGAAAATGTATTGACCTTGGGTCATACGCAATAATTCGTTTTGTTTTTTGAATAAAAAATAAAACGTATTTAAATTATATTTAAAATAATAAAATAAGAATGCTTTTGTAATAGTTATAAAATATAATTATTGTATATTATAATATTAATTAATAATAAGAAAAATAAAATGTGTTTATAGGTAGTAATACGGAGACTCCCTCCAACTATGACTCAAGATCAGTTTTTAGAGCAAGTTTCCCCTTTACCAGAAAATGACTATCTTTATTTCGTGAAGGCTGACATGTCAATGGGACAATTTGCCTTCTCTCGTGCTTATATTAATTTTGTCGAGCAACAGGACATCTTTATGTTCAGGGAAAAATTTGATAATTATGTATTCGTTGACTCTAAAGGCACAGAATATCCGGCGGTAGTTGAGTTTGCACCTTTCCAAAGGTTACCAAAAAAAAGAGTAGGGAAGAAAAAGGATTTAAAATGTGGCACTATAGAATCAGATCCTTACTATGTAAGTTTCTTAGAAAGTCTTAAAAATCAAGAGGCAGAGTCCAATGTAGCACAGCCAAAAACAGAGTATTCCTATCAACCACCTGATAGTAAGTTATTTTCTAATTATTTAAATATGATACGTTTTGTATTAGAATTTTTTATCTGATATCTATACGTTTATATTTTGTACATTATTGATACAGATACGCCAAAAAAAGTTACAACCACACCGCTTCTGGAATATTTAAAACAACGTAAACAAGAGAAACAGCGTCTTAGAGACGAGAAACGCGAGGAGAGAAGACGAAGGGATTTGGAAAGGAGAAGGACAAAGGAAGATCCTATTATATCTAAGGTGATACTATATCTTTTATTTGTATTCGATTGGTACAAATGCACTCTAACGTAGCTTAAAAATATAAGAAATACGGTGAAGAATAAAAAGCGGTATAAATCGAAGTATATAATGAAACTTTTATACTTAAATTTTAAGCATTATTCTCTACTGTATTTTATGATACTAATCTTTTCATGCTACAGTCTGCATGTAACATTGAAGATAACCAGAAGTATTCCTTCCTTTCTACTTCCTCAACTATCAAGCCAGCAGATGTATTTCTTGATCATCCTACTGAAAATCCAAACATACCTCACAAATCTAAAGGAGAAGTCTCCAGTATTGGAACTTTAAACACAACGACAATGAAAAAAAATACATTAAACGTGCAGTCTTATAGAAACGAAAATACAGCAGTGTACATAAACTGTGTTAGAAGTATGCCTCGTATTAACGAGCATTGGCATTGTAGTAATAAACGTCAAAAATTATTTTACTTTTACGAAGGAAACTGCAAAGAAAAAGATACCGATCGCAGAAAAAATAATTACGATCGTTGGAATAACATTAAAAACAATTATATTTATAATAATACCAAGTACACGCCTCGGTACGCTAACAATAAAAATTATTTCTCTGCCTTGTCAAAATCTCAATTCAGTACTTTGCACAAAAGTTGGAAAATGGAAATATCGACGGAAGTATCGAAATCAAGAAGTTGCAGCGCTGTATTTGATTACCAAAAACTTTATCCTTTTAAAACCATTTATGAGAAAGGACTGCCGGCATGTCGTAAAAATTCATGAAATAGGAACTGCAAATGATTAGCAGGGAAATTTATGTTGACCATATATCGAATGTTAAAAGACATTATGGGAGAAAAAGAATTTATTATTTATGCGATTTGTGCGATTTAGTTGAACGCTATATATTTTTTCTGTTTGATATTGTGTGTCAAATTTGTATGCATTTATTAAGATATATAAGTAATTTATTATTGCCTAGCCTGTATACATGAAATTTTGTAAGAGAAATTGTTTTTAGAAAAAAAAGTGAAAATTCTGTGTTGCTTTATTGTAATTTATTATACAGTTTACCGTAATAGGTTCTATTAAAATTTATTACCAGTAATAATTTATTATTTACAATATAAATTTTGTTTTGTTATAGGTATTAAAAAATCCAGAACTTGATAAAGAAATGTGTAAAGATAATAAAGAAAATAAAGAGGAAAAAGATAAACTTTCGCCGAAAGATATAAAGAATCGTATTAAAAAGGACGATAAGTTGCGTGAAAAAATACCCCGAGATCGAGATTCCAAACCGATAACGAAAGGATATAGAGAAAGACTTGAAGACAGAAATAAAGATAGGGAAATAAAACATCAGAGGCGTCACGATGATAAAAAAGTGTATGGAAGACGCGATGAAAGGGATAGTATAAAAGATGATAGAAGAAATGACGTAAAAGATGATAGAAAATGTGATTTTAAAGACGATATTAAAGATTATAGAGAACGAAAAATTGAGGAGAAACGTGGTAAAAGTTATGAGAAAATGAGGCAAGAGAAGAAAAGACTTGCAGAAACAAAGAAGCAAAATGTCGAGTTCAATATTGACACTGAAAGTAGTACAAAATCAAAAAACGAAGCAGAGGATTCTCAGAGAAAGGAATCGCAAACTGATTTGTACGAAACTATTAAAGAAAGAGAGGAATCTACAAGAAGTAATGATAACACAGAAATTAGTACAAGTAAGGAGAAAGAAGAAACCAACGAGAAAATAATGTTAGCAGAAGAATCTGTACAAGATTTGGAACAAACAAAAAGACAGAAACATTTAGGTGAGAACTTTGTACTTAATAATATTAATGAAAATAATTGTTTACCGACACAATTTCATAAGCAAAATATATTATATTTTTATACATTAATGTTGAATTATTTACAGAAATTTTAATGGCATCCAATGTAAGTAATAAAGGTACCGAAAAGTCGAAATCTAACGAACATATCAACAGGGAAAATAATCAAGGCAATGATTCCGAGGAGAAGAAAGATTCGAAGGTCACTAAAAGGCGTAGTTCGCTCGAAAGTGGTGGTGATGGAGGTACAGGAGATGGAAGTTGTTTAAGGCGACACAAGTCTTTAGATGGAGGAGATCAGAATAATCTACAAAAGGCTGAAAACGAAGATAAAGAAAAAGACAAGAAAGATCCGCGATTAGAACGTCGAATTAGAAATAAGGTACACATTTATATTAATAATAGCTTATTCCTCGATTTACGAAGCTGTTAAAGTTCTATATGTTATTAAACCTTAACAGGATCGACCTACCATGGAAATTTATCGTCCTGGAATGGGAAAATTCAGTAAACAAAGATTAGAGCGAGAAAAATCTAGTAACGACGAGCGAGCATCCCTCTCACAGAGTCCAACACCAAATCCCAATACATCAAACCTTTGTAAATCAGGAAAGCCTGGAACAGAAGTACGTTCTATGACGTTTAAACGTAGCGTTAGTCGTGATTTAGTATAGCAGATACTAATTTCTACAAATGCGATCAAATATTAGTGATACATTTGTCAAGCCTCTGTTAACATACAAGATTTTTACACTAGTCTTTCTCACGATATACAGTATCATACAGTGTATCTATTGTACACAAATGCATAATAAAATACAGTGTCCTACTTAATACAGAAAGTTAATATCGAAAAGAAAAATCGCGAGCCGCGAAGTAGCGAACTCTTCTCTGTCATTTTTGTCGCTTATATTATTCATGGTGAGGAAATCTGTTGGTTCAGGGATGACGAACTTTTTCACAAAAGTTCCACCAACGATCAACCGATTTTCCCACCATAAAGTTTCTAATTAGGTGCCCGGCGAGCCTTCGTCCCAACTCTACAGAATTGGTGTAGTGGGGGGCAGTTCTTCTGCGCTTGCGCGGAACAAAAAAGTAGGGGAAAGAGCCACAACCACAACTGGCTTGATAGCCGCCAGTTCGTCATCCCTGAAATGGATTGCACGAGATATTATTTATGTATATAAATAACAATGTATCATTTTACAGTTTTACAGTGTAAGTAATAAAAATATATTTCAATAAGCACAATATTCTTAAAAAGGAATTTACATAAGTGACAAAATAAATCCAGCGAAAAACTGTTTTTATTCGAATTAGTATTTACGGGGTTAGGTACATACGTTTTCTATAATATTGCCCATTTTTCACATCTTTTCAACCTTCTCTTCTATTCGTCGAAATTTCACTTCACTTTTCTACATTTATCAAATTCATTGCATTCATAAATAAATATTACATATTGCTAAATTTAAAAGTTGTATTATACGAAGCTACGTAATTTTTAATTTGAATAAGAGATTTTATGACGGGTATGGTCTGAAGGTTCCGTTAATTAATATATTTAACAAATATTGTTAGTTTATAAAGGATCTATGCTTAGATTCCTGACTAGAACAGCAGACAAATGAGATTCTTTCAACGTCGCGTGAATTTGTTTACACGAAGTCCTATATTAGTTCCAGTTGAATGAATTGTACTTTATTAAGTTACTATTTATCAATCATTATAGTTTTACAGTAAAATAGTTACTTAATTATATAAATTAAAATATGTTTAAAAAATATAAAATAACAATGATCTACGATACCAACGAGTTTCTATCGTAAATCACGCGATTTTATTTACAGACTTTTTACTGGACGGAAGTGTATAGAGATTTCCCTTTATTTTCTGAAGCTTCACGTAGTTTAATCTCTTTTATTTGTATATTTTTTAGTAGTAGGTAAATGTTGTACCAGTGTTAATCATAAATATTTTTCAGATACTACTTTGAATAAATTCGATACATGTCAAATGCTCTTTTCATGGACAAGTCAGAATAGATAACCTTGAATCGAAAGGTCGTTAAAATTGTACCAAACATTAATTGGCTAGTATTCTAAATATTGGCCATCAAGCAATCTTCGTTCCGTTTGAATTAAGTAACTATTTAGTTTACTTACAAGTTACGACCTATCATTCATTCAAAATAAAAACGAACGGATGTAAATAAAGGGCCTCATAGAGGCAGGCCCTCTAACTACATCCATTGAACACGACCATACTCAACATCGATTCTGTAGCTTTGTCCGAGAGATAGTAAGAAACTAGAGATTATTCGCGTAATAAAATCGTAGTGTTCTCCATCAATAAAGAAGTTTGGCATAATTTTGAAGTTATCCGCTAAAGGAACGTAACGATAAAATTTTGGTAATTTGTCTTTATACATTGATTTTAGTAAATCATGGGAAGAGTAACGTTTCTGATGGATTCGTCATATAGGGACCTTATCGCTGTGAAGGTTAGACAATCTGTTAATACATACGAGAGGTCAGTGCACGTCACGTAGTTATTATTCGGAGTTGAGAATTTTGTGCGAATTTATCAATCTCGTAGTGTAACGAGAAAGATATCCTGAGACTCTCTCGCGGTAAGACATTGCGAGAAAATACGCGGAGGTCTCAGGTTTTGTGGATTTGAAGTTAAAGACTTATCCGCGGGAGAAGTGTTTCGCGTACTCGAGTGGTATAACGCTGTTGTATGTAACCGTGGTATTGGGAACTTTGAAAACTTTATTTTATTAAGGCACAGGCGTCTATTTGGCGTCTGTGAAGGGCAGACAGAGTGTGTGACAGGTTATGTCAACTGGATTGGCAGGTGCTGTTTCAAATCAGGTCAGTGTGTTGACTTGCTACCACACCGCTATTCTGCAGATACCTTTCACTGAAGACAGCCATTCTAAATTTTGTATATTTTTCCATGCAACGGAATGCAGCGGATGAAAGGACAAACCAACAATCAAGGTGAGTACATCGTACCTCTGTGCAACATTTTTTTACGTGTTTCCTAATAATATGATTTATAAGACTGGGAAATTTTCCTTGCAAAAATCGCTATACGTGTACGTATATTTTTTTATCGGCTGAGATAGAATTATTTCGAATCTGGGCATGCTATATATAATTTCGGTCAAAGTGTCTCAATACCGCAATCGGTTAACATGGACAATTTTTTAAATGACGCGAATAGTTGTTATGTATATCCTTGATGGATATCTTTATGCATACATATATATAGATATACGTGGTACATTAACCTATCGACATGCTTTATTACATTTCGGGTATTTTAAATTATAATAGAATTATGAACTTATTGTATATTTTGTATAATTAATTTAGAACTGTTTTCTTTCTACATCTTATGAATGTTGTTATACGTTTCAAGAAATCTTTATTAATAAACAAATATATTGGTAACAGAATTAATTACTAATTTTGCAGAAGGCATTGAATTATCAAAATAAGAATGTACACATACTTACACAATAGATGAGCTTTAATCGGTTAAAGAAAACATTAAATTTGTTGCTGTAGTTAATATATCTATATAATTAACAATTAATATTCTATAATATAGAATATCACTTTATGTTAGTTTAAGAATCCTTTAGAAGTTTCAATTCTGTCACAAAGTAGAAATGAACCAAGAGATTTATTTTAGAAAGCTATTTTGCATGTATTTCACACAATTTGTAGAAATTTTTAAATATTTAATAGATAACAATACAATAAATATTATTTTATTAAATCATCAACGCATGTTGTTTATGTTAGTGATTTGAGAAAAGTATTTATTATCTCTATTTTTATAAGATACAGTTTATTACTTATTTTTGTACTATTATATTATTATTATGCGATGTAATTCAAATAATTTATATAAATATAATTTTATTACCGTATGGAGATTAAGTTTATATTTTACGTATACTGTAATTTGACAATGCTTTGTTTTGTTTAAAGACTTCTGTTAAATTTAAGTTATCGAAGAAAGTAACTAAAGATTATTTTATAAAGAAATTATGTAGTGCATTTAGTACATTAATAAGAGAAAATTCCATCTCTGATAGTGAGCAATGGTCCTAAAGAACACCAGCAGCAACCACAGACAGAACATGCTGGCGGAGAAGATACTGGATTTGATTCATGGAGAGGAGGCAATAATACACACCACTCAAGCTATCCGATCGGTACTGGTGACCCGTATAGTCCTTACTATGCAGGTACTTCATTCCCTTATCAAACATTCGGTGCTGGGGATGGTACTTGGTCAAATGGAACAGATCCCGTTGCATTTCTTTCTGGATACGGAGGTCAAATAGGTCACGATGCGTATGGCATGGATGGAATGTTTTCTGCCAGCGCAGGAGGTGGTTTTAGTACGTTTGGTCAGCCTGCGTTTAATTACTTTCATGGAAATGGTGATTTTAGTGCTTGGGGCACTCCAAGGAAGACGCGCTATGAAGATTATTATCAGGCTCCGCGTGGAAATGAAAATTATCCAACACCTAGTAACACCGAAATTAAGACTATCGAACAGAGTGTACAAGGCTTGTCTCTAGGAAGCGGGGAAGTCCCGCGACAAGATCAACAAACAACATCTAATCAATCTATAAAACCAGAAGCAAAGGAACCTAGGAAAATAACATGGGCCAGCGTTGCGAGTCAACCAGCCAAACCAGTTCCTCCGCTTTCATCTTCCCAAGGAATGAAAAAGAAGGCTGGAATGCCACCACCACCTATTGTGCCAGGAAAGCATAATATGGACATTGGAACATGGGGTGAAGGTAAATCTTCTGCGCCACCTCCGACAGCACCGCCGCCGCCACAGGTGCAACCACCTGTTCCGCCACCTCCACCGTTGGTTCAAAGACAGAGACCTCCTCCTCCACCTCCATGTTGGAATAGACAGCCTACAACGCCTCCGTCGCCTCCACAGTCGCAAATTCATATGCCTCCGCAACAGCAGCATCAACACCAACAGCAGCAACACCAACACCAACACCAACACCAACAGCAGCAGCATCAACTTCAGCATCCCCATCCCCATCAACATCATAATCCTCACCAGCATCAACACCCGCATCAGCATCAACATCCGCATCAACATCAGCATCAACATCCACAGCAGCAGCAGCAACAGCAGCAGCAGCAACAACAACACCAGCAGCAGCAGCATCATCATCAGCAGCAGCAGCAGCAACAGCAGCAGTTACAACAGCAACAACAGATTCCACAAACTCAATCACATCCTGTTTTGGACGAGCTGAAAGTGAAGAATGATTATAATCCTGTAGAATTTGATCAAACGGCTCCCGGGGCTAGGTTTTTTGTAATCAAATCTTATTCCGAAGATGACATTCATAGGTCCATCAAGTATGAAATTTGGTGTAGTACCGAACATGGTAACAAGCGATTGGATCAAGCATATAGAGAAGCTAGTCGTGAAGCAGCGCCGTTATACTTGTTCTTTTCTGTGAATGGATCCGGCCACTTTTGTGGCATGGCCCAAATGGTGTCTTCTGTTGATTATCAAAGTAATAGCTCCGTTTGGTCTCAAGATAAATGGAAAGGTCAATTCCGTGTACGTTGGATTTATGTAAAGGATGTTCCTAATATGCAACTTCGTCACATTAAATTAGAAAACAATGAGAATAAACCAGTAACTAATTCAAGGGATGCGCAAGAAGTCCCTCATGCAAAAGGAGTAGCAGTATTGCAGATATTGCATACTTATCGGCATTCGACCAGTATCTTTGATGACTTTGGACATTATGAACGTAAGCAAGCAGAAGAAGATCAGCGTAAAGCTCCGTTAAATGTTATACAACATCATCATTCTTCCAATCACAGAAATAGAGGACACGCAGATTTGCCGAGGGAACATCATCTTCATCAACCGCATTTGCATCACCAACGCAAAGTAAGTAATAATTTAAAGACATTTTAATAAATAAAGCACTGCTTGCATAAATATTATATTTGTTATTGTAATTTGTCTGTAGGATCGTGATGGTGGTCGTAGCAAAGGCAGAGGAGGTTCACGGCAGTAGCGATGGATACAACAAAAATGTAATACTATTCATGATAGTAATCATCGTAAAGAAAGCACGCTGCGACTAATTATCGTCTTACTACTTACCTTTGCTTTCTTGGATACACAAAGGGCTTCTAATTCCTGTGACAGAACTCTCATCATTGAGACTATCTCCTTCTGTTAAATAATCAACTTGTATGATAATTAGCGTCGCGTCGACATCATAAATATTATCTACTCATAACTACTATGAAGAGGAACATAATTCAATTTCACGGGATTTTGAGTAAACTTGCTGACAGTTAAAGCATATAGTGTGGTGTTGCGTGCTATTCGTCGAAAGGTGTTTCTTAAACGTACAAATTAAAAATGAAAGAAAAAAACGAGATACGGAAGAAGAAAAACTGTAATATGTGGACTAACCCTTGTAAAATGCTTAAACTTTTGTTGATAATGAAAAAAATCTATGCGAGAACAATATTCTAAGCAAGTGTCATTTAAATCAATTACCAATTTAAACTTTGATGGACATATAACCTGGTGCCTGTGGCTGAAAGGACTCACCTTTCTTTGTTAAAAAGGTGCAAGGGCTTATTACGACATTTTAAGTTTATTTGTAACAATTATGCTTGATCATTGGATAATAATAGAAATTATTGTCAACCGATTATTTTATGCATATTCTATATCTATTGCAAATTATATATAATATATGTATATATATATTATATACATATTACCTATTATTATATTATTCATGGACTGCAAAAACGATCTAAAATATTATATAACAAAAAAGAATATAATAACTACAGTTACTCTATTGTAACGTCTGTGGTGATGATTATTATTGTACTGTTCGATGAAAATTTCATAAGGTATGATTCTTATTGTTAAAGCTATCTGTTATTTTCTTTCTCTTTTAATGTTCGATACATATTCTTTTTGTCACGGATTTTTTATTTTACGAATATCCGAGTCGAATAGAAATTTATCTATTTTTTCATAGAATTTTTCTAAAACTGTATAAGTATAAAGTTTTACGCTCCTTTGAAAAATTCCTTTACCAGTAATATCACTAAATTTAAACAATTTTTCACAAATTATACGTAGGAAATTGAATATTAATATAATAAAAAAAAAAAAATTGCTTATCTATCGCGGATTTAGTCAACTAAAATATGCAAAATAATAGATTTTATCATAGATTTGATTACTTTTCTGGTAGTTATTATATATACAGATAGTTACATATAGAGGTTAATTTTTAGAAAATTATAATGCAAATAACAAAACAATGAACCTTTGTTTCTTAAGTTTTATAAAAATGAAATTATACTTTACTGTGGATTAGCAGTATTTTAGAAATTGATTCAGATTTCATACAAGATAATCGTGAAATAATAGTGAGAGACTTTGAGTTTATTAAAAATTGTACAAAAATTAACGAATGAACGTGATGTGATGCAAACTTTTTAATCAAGGCATGCTAATTATGCTAATTATTTCTGCATACATGATTTATGGATTACAAGAAAGAGTATCTAAGCGACGTGCAGTAGAAGAAGTCTCTTTCCTCGTTTCTGTATTGTGAATGTTGCAAAAACGAATGCATCTTATTAAAGTAATATATCAACGTTAAAAATTTATGACTAATGTTTTTGAATCACTACATCGTATTTGTAGTTTAAGATGAATTAAGTTGTTCAAGAACTGGGCATCCAGCAGTGCCCAAATAATTAAAATAATTGATCATATAAGCTCTATTAAATTTCCGTCTTTCAGTTGATTAAAGTTTGAAAACTTTCCTGAATAATTTATTAATAACAATTTCATAACAAACGATTATTCGGTGAGAAAATAATTACTATTTCCTCAGTCAAAGTTTAAAGTTTTCTATTTAAACTGTTCGGATTCCAAAGATTTATTTGAACTTTATTTTATGGTTGATACAAGTACGTACTATTAGTATACAGACTGATATCTGTATATTATCATTGTATTATAATATGCAGACATGCGATTAGTATACTCATAATGTATTTACACCGTTTAATATTTATATTGTATAATCATGTTTGACTAAATGTTGAATCAAACTAAAAATTTAACTATTAAAAAAAAAATTACACACTTGTTAGGAAATGAATTTTTTTTGGAGAATTTTTAATATCAGATTCAATTTCGATTGATAATCGAATGGTGATTGCGTTCAACATAACTCCCATGTAAGCTTTATGGACCTTGCGCAAAAATGTACCGAAACAACTTGTTTGAGAAAGGCGTAGGACAATTGTGTTAATCGTGATTATCAATCGTAAATCACAGACCTTTGTTCGTACTCTTTTTAATCATTCCATCTTACTTCTTTTTTTGTATCTCTTTTCAAGGGTTTCTCTACGTTTTGAGGATCCACAGAATCGTTCGCTGTCGCTAAACCTGGACACAATTCTTCCGGCGGCGGTGTACGTGGCCTCAGCTCCCCGTGTTCTCCTTCATACTTACGTTCAGCTTGAGCCTTGAGATCATTTAAACAATTGATCGTATCAAGATCGCGTTCAATAGTTGCTTCGGCTGGCTCGACCGTATAAATTGCCGCCTCTTCCGCGTTCTGTTTTTTTTTCGCCTCGGCCGCGATATCGTCGCCGAGTAAATTCCGTTTAACGAAATAATCGCGAACATTGTCCCGTACTTCCCCCGAAAACTTCTCGGGATTCGCCTCCATGTAACGATACACGTAAAGATCGGCCCCATCTATCGTAAAATAATGATTATAAATATTAATCGTCGCGCCTATGTAAAAGTCTTGAGGCGTGTAGTAATCCGGATTGTCTCTTCCGGTGTTCGGTTTCGGGACCAATGTAGCTTTCAGGAAGCAACCTTCGCGACGTCCCGAATTACGTTTCTCGAGCTCGTGCACCAGTATCGTGCCATTGCTCAAACTATACTCCAAAATGAAATCGCGATTCTTGTCCTCGGGATGTACCGCGTCCATTCTCATGGAGTAACGTAGCTTCTTCGGGAAATTGATCAGCTGCTGCACGACGTTCTTTCTCGGCGGTTTAGGCACGAACGACAGACAACTCATGTAAGTATCCTCGGTTGTGCCGAATTTTATGTGCGCCGGAGCTACGTATTCCGGCGTCGGTCTCGTTTTCTCCGCCGGTAGAGGAATTCTTTCCGGTTGCGTTATCCCCAGCATATCCGAGTAATATTTCCTCGTGAAAGAATCGCAATCGTGCAAAAGAAAACCTCGACTGAATATAAAAATCGTGCCGCCTATCTGCAACGAGAGACAAAAATATAATGCACGTACGAACGTAAACAACGATAAAAAAAGATCAATCCTAGATATAGTCAGATAAAATGTAATCTGATTAATGCAATGGCGGTTTTGGAAAAGCTCAAGAGGCGGACAAAAAGTTAAACGAAAACATTAAATTATTGATGATTGTTCAACGTTCGAAAAGAAAATTATTTATCGTATAGTTATTTTACAGTTGCACACTTAAAGCATACATTGTTGTTCGTTCATTGTGTAATCATTATGCGTCACGTTTGTCGTTGTAGTAGGTGTTTTTAGACGTAAGAATCAAGTCAATCATTTCATTAAGTTGTACTATACGTCCTGTTCAGAAAACCGTGACCCGTGACGTAATTTTACATGTAAATAGTTTAAAAAAAATTTGTTCGTGAAAATTCAAGGGCAATTGTTCATATTAGAAAATGAACCTTACACTTTCAAAGTGTCGTGGGATAACAAAATAATTGTTGTTCGCGTTTAAAAAACAGAACCAAACCGATCACTGACCACGAAATCCTTTGGCGTACAGTATTCGACGATTTCTGGATCGCCGTATTCCAAGTACACAGCCGGATAAGACGACGGTAGATTTTTCCAATCTTTCGGTACTTTCATTCGTTTTAATAACGTCGCCGCTGGATCCTTGCCGCTGTTAGGCTTTTGTATCTCGCGCACGGATATCGTGTCGTCCGTTAAGAAATACATTATCCGGTAAACATCGTCGTTCCAAGTAGCGGTGAACGATAATATCATCGTATCGTATTCTAAAAACCGACGTCTAGCATCGTCCGGGATCGGCGTGATACGCGCCGGTACCTTATGCTTGGACGCACGAAGCGACGTGTAAGGATCTATAGGAGGTTCCTCCTTGTCCCCGACATCTATGCCTTGACTGTTTAAAAACTCTCTGGTAAATAGATCGCAATCGATAATATGATAAACTACGCCATAAATACCTGCAATTAATTCAATGGTAATATATTACCAAAGCAAATTAAATAAAATTATTAAAAAAAAAAAAATAATCAAACGTACCTTTGTTCGAATGAATATATATTTTATATAATATGTAACATGCAAATTTCGCGTGAAAGAATTTTATAATAAGATTATTTACAAGAGATATTCATTAAACGTACATACGTCAATCCCAACGTTAAAATCCTTCCAACGAAGCGTATCACCCGCTACATTTTTTACAATTTTGTCACGTTTAACGAGCTTTCCTTGTTGAAAGCCGGCATTGTCGACCGCGGGCTCTATTACGCTAACAGTGTCATTCTCCAAAAAATATATTATATTCACGTGACGTATCCGGAAGTGTTCGTCCGGAGAATTGAACACCCCTTGGCGAAAAAATGCTTTGAAGCAAAGGCATTTCTGTGCAAATAGCGCATAGTGTGGGATCACTTGACGATGTGCGTATCTTTTCGTACGGCCGTACGTTAACGATGGATCGTAGCTGATTTTAAACATTAATATTTTCATATTAGAAACTTTTAATGCGAGTATTATATTAATTATTATTACTTACTGTGCAATAGGTACATCTTTTATGTATGCGGTAGATGCCGCATCTATTGGCCTCCCTCCAATACCAAAATTACTGTCACGTACCACTCGATAACCATTCAAGAAATTAAATTTTTGCAATAATCTATAATCGTCGATCTTTAAAAAGAAATTAATCTTTAGTTGTATTCGTTTAAATAATAAATTTGTTTCAGTCTTTAACTTACACTTTGATCGCGAAATGTATAGCCTGGTATAAGTGGTAAATTTTCCATACTAAATTATAAAAGTATCGAACAATTATGTAGTTTTAGAAGACATTTTCATAGAACGATACCCCAAGTCATCTAACTGTCAAAGAATCTGTTTGAATCAGTTTCTATAACAACACCGGTACATACGTATTGATGTAACAGTAACTTTGTAATTTTATAGTGGTTATTATCATTAATTTATAAAAGAACAATAGAATTTAATAATTATATCATTACCAGGTAAAGAAGAACTAATTGAAATAATATTTAATCATTTATTTCTGCATAAATTATTGACAACGATTGACGACATTGGATGGTTTTTTACTAGAACTCTTAGTTGCCCTGACAGTGAAATCACAAACTAATTATTTCTTTGAAAACAGCCATACATCCCGCAGACAAGCAGCCAGCCACTGGTACAGTGATCAACCATGCGAACGCAATGTTACGAAATAATTTCCATGAAACTCCCTCACCACCCCGCGAAGCCCACCCCACACAGACGACTGATCCCACTTTACAATGTGTTGTTGACACAGGTAAACCAGCCTTACTTGCCAACAAAACTGTCACTGCTGCTCCTACCTACAATCAACAAGAATATTACCCTCCATTATTTATATTTTATATATTTGTAAAATATGTGTACCTCTATAGTAAATCCAGTTGTTGGTGTAATACGTGCTAAGTCTTGTCCTAAAGTCTGTATAACTCTACGCCCCCACACCCAAAGACCAGTCGATATACCTAGACCACCGTACAATAATATCAGCAATGGAGTTTCTGTTTCTTGTCTGGCCGATCCATCTGCATATACAGCCCAAAGTGCAATAAGTGGTCCAATTGCGTTACTAACATCATTACCACCATGCGCAAAACTACCAAACGCAGCGGTCAGTACTTGCAAGAAAGCGAACAGTTGAGACATTTCTGGCGGTTCTTCGTTTTTCCGGTCAGTTTCAATCGGAACACCCTCTGTGTCCGAACCTGCCACTATTAAGAGAGGACTAGCACTGCTATTACCGCGCAATTTTGGCGCCGCTTCTTTTGCATTACCATTACTACTACTGCTACTACTACTATGTGGGGCCTCTGAGATAACAGATAATGCTGTGGTTTCTTTTTTATCACAGGTACCAAACTTTGTTGTTGCTTTTTCGTTGCTATTAAGTGAAAGTAATATCCTTTTCCTTTGCCATGGCACAACAAATAAATAAACAACGGTTGCTGAAAACAAACCAAAACCTATCGCAGCTAGTAAACTGCCCCACCATGGCACTTTGTCCAACTTCAGAACTGAAAACAGATACAAGATACATAGCATTAAGTTTAATAATGCAATTGATACAAAAAATACATTAAAAGGAACACCATCTTTATCGTTTCGCAAAAAAGATCAATATTTTTATAACATTTTAAGAATACTGTCTAATTTCAAATAGTTCTCTTTAAGCTTTAAACGTGCTGGTTTCCAATTCTAATATTCATTATTAGAATTAGAGAAATTTCTATTATGTACTTCTTATAAATAAATTTATGTACTTCTATTATACATATGTACCGTAATTCTGTAACCAGCATCTTTTTCGACCATAAAGATGGCATTCCTCCAGAAGATACAATTATGAAATTTATTTACGTTTAGGTCCGTCGTGTGCAACTGATATAATATTAATGGCAACAGTGAGACCATACGCTAATGGGAGAATATGAAGACCTTGTTCTAAAGGCTTACTAGATTGCAGTACAGATTTTCTTAGAAGCCAAAATATAGCACCTGATACAATTCCACTAAGTACAGGACTGGCGAACCAAGATGCTGCTATATTTGCAAGAGCTATCCATTTCACCTATAACGGTATCATTGTATCGCGAAACGGTATTTATTTATTTTTAAGTTATTAGGATAATGATTTCTACTAACCCCTGCAGTACCTTTACAGACAAGCGAAAACCCAACTGTAGCACCAACAATGGAATGTGTTCCAGAAATAGGTAACCGTAACGCTGTTGCTAGTATAAGCCAGATACCAGATCCAGCTAAACTAGACAACGCTCCGACCATTAATTCTTTTTCGTAGCCTTCGTACAACGTAACGTCTAATATACCTTTTCTCATCGTGTCGGAGACCTAAAAGGGTCATTGATTAATTTACTTTGAACATCTTGATAGATAAAATGCAATTAAATTCATTCTTGCGATACCTTATAGCCAATGAGTACAGCTCCAGCAATTTCAAATATAGTTGCTAAAATACAAGCTTGAAATATTGTAAGTACTCCAGCACCGACGCTTGTTCCAAAACTATTGGCGACATCGTTAGCTCCGATTCCAAACGCCAAAACAAAGGCCACTAAAAACCCGACTACTACTATCCATACCAAGTTTTCATCGTACGGTACACTCATTTTTATTCAGTTAATACTTGTTCCTTTTGAGCTGTTAAGATATCTTTTGTTTTTATGCATTTGTCAAATGACCAATGTTATAAAATATCCTCTCGCCATATCGTTTAAGAGTAATACATTGTTAAATCAGACGACATGTATCTAGGAAGAACTTCCGGTTTAATCCGTTATACATTTACATGTAAATATCAATACATCAGAATATATTTCTTTGTTTACGTTTCAATTCATATACGTGTTGTGTAAATTTGTATACATATGTAATTTATTTCTTTATTTTACTTCTAGTACAATCAATTTTGTAACTTTGTACATGTAGCAGAGGTAGTATTTTGGCGCAGCACCTGATATATTTAGCATTATATCTTTTTCTAACAACAACATACAGTTACCAATATGCTCGTCAGCATCGAAAGTGTCACTTTGTACACACTTTTTCTTTAAATATTTTATTATTTTTTGTCAAGTGTAAAGTATGATGTTCGATTCTATAATGACTGATTATCAGCGTTTTCCGTGTTTAGAAACACGCTGATCGCTGTTTCTCGTTTTCCGTGTTTGGAAACACGCTGATCGCTGTTTTTCCGGCATCTGTAATTAACCAAAACTTGTGCATTGACATTTTAGCGTACATGTCTTTCAGATGTAGTCGACGTATAAAAAAGTAAAAAATTTCTCGAAAGCAACGCGACTACTTGATTCAACAATTACCTTCGCACGCACATCATAATTGTCTTTAGAATCGAAATTAAGAAACGAGGTACCCACGATCGAAATTTAATTATCAGACCGAACCATTTTACCAATTTTCTCACGCTCGATTCCGAAGGGATGGTGTTACCCTTTCACGTTTTACGCAGAGACAGTTCGAATCACAGTAAAAATTCACATTCCTGAACAGATTTACCATTAAGACATTTTTACTTGTGCAATACGAAATAATAATGAAACCCGTTGCGAAGATATAAGTTGTAAGTACTTATGAGACACAACAATTTACTAGGAACGATTCTGAACCACTATTGCGAACTATATACAAAGCAATAATATATTACTAGAATGGAGAAAGCTTTCAAGCATATTCGATCAAATTTCTATAGAAAAATTTTTGTTAATTCGAATCTCCCATTACCACTTTTTGCATCATTCTTCGCACGATCTTCCGTGTAGGTCACGCATTAAGATTCTTCTTTTGAGAATTGTACGTAAGATACGCATTGGATGACTCGATGATACAAGAAAACAATCCAACGATCACTGAGAGAAAATAACGGTAAAGATGGTGATTTAGTTTTTCACTCACGAAACTGAAATTAATTTGCGTAAATCTTTGTAACCGGGGGATGCCGCTCAGATCCGCGTGGGGGTGAGATATTGATCCGCCATTTGCCCGCGAAACTATCTTATACGTATAATACAAAAATGGTTTACTGCGGCATAAATCTGACGTGTTTTATTTACAAATCGATAAACAATCGATCGGCTACCCTAGCGTTTCGGTATCTACGCGGATTTCCCTTTAAATGTCATTGCGTTTATGCAGAATGTATTACGCATCAACTGTGCGCCGGATCTTTGTGGGGGGATTGATGAATAAGTCATTGCATAAAGGGTGTTAAATGAGCTACGAATTGATGCGAACATAATTACCAATAATCATATGCCTCCTCTTACATATATCGTTAAACAAAAAGGTCATCCAGACGAATCTTCATCAGTTTTAAGCCTTCAACTGCAACACTCATTTATTATACTCTTAAATGATTACAATAACTTAATTTACGAAACTAAAGTTTTTAGCAATTAATTCGTACGTATTTATATGATTAAACAATCAGATCTGTTTGTTATATAATAATTTATATAAATAAATTAAATATATAGTATAATCGAAATTATAAAGAAAGCATATATAGGGTGTCCTCGGATCAAAATTAGTTCGTTTCAAGGAAGATAGTTTTATTATTTTGTTTCATATGCAATTGTTTTTCAAATTTGATGCTCGTTTTTTTTCTCAACGAAACGATATAGCTTTTGTCATCTGTTTTTAGTCACTATACAGATAATATCAACGCTTATAAATTTAGTTGTTCAAGGTCGAATTTTAATAAGTATTTTCTGGAATACTCTGTTGCAGTTTAGTGTTTTAAGAATGCATGATCATCATTTGTAAAAGGCAATGAAAAATGTATCCTTCCATTTAAAAAAGATGAAAGTCACTTTCGAATCTTAGAAGCAACATCGCTTGAAACAAAGTTATATCGATCGAAATATAGCCCCCTTAAAACAAATTAACATCGGTTTAGAATTTTTTTAAAAAATAATCACTACATTCCGAGATAACTGTACATTGCTAGCAAGTAATAATCAAATATATAGAATCATTTTATATTTAACTCGATTAATGTAATTTAAACATACAGGAATCTTTTACTTTAAGGTAAAACATTTGACTACAACAGTTACATGTAATACATTTGATAGCAACAAAGTTTGTACGAGCGAGAAGTATAATTTATTTTCATCTTTATCTATGTATACGTATATATATATAAATCAATATTTTTAGATTATAAACTATAAATAAGATAAATTCACTACCAAACAGTTGTACTTTATTCCGCATTCCATCTTTCTTGCTCTTCCTTTTCCCTTAATACTTCTTGTATATATGGCTGAAGGTACATTATATCCTATTTAATAATAGAAATTCCATGTTTAAATTATAAATATATTAAATGAGTATTGTTAGTAAATTTTATTGAATTACCTCGTCCAATTTAGTCCATTGTTCTCGCGGTAAAACTACCTTTTGACAACACAACTGCATGGATCTGATTAAACGGAAATTACGTTCGTCTACTAAATGTTCAGGTAGACGTCTTAATGCTTCTATTACCACTGGCGTTTCATGCAATAAATCATCTCTAAATAAACCTAAATTCACATAAAATTGAAGATTTTAATAATTCTATGCTAGCTTACAAATTTCAAAAGCTGTATTACATTACAAATTAAAAAAAAAAACTTTTGATAATTATATAATTTTTAATTAATTTCTATTAATTTTTAACAGTGCTTATATCATGGCATGTCAACTTTCTTTACCATACTTATTAAATCCAGACAAATTATAGGCCATTTCCTGCATCTCCCTTGCTGCAAAGTAGATAATACCATTACATAAGAATAAAGTCTATTATACATTAGAATATACAATCGAATAAAAATTTATTAATCATTTACTTACAAATTAAACGTCGTAATAATGCCATTTCTATATTACACTTTTTCTTTATTTAACACGGATTTATATAAAACTTAGTCTTACACGTTATACCAGTACGATCATAGTAACTTTTTCTAACCTTGGTTAGTTGAGATATAGCCGCTAGAGTCCATATACGAATTCGTTGAATTCCCTAGACATACATTTTATAGATAATAATTTTTGTATGGTAAAACGAATCAGTTTATATGTAAAGAACTATATTTGTAATTCGCGAATATACAAAAATGTTAATATCATGATTACTTAGCTATGGTCTGTAACTTAAACCTGTATTATATGTGTAAAGATACATTTATTATTATTTGATGCATTCGCAAGTTGATGCGGTGTACATTTAAACTGCAACGCAGAACGTTCGTCATGTTGCAATATTACGAAATATTCCTAAGAAACTAAAGGCAACATTTGTTACGATGATTTAAAATTCATCAACGTTCAATGTAAAAAAATAGATTATATTAATTTTAAAAGTACAATTTGAGTAACGATATAACATGTACGAACATAAAGAATTATATTTCATCATAGGACTGTTAAGAATACCCTAGATCCATTTATAGATGGCGTTGTGCTTTACAATAGGAACTATTTTTCTGGCGTTGGATGCGTTCAGTGGTTGGTATATAAGCACAGAGGGAACTACTTTCAATGCCTCTTCCTCATTAAGAGTAGAGTTGTGTTCACGTGTGGTTGTGTCTCCTTTTTCCACAAAATAGGTCACACAACCCACCTCCATTCGTGAAATAACTCTTCTATAAAAAAAAACAAAAAAAATATAAAAATTCCAAAAAATACAAACAAAAAAATCGTAAAACCGTAGCTGAAAACCGTGAAACATAAGTAAAGTGTGGAAAAAAATAGTAATCATCGCGTTACGAAGAAGCAACGTGGTCGGAAGAGTGCAAGCCATATTGAAGAAACGGGAGAAACCAAAAACCAGAGAATTTTGATCTATAGAAAGCTGCACGACGTGGAAATACTAAAAAAAATGAATCCGGGAGCTCCGAATTATCATATGGTCTCGCTTTACGTGGGGGACCTGCATTCTGAAATCACCGAGGCGATGCTGTTCGAGAAGTTTTCATCGGCTGGGCCCGTACTCTCGATACGCGTCTGCCGTGATATGATTACACGACGTTCGCTCGGTTATGCTTATGTCAACTTTCAGCAACCGGCTGATGGTGAGTATATCGCTTATTTATTTCAATATTTCTCTGACCTACATACCGCGGACTATTCGAAAATCTTATCCTTAGCCATATCGTTTGTCTGCGCGTGACACGTGTTTCGTATTGCACGATGCCACCATATTGAATTTTACTTTGAACAAAGTAGAATATCGTGGTGACGGTTGGTTGAGTCATACCTTGTATTTTTCCATCGTTTCTTATTTCGTTATCTGGACAGTGCCGGTTGTATTTGATAATCGACGTTTAAGATAAATCGTGTCGTGTAATATCAGATGCGTATCGATAATATATAGAAAACAATTGAACAATTATTTTATAGATTTTCAATATGAATCGTGTTTATCGCGTATTATGTACAATGCCCGGTGCAATGATAATAAAGGCGAGAGAAACTAAAACTTATTGTTATTCTATTTGCATATTTCAAAGATATTTACAGTCGATTAAAGTATGTATTAATACCATGAACTTGAGATTATTGATTATGAAGGATATATTTAAATTAGGGGCATCTTAAAAATGTAAAATAATTATGGTAATTATTCCACTTTTACTTTGTGTAAATTTAAAATTTTGCCTGGGTAGCGGAACTTTTAGTACAACTTGGAACGCAATAATAGAATAAATTACAGGTGGCGTATTTTAAAGTAATATTTAATTAAGATAATTATAAAATTAAATCTAATTTGTATTGTGGTTTATTTTAGCCGAACGTGCACTGGACACCATGAACTTTGACATGATAAGGGGGCGGCCTATTCGTATAATGTGGTCTCAACGTGATCCTTCTCTTCGAAAATCTGGCGTTGGAAATGTATTCATAAAAAATTTAGATAAAAACATAGACAATAAAGCAATGTACGACACATTCTCTGCTTTTGGTAATATCCTTAGTTGCAAAGTGGCTCAAGACGAATCTGGTGTTTCCAAAGGTTATGGTTTTGTTCATTTTGAAACCGAAGAAGCAGCAAATAAATCTATTGATAAAGTCAATGGCATGTTGCTAAATGGAAAAAAGGTAATGTTATTTATCGTTGTAAAAAATATAAAATTCTCTTTTTATCGTTACGATGATATTCATATAGATGTATTTGATATTTAAGGTATACGTTGGTAAATTCATACCTCGAAAAGAACGTGAAAAGGAATTGGGAGAAAAAGCCAAGCTTTTCACCAATGTTTACGTAAAGAACTTTGGGGAAGATATGACGGATGATAAACTTAAAGAAATGTTTGAAAAATATGGGACCATCACCAGTCATAAAGTAATGATTAAAGATGACGGAAAATCACGAGGTTTTGGTTTCGTAGCTTTTGAAGATCCTGATGCTGCTGAACAAGCAGTGTTCGAATTAAATGGAAAAGAGGTTGCCGAAGGAAAGTGTATGTACGTCGGACGGGCGCAGAAGAAAGCGGAGCGTCAACAAGAATTGAAGAGAAAGTTCGAGCAATTAAAGATAGAGCGATTAAATCGTTATCAGGGTGTAAATCTTTATGTAAAGAACTTGGATGATAGCATAGACGACGAGCGATTGCGCAAAGAATTTTCACAATTCGGGACAATTACCTCGGCTAAAGTTATGATGGAGGAAGGGCGTAGCAAAGGTTTTGGATTCGTCTGTTTCTCGGCACCCGAGGAAGCTACCAAAGCTGTTACGGAGATGAACGGTCGTATAATAGCTACCAAACCGTTATATGTCGCCCTAGCTCAGCGTAAAGAAGATCGTAAAGCGCATCTTGCTTCTCAATACATGCAACGTTTGGCGAACATGCGAATGCAACAAATGGGCCAAATCTTCCAGCCTGGTGCTGCTGGAAATTATTTCGTTCCCACTATACCGCAGCCGCAAAGATTTTACGGACCTGCTCAGATGACACAGATACGTGCAACACCACGCTGGCCGGCGCAACCGAATCAAGTACGACCCAATGCGCAAACTGGAAGTTCTGGTTTCGCTACGATGCAGGGTCCATTTAGAGCAGCTCCACGTGCTCCTACTGCTCAAGCTAGTGCTATGCGAAATACCTTATCCGCGAGACCTATCACTGGTAATGATAACTTAATCGTCGATACCTTGATCGCTTTGGTTGAATCAAACTTCTTCTTATCGTTGACGCGGGACATTTTTCATTCTTTAATTCTAGCTTGCTTTAGTACGTTTGAAAACGTACAGTTTTTCCGCCTTAAATGTGAAAATTCAAGCGATTCTTTGGTCTCGAGTAACGCACATTTAACGCGGAACCACTGTATATTTATGTTATTGTTCGTATAAATGTTTTATACGACGAGAAGTTGATCGCAAGAGTAAGTTCTTGATGTCCAAAAACTAAAAACGTTTCAAGGTTAATCGAAAACCAAATGGTGAGGCCGACCTCTCTATTAAATGCGTACGTAAACTTAAGATCAAATTAAAACTATACTTACAGAACCTTATACGTAGTTTTAAAGTTGTATAAATATTGTTTTAATTTAATCTTGAGCTTACGCATCTAACAGTCCACCTCGGGAAAGAAGAGAACATCTGTTTTATTTAAACTGCAAAATACTAGATTTGACTAAAGCGATTAAGATATTTCTTAACACGAGCATCGACTGCAATCACTTTTATTGTTATGTAACCGTTTGAAGATAATGATAATAATTTTTGTTAATTATATTTGTATTTGCAGGTCAACAAGCGGTGGGCGGTGCAAATATGCAAAGTCGTTCCATGGCTGGTCCAGCAGTGGGAGTTTCAGCTCAAAGCCGTCCGTCAAATTACAAATACACTTCGAACATGCGTAATCCACCACAAGCAATGGCAATCCCTGCTCCTACTCCTGTTCAGCAAGCTGTTCATATTCAAGGCCAGGAACCATTAACTGCCTCGATGCTGGCAGCTGCTCCGCCTCAAGAGCAGAAACAAATGTTGGGAGAGCGTCTGTTCCCACTGATTCAGTGTATGTATCCGGCACTTACTGGAAAAATAACTGGAATGTTGTTGGAGATCGACAACTCGGAGCTCCTGCACATGTTGGAGCATAACGAATCGCTGAAAGCCAAGGTTGAGGAGGCCGTAGCTGTATTGCAGGCTCATCAGGCCAAACAGGCTGTGGCTTCTAAAAAAGAGTAAACATCTTATATTAGGCTATTATTTTATTCTTCCTTAATTGTTCTTAATGATGTTAATTTTTTTGTCTTCTTCATTCTGCGATTATCCTTGATTTAAAGAAATTTCTTCTGAAGCTTTACAATGGCTTAAGCGATTACTACGTGCAAGAATGACAGAAACAACTGTTGTTCGAAAACTAATAATTGATCATGAAAGGGTTTTTCATCAAGTTTTATGATAATAAATTTTCCTTTAAAAGTATTGAATGATTTTATTCCTACCTTAATCGTTACATTCGGAAATCTGAATGTTAATATTGTGGATTTTTGGACTGAAATTAAAATATGTAAAATAAATTACTGGAAGTGTCTTATATTGAATTTGACAAAATTCTTGTCTCGATATAAATTTTAAGTAATTGATAGAAAAATAAACAATGTTTGATTCGTTGTTTGTTCAATGAAAATCACAATCTGAGTAATAAAATCATTATACATTTCACGTTAAACGGATAAATTTTAATTGAATAATTGCTGAATGGAATTCGTGTTAAAAAAATTATTTTCGCTTGCGGGGGTCAATTACAATCATTATTGGTGAATAGACATACCCCCGAATTCCTGCGCGTTTTCGAGAAAAAAATTCGAGTAGATGCCATAATTTTTTGGCGAAAATAAAAAATTTCAAATCGTTTAAAAAAAATTATTTTTGACTGCGGGAGTCAATTGCAATCATTTTTGGTGAATAGACATACCCACGAATTCCTAACCATTTCCGAGAAAAAAATTCCTTACCGAAAATATAATTTCAGGCTAGGAATATTCCCTAAAATCTCATGCGTATCTTTAAAACGTCATAACTTCCGAACGGATTGGACGATTTTAAAGTTTAAAAATGCAAACAACGCGTATTTTGATGAAGAATATGTAGAAATTTTGAAAAATTCCGATAAGTTGTTCCTTGACCCCGCAAAATGAGAAAAACCCCATAACAATGGTTCAATTTTCAAACAGCGATAACTCCTACATTAGTGAACATATTACAATGAAACTTTTTTCTGAAGTAGAGCTCATGGGTACCTACAAAAAAGTACTAAACAACTTTTCCGTAGGACGTCAAACAAATTTATTAAAAATTAAAAACGAAGTTTTAAGAAACATCAACAGGGTTAGTGTATAAATTTTTCGGTGAAAATAAAAAATTTCAAGTCGTTCTAAAAAAATTATTTTTAGCTAGGGGAATTAGTTACAATCATTTTTGGTGAATAGACATACCCCCGAATTCCTAACCATTTCCGAGAAAAAAATTCCTTACCGAAAATATAATTTCAGGTAGAAATATTCCCTAAAATCTCATGCGTATCTTTAAAACGTCATAACTTCCGAACGGATTGGACGATTTTAATGTTTCAAAATGCAAATAACGCGTATTTTGATGAAGAATATGTACAAATTTTGAAAAATTCCGAAAAGTTGTTCCTTGATCCCGTAAAATGAGGGAAACCCCATAACAATGGTTCAATTTTCAAACAGCGATAACTCCTACAATAGTGAACATATTTCAATGAAACTTTTTTCTGAAGTAGAGCTCATGGGTACCTACAAAAAAGTACTAAACAACTTTTCCGTAGGACGTCAAACAAATTTATTAAAAATTAAAAACGAAGTTTTAAGAAAAATCAACATGTCTAATTTTTTGGCGAAAATAAAAAATTTCAAATCGTTCTGGAAAAAATATTTTCGGTTGTAGGGATCAATTACAATCATTATTGGCGAATAGACATACCCCCGAATTCCCACGCGTTTTCGAGAAAAAAATTCGAGTAGATGCCTTAATTTTTTGGCGAAAATAAAAAATTTCAAATCGTATTAAAAAAAATATTTTCAGTTGCGGGGATCAATTACAATCATTTTTGGTGAATAGACATATCCCCAAATTCCTACGCGTTTTCGAGAAAAAAAATTCTTTACCGAAGGTATAACGTGTGGCCAAAAATGTTTCCCCGAAATTTCATGCGTATACATAAAAAATCATAACTCCTGAACGGATTGAAGGATTTTAAAGTTTTAAAATGCAAACGACCAGTTTTCAATTTACATTGAATTAGTATAATTACCGTTAAAATACAGATATTAATGAATACATACATATAACGAGTTTTGAATCAAGATTTTTTAAAATTATTACATTCATTTCGCCTTCAATTCGTTGAAACTAGTTCGGTGGTACATTCTGGCATTCACATGGTCGAAAAAGCTGGTACCCATGGCCGCAGTAAAATTTCATCCTTTGTATTTCAGAGACAGCGTCCTTTGTTACATTTTTAGGTTTATTACCCCTCTAAGGGCCGCGTCGACGAAAGTCCGCATCTGTTCGACCATAATTGCCTTTTCTAAAGATGTTTATGCTTCTATTCGGTAAAATTAATTTCAAAATATGGCGCGTCTTATCCTTTGCAGGTAGACTTTATAACCACGAATAATTACGATCTGAACTAAATATTTTTTGCTGTTCATACCGTAAGGATTGTCGAGGATGATCAGAGCAACTATATAAACTATACTATTTAACATAAAGAATATACAGAGTGCAGTTCCTGCAATCAAAGTCGACGAACCTTCCTTATTCCTATCTGCATAATGATCTAAACAAAAGGCACGTTCGAGTCGCAGCCCAACGAACGTATCTCGGCTTAAACCTAAACACCTCACTCGATATCTACTCTAGCTTAGTCTCTAGCATTATCGGCGCCAACGGTCCCACGGTCCAAACACGTACACTTCTGACAATACATTTCATTTTACAAAATAATTTTTCATCTGTCGATACATGTTATTATTATCATCTTCGAAGACTTAATTTTAGCTTAATTTAACTAATTAAAAATGACAAACAGGATTACATTCTAAACTGTTCTCAGATTTTTAAATTTTGCACTGCTATTTAAAGATGGCTGTACAGCAGAAGCTATAGATAGCTACCTCGCCCTAAATACGACGAGACGATGCAACGTTGACTTCGAATAATTTTAATTCGTTTAATTTAAAAGTAATAGTACTAGACACATAGAACTATATTCCAAATTTTTTCTGATTTTCAAATTAAAAATTTTTTTAAACAATTTTGCACCGACATGTTATAATAATAAATATCGCTAGTATCGAAACTCCTTCAAATCCACACGTCGATTGACTTTTATAACTTGCCGTTCCGAACAGACAACGGGGAAAGTATCCTTTCTCCGTTTTCAGGTCAACGTTACAAAAACCAGACGGTGTCTGTTTTGCTTTAAGCTTGCTCGGTCTTGTCGCGATTTGCGGACCCTTTCCAAGCGGCACGCTCTTTTCTTCGCTTTAAAGTGCATTGTAAAAGTCCACATCTGGTCGACACGTGTCAGGGAAAACATGAAATCCCAGGTTAGAGTTTAGAAGAAAGCCTCGATTTATTGCTTTTACGATTATTGTTCTTTATACGTTTACAGGCTTATTCTAGAAACCGGTACAAGCTGTAGTTCTTTATAAAGCGTAAATACAAATCTATCAACGATATAATCTTTTGTTTAATAGGTTAATAGGAAATTTCGCATTACATGTAATATAATTAATATTATTAACAATTTTCGCGATTTTAGACATACAATTTTGATAAATTATATAAATATATTAACAACTATTTACTTCTATTATTACATTTCTATTAGTTCTTATTGTTAATTTTATTATTTTTTTTGTGTATAATTGTTTATTGAATAACAATTAGATTAAGAACGTGATCAGTATTTTTACTTAATAAATTTTAATAATAGCTTCGAAAATAATTATAATTTAATTAATTACTAGTCTAGTATCATATATTTTCAATTAGAATTACAAGCGTTTTAATATTCAAGCAATCGACGCTAATTTCATAATTATCAAATTTAAATATTTGAACCAAACTGATCTTGTTAGTAAAATGCTTGACGTTCGTTGAATATACCGCGCTTTCAGCCCTGACTGGTGATTGGTCCGTTGCAATGGCAGAGTAAAGTAGGGTGAACGAATCTAATTGGACGAGCGAGGTATTCCATATTACTTCGGGTTCGGTCCGAGTGATGATAGGTTCGTCAGTTGGTCTGCAGAGGTGTTATGGAGTGAGAAGTAGGGCTTCGAGAACGATAAACTGGAGGGAATGTTAGAATCAGTCGAGTTGTTATCAAATAAGAGTCAGATTTCGCATGAAGTGGCAAAGTGTGATCAAGTTACAACAAAAGTATCGTGACTTATTTAACGTGCGCGACTATTAACAAAGAAGGTATGTTCGGTTCAACGTACATATATATATATATATATATGTATATATGTTCACGTATAACTGTGGCCTAAATTTTTTGTGAAGAATTTCGTCGTCCTTAAAATTATTCTGTGGCTCTCGTCGAAAGATATTTAATATAAATTCGAATTTGTTCGTTCGTCTATACGTGATATCATCTGCTGCAGAATGTACATTACTTTCTCGTAATTCGGTATGCAGCTGTTGCCAGTGGTTTTTTTAATTCGAGTTTGTGTACTCGTTGCATGTCATTGGGAACTGTAATTGGTTTTATTAATTTTTATGACGTCAAAGTAACAGCGTATCCCTTTTAGCGGAATAAAATTCATAATATTCGCATCATTTGTTAAATTCGGTATTTTTTCCTTTCCTATGAAAATACGCAATTGAACGATGTCGCTACCAAGCAATTATATGTAGTTTAAATCGTCGCGTTTCATCTTGTAACTGGTATTAATGCAGCAATGAATAATATATTTACAAGTGTATGCTATTTTAAATTACAAGGATGTTCAAGTTTAAATACGTTTAGTGTTTTATAAGAAATATTTCCTCTTTGTTCCTTCGATGTGCAACATTCATATTGCCGAATTGCGTTCATTAGCAATTGTCATGCAAATGACAATCTAGATATTAAATTATACGTATTGAATGATTATAAAACTAATGTGAATATAGAAGTCTTGAAATATTCTTTCCATAAAGTTTAACGAAATAAAAAATTCTGTTGCTTTTATGTTGTAGGACATTTGATAAGGAATTTCGTATTGAAATACTATTTGACATTTATTTTTTTTTATCAATTCCTATAGTACCGATCTCATCGCCATTTGCCGGCATTGTTCCAATTACTATTTTTCTCGGATACGAATCTGATACTATCGTTTCTTATATTGTTGTTAATATATATATACATGTATTAATCGGTTGACAAATACTAGTTTATTGATACACGTTCTATTTTTTTGATCACATCCGGTATTGCTAGAATACTAATGTAAGATACAGAAGCGATGTTTCAAAGAATCATACTCTTTTGTCAAAACTTCACACGAAGTCGCTCGATGTAATACGTGAAATTAAATATATTTTTATTTATAAAAAACAATTATTTTTCTAACGCGCTATAAGGAACCAAATTTTGACCTTTTTTTCTTGTGAAAATATAACCTTCGATATTATAATACAACCGTGTTTAAGAGTCGTGAGTATGTTTTGAAAAATGTTTTGTAAAATGCTGTTTTACGCGTCTATTGTATAGAAAGAATTATATAAATTTATTACTTATAATTGTAATTATTTTTGTTATAAATATTTTCAGATTTTTAATTATTGTATTTACAACTTATACATACATTCTTTTCTTCGAACACACTAAAGAGTGGTGATGGACAGAGACGAAGTAATAAAAAATTTACGAGCATGTCTCATTTCTTCAAAGGGCGGTGTCAAGATAGACCACTTAAGTAGTAAGTAGTTAAATTGATAATAAATTAATACATTGAAATGAAATAATTTGAAAAAGTATTTATAATATCTCTATTTTGATATAGATTTTACTTTAATTTCATACCGTATTTATATAATACTAAAATACTAATAATAAAAATTACATTTTTTTAAATTTCCAACAAACTATCATGGTTATAATAAATTTACCATAAAGAAAACTTCTTTTCAAATATCATTTTAATTAATAGTTTTTGTTGTACATATAACTAATATAGAAAATTTATTTATTCTTCCGGCATGACTATTTTTACATTTACATTAACTATTTTGCAGGAGATTATAAATTGCTTATCGATGAAAATATACCGTTTCGAAAGTTTGGACATCAAAGTCTGGTTGCTTTTTTGCACACTGTTCCCGGTATTAAAATTACCAATAAAGGAGCAGATTGTTACGTAGAAGCTATAGCCACAGAAGAATCCGCACATATTTCTAAATTAATTGCACGACAAAAAACAGGTTCTAAGAAATCGAAAAAATTGGTAAATAATCGTCCAACTTTGTTACTTCTTTTTTTATATTTGTTTGGAATTAAATCGTTTAAACATTACTGTAGGTTAATGCTCGAAGGCCAACTCCATATCGCCAACCTATGGCGGTTAGAAGAAATCCTCCACGCAATGCAAGAAGTGGTAACGACAATTCGTGTTCGCAAGTAATTGGAAGGTAAATGCAAGTTACAAAATAAGAATACTATAAATAAAATAACAAAAGTGATAAAAGATTAATTTGTATTTATTTAGACAAAATTCATCGGTCCCCTCGATGGGAACAAAAATTACTATTTATCAGAACAGCGATAAACCAAGATTTATACAATCTGATTTTGGAGTACCGCCAAGCTCCCCAAGTAAAGTAAGTTGACATAAATTTTATATATTTTAATTGTGTTATATATATATGCGTGTATACCGTGAAATTCAGGCTGCTTGAGTGAAATCTATTGCTTTCCTGATATATGTATAAATTATTTATTTCAGAGACTGAACGATAGACAAAGAACTTCCGTTTTACCACCGAACCAAAGTTTTAATAAGCCTAGAGATGATTCTTACGTAAAGAACAATGGAAAGGCGGTGATGCCTGTGATAAGTCATAAACCAAAGACTGTTAACAACAATATGGAAATTCTTCCTAAAGGAAAATCTTCAAATATTAGCGAAAGACTCAAAGTTAATTCTAACATACCTCCATTGCTTAATTTACCCTCCAGTATTTCGCCACCTTCGCAACATGTAAAAGTGTTATCACCCCTTTCGCCCGGACAAGTTTTAGCAGATGATAATCAATTACATTTTCAACAGCCTCCAAGGAATCATTTGGTAAATATTATATAATTTATCTATGTTAGATTTTCTCTCATCTTTTAATACAGTCCAATTCCTGACTAAAAATTCTGTTCATCTACACTGACTCGACTCGTTGAACATAGTATATATACAGAAATGATTTTGTTTCAGATTCCATTAAATAATGCCAGCAAGATTGTGCCAAAATTACCATCTCTTGATCCAAGGGAGGAGTTGAGAAGGAAATCTAGTATATTAAATCTTCCAACACCAGTGTATCAAATTTGTCCTACAACGATAATAAATATGAAAGAGCCAGTTGTGTTCGCACAAGTTAAGGTTAGCGATAACATTATACTATTTGGTATTGGAATTTTATAGATAATATTATATTTATTGAAATATTGGTGAATATGGTCGTTACTTGAAAATGATTTAATTGTATGTTGTCTCCATATTGTTTGGTGCGGACCAAATGTTTACACTCGCACTAACAGATGACAAGTCCCTGTTTTAACTATTCTACTTTTCAGTTACTGTGTATTTTCTGTATTTCAGTATATTTACCGTTCCCGTTATATTCCGCTCTACTTCTCGGTTCTTTTTATTTGTTGGATCCATTATGAACATTTGCTCTGTCGTTTTTCTGCAATTTTGTATACAGTATTTCAGTATAAATTGATAATATTTAACAACGGATGTAGATATGAAAATGTACTTTTAGATTGGTCCACATGGATATTCAAGCTATCCGAAAGAAGCACGTTCTGAAGATGAAGCGCAGAAACTTGCAGCAACATTTGCCTTGCTTGATCTTACTGAAAAATATGGATCATTCTTTAAACTTAACGAAACTAAAAACAGAGATGTAATTAAATCTCGAATATTGTTTATAGTAGACGCTCATCCTAACGGTATCTTCATGCATCAGGTACCTATATATTATAAACAGCAATACAAAGAAATTTTACCAGGAGATTGGGAAAAAATTGTCGAAGAGTATCCAGCAATAGTTTTAGAAAAAGGTGCTGATAATTCAGTAATTCTGCGTCGATATGTATCATCCCCAGAGAAGGTAAAGCAATACATTCCATAAATTTTACATTACATTATGAATATACAGAGAATTACACTTCTATTTTTATACACGCCTCGACACAAGCATATGTATACTACTTATTAATAAAAGCAAAAGATAGTTTTTTAAGAGGAATTTTTTCGAGCTACTGATTTTTCAACTTTTTCATCCATAACCTCCTCTTGCAAAAGAAAATTTTCTGTGACCCTAGGATTGGATCCTAGTCCAAGTCGCAAGCTACAGTTTAAAAAGCTCTGGTTCAGACTATCAATTTCAGCACACTCCAGAAATTTTTCTTTCAGATACGAAATATCAGTCCGTTAAAAACAGATAAAATACAATTGCATCCAATTGGCCCATCTGTACCTGGACAATTGCAATTACCAGAGGAAGATTTCTTGCTTGTGTCTGTTACATGTGTTATAAGCACTGTCGAAGTGTGGGGAAGACTTGTAGGAGATTCGTACAGCGTATGTGAAATACCTTCTATGATGTTTATGCTTTTTTCCCTTCTCTTTAAATTTATTTTATGGTTCATGTGCAGGATCAATTTGACGCAATGACAACTGAAATGGCTCAACACTATAATGGAATACACAAGTCTGTTAAACCAATCGAAATTGGCAGTTACTATGCTGTTTCTGAGGACGACTCGTGGCACAGAGTTCGCTGTCTGGAGTATGATTCTGTGACCGGACTTGCTACAGTTTTGTTCATCGACCATGGCGATGAAGATAGTATCCATTACAGTAAATTACACGTATTAGACAGAAAGTTCTGTGTGCTTCCTGCTCAGGTATAATGAGGTTATTTTTTTTATCAAGAATCAACTTTTTGTGTATTGTAGAAAATTCTAAATATTTTATTAAATAATATATCAGGCATTAAGATTGTGTCTATCCGGATTGGAAGAGTTCAGCGAATGCGACAGCATTCTGAGCCAAATTGAAAAGGTTCTACTCGATCGTGCATTATTCGTTGAAATAATCAATCGCGATAAAGATGAGAGTGGACCATTTTTGACAGTTACATTTTATGATACTCACGGACCAGAAGATATTAATGTAAATTTAGAATTGTCTAAACAAATTTTGCATACGGTGACTGCCCCTAAGTTGGACGGTGTAAGTATTTGCTTAACGGTTGATCTATGCAAAGAAGGAATTTAATAAAAAGGAATTTTTGTCGTTTATAGGAGGAGCAACATGTATATGAAGTATTTATTTCTCACGTAAATCAAAATGGTGATATTTTTGTGCAAGTACAATCCAGGAGTATGAAGATCTTAGTCTGTCTATTGAATAGACTAATATGTACTGGATTAAACGCGGAGGAGCTGGAAAATTGTACCGTGACTACAATTGACTTTAATAAAACGTACTTTGTGTCGGTAAATAATAACTGGTACAGAGGAAAAATAATTAGCAACTCTTTCAATCAGTTAAAGGCATTTTTAATTGATTTTGGTAAGACTGTTATCACGGCGACGAGTAATCTTCTTTCTTTGGAAAGGTTATCCGAAGTATTGGCAAAATATCCAGCTCAGGTAAATGGAGAGCTATTTCACGACATTTGGAATTCTTGTATAATTTATTTTAAATTAATACGTGTGGTTTTTGTGTAATAGGCATTAAAGGTACTTCTTCATAACATTGATAAATCAATGTTCAATGAAAAGATGGTTACCAAACTTGCAGAAATCGCTCCGAAGGGTGAGCCACTTCTTATGAAACTTGTATCCTCTAAAAATGGTTTACAGGTCGTTGAATTGTTTAAGCGAATTCAACCAAGTAATATGCTCGTTTCTATCAATAATACTTTGGCTCTTGAAGACGAACTTATGAAGTATGTAAATGTACAGATAAACAGAATATAAACACCAGTGTTAATAATATTTAATTAATTAATAATCATATTATTTTCAGATCGCAGGGTGATGGAAATAATAATATAAAACCAAGGAAACGCATAGAACGCGTGAATTTTAAATTCACAGGAATTGAAGCAGGCGAAGTTGTAAAATCTTTAAAACCACCGAAAATCTCGGGTATCGGCGAATATTTTGACGTGCATGTGACAATGGCGGCGCATCCCGGAAACTTTACCGTTCAACCATTCGACGATAAGCGCTCTTTAGAGGTAATTATTATTTCAAGTTTGATACGTACCACGTTAGAAAAAATTATCAGTGGTTAAACATTTCATTTTTTATTTATTCGTTGTTTAGGTAATGATGATTCAGTTGCAAGAGGCTTGCCAATCGTATAAAGGTGTTACTCCAACTTTAGAATCAGTAAGAGAAGGAACGCTTTACGCGGCTAAACACATTGATGGTCATTGGTACAGGTATACATAAAAACAATTTATGAACTTATTAATATATTGAACATTATGGATAATTCTTACCTATTTTTAATCACTTTTAAGGGTGTGCATTTCAAGCATAATCAAAGAAGACACGGTCAGCGTTTACTTTTGCGATTTTGGAGACGTGTCGGTACTACCGTTAAGTAAATTACAACCTTTGAAAAGTCAGTTCCTAGAACTACCGTATCAAGCTATTAAAGCAAGGCTAGCTGGTATGTAATTGATTTCTTCTTTAATTTAAATTCAACTTGAACTCGTGACAAATACTTTGTACGTTTTATTAACAATTTGAACAGGCATTCAACCAACTCACGTTGACTGGTCCGTCGAAGATAGTTTAAGGTTTCAAGAATTGGTCGTGGAGAAAAATTTTGTATCGATAGTCGTTGAATCAAATTCTGACGGACTTTCTCCCGCTGATACTATATTGGGCTTAAAGTTGATAGATGTAAATACAACCGAAGACATTTATATCGATCGACTTTTAGTGGAAGAAGGTCGAGCTACATTCGTTGACTAAATTATCCGCATATACATACTAATGCATATTTGGATACGCGGTGTTTGAAAAAATAACGAGCAACACGAGAGTCAGCTTAATGAATTTCTGATTGTTGATACGAGGCGCGCGTGCTATCTTTAATTCTTTCTTATACGTGTGCTAAAAGGACTTTGTACGGTTTTAGCGATCCATGCTTAATCAGAATAGCTTGTATATAAAAAGTACCCTTTCTACTCATTAGTATTCGCAAAACACACATTTCAATGACTGGAAATCGAAACAAGATTAGAGGAAAGCTGTAAAGATGTACATATACACATAATAAGTGCATGAATGTGTGAGTGTGCGTGAGTGCTTGTTTACATTTGTTTAATTTCTAGATTTACAACGCCCTTTAGATATCGTTTTCTTCCTTTTTTATTTTTCTTCGAATAATAATTTATTCATCCATACTCTAAGAAATACATAAATATATCTAATAAGCATATATATTTTTTAGAGTAATTTCTTATGCGGTATAGAGTATCTGCATCTATGGTTTTCATATATTTTTGTTAACGTATTTTATTTTTTCGTATGAATTTAGTTATTTAATAACATTATTTTGTCACCCATTAGACAACAGTATGGTTGTACACGATCTGGCTGTGGTATATGGAAAATCACGGAGACGATTTGATGAAAATTGAGAGCATTCCATTTTTAGTTTAATCCGATGTACGTTTATCGACTATTATTTGTTTTCTACCTATACTTCTCCTAAGTTATCATATTAAGAAGTAGTACGTATCCTAGATTCCAATGATCATAGAACTATCCGTTCTGTATGTGATAAACAGTGTTTTGTTAGTTCATATGAATCTCCTTCTTATTGCAATTTATCCTCTATTTATACCGTTATTATTATTATCATATCGATGAAGTAATTTATCATATTTAATTAGCGACATTATATCCAGTATGTTGTACGTTTTAAAAATTTACAGTTTATTTTTAAAGTAGTGCGAAAATCATTATAATTCTCGTACTACAAGTTCATTTTTATTCGAGGAAGGTGACTTTATTTTTTCAATATTTACATTAGATTGAACACGTATGTATGCGATATTTCAGTAAAGTAACATTGCATGCATTAACGAACTATAATTTCTGATGAGGTGTATTTCCATTTTGTTAAATTGGTAAGATAATATTGTAACTTAATGTTATGTTGCAGTAAAATATTATTTTTGATAATGATAACTTGATAAAAGGTGCCAATAAATACTAATGTTTACATAAATATGTTATATCCATTATTTTACAAATTGAATGTTCCCCTTCTAAAGATCTGGACTGATCTAATCTACATTTATCAAAAGTATATTTTTAAAACTTGTATCAGAATATATTAAAAATTTGGTTAGTTTTAATTCCTTATAGGTTATATTTAATTCAATCGATATCGTCAAAAAGAAAAACGTTTATTGAAACATAATTACGACGATACAATTTTGGATTACAATTCGAAATACTTTATATATAACATGAAAGTTGATATATTATGTACTTGTGTTTGCAATAACATTTGTATTAATTGAGAAATAAAATAATATTTTGGCATGTATCAACTTAAATAGTACAGGGTAATCAATTTGAACTGTTGCAAAGAACAATATGGTGTAAGCTTGATAAAAAGGAAGACAATAGAAAATTTTAAATGGGGCACAATACGTACTTAATAGTTTTATTAATTCAAATATCTATCATTCGAAATGTTTTCGATAATAATGTACCTGTCGAAGTTATAACAAAATGGAGTATCGTAGTAATGTTGTACGTAAATCATAATTAATATGCAATATATGTATTGCTATATTAATACATCTTAACTGTAACGTGACGTACACATGTATTCAATATTCTATATCAAATATGTGTGTATATATGAATATTTATTAATATAAGAGAGAAATGGAGTATCGTAGTAATTTTGTACATCATAATTAATATACAATATATGTATTGCTATATTAATACATCTTAACTGTAACGTGACGTACACATGTATACAATATTCTATATCAAATATGTGTGTATATATGAATACTTATTAATATAAGATTAGAAATATTCATCGGTGAAATGATTGTATTCGATCTCGATATATTGTTCCGACATAATCGATCCTCGAATACATCGTCGAAATTACCAATGATATCAAGAAGCGTATCGGATGAAGGTTAAGTATTTTAAAAGGGACATTGGCACAGCAAACACGTTACGTCTCGTTTGTACACATCGATCGCAGAAATGACAAAATCACGGACTTAGGGGGATCCCCTTTGATCGCGGCTGCCATTGTTCGCACAAAAACAATCGCGTATCGATATCGGGCGTGTAACGCGTCCGCGATCGCTTTCCGTGTTTCCTCGATCATCCCTTCTTTTTCCGTTGCGTTAAAGAGGGGATGGAGCCAAGGTGTCTGACGTCAAGAGAGCCATCGCGCGGCGACAAGTACATCACACTCACTCGTACGAAGATCAGGTACCGACACGGTAACCGATCACGCTCGAGAGAAGGCGCGCGGTTTGTATTTCTTTTTTTTTATACCGTTGGCGTTTGATGCCCCCTCGCGATTTTCGGGAACACTCGCCATATTCGTTCGCCGCAGGCGGTCTTGATGCTGGAACGAACAAATCGCGCGGAGTTGCTCGCTCATCCTTGCCAACTGTAGACGGAAGTCGACAGGTAAGGCAAAAACGAAACGCGGTGACTTCGCTCGACGCGTAAATCTATTCTTTCCTTGGATCGTCGAGTAATTCAGTGTTTATCTTTCCTCTCGGTTGCTCGTGCCCGGTATCCGCGAACGTTTCGTAACGGACATTTTCAAATCCTCCGGAAACTATCGAGAACCGTTGATCGCGAATTTAAACCGAAAATCAAAGATGCATTTCTCGGTGATCGTGAGCACGTTCGCGTTCAGGTTACATAAAAATAAGAGTCTCTGGGAGTACGTGTCGACAATGTGTCGTTGGACACGCATTTTTTTGCGAATATCGAGGGGGACTACGATTCGTTTTCACGCGCGAACGATACTTTTTTTACGCGGAGAGCATGTCACCGCGGTTTCCTCGTTGCGATCGACGAATGTTTGTGCATAAGTGATCATGTCTGTAAAAGAGATAAACGTAAACAGAACAGTATTGTATACAGTGAAAGAGAAGGGGGAGGCAGTTGACTGTTGCGAACGATTCAAATTTTCGTAAGCGATAGAACAAAAAGGAACCCGACGGATGGTGATTGAATTCCGATGGAAGACGAAAATTGTCGAAGGGCCGTTCCGTGACGAATCGACCACCGGTTGCGCTCGATGTCAGGGATTTTCGTGAAATACGCCATAGACTGCGTAAAATTAGAGGAACCGGAGGGGTTTAGGTTATTGTTTCGTTGGTGGTTTGAATTTGTTTTAACGACGTTGAACATTACGACTTTTGCCTATATTTGAATAAAAACAGGTCGTACAAGTGATGATAAAATAATTTTTGTTTTCGAAATTATTAACGGTGTTCAATTTTCTTTTTTTCAGATTCTGATTTTGAATATTTCAAGTCGAAACGCTGACGATTAAAAATCTGGAAAATTATGAGTATATTCCTTGAAGCTTCTTTTGTTGAATATGGTTACTTGCGTATATATGTTTTATAATTGACATTATAATAAACTTCAGGTAATCGACCCACACGCTCGACTAACTATATCGATCTCAGGCTGTATTATTTGATTCAACAAACGGAATTAGCAGAGCAAAATACGTGAAAATATACAGGGTGTTCGGTCACCTCTGGAAAAATTTTAATGGGAGATTCTAGAGGCCAAAATAAGACGAAAATCAAGAATATCGATTTCTTGATTGAGGCATCGTTAAAAAGTTATAGAAACATTTCCGACCACACAGTATATTTTCGGTAAAGAATTTTTTTCTCGAAAGTGCGTAGAATTTCGGGGGTATGTGTCTCCATAAAAAATGATTGTAATTGACTCCCGCAACAGAAAATATTTTTTTCAGAACGATTGGAAATTTCTTATTTTAGCCAAAAAATTTAGACATGTTGATTTTTCTTAAAACTTCGTTTTTAATTTTTAATAAATTTGTTCGACGTCCTACGGAAAAGTTGTTTAGTACTTTTTTGTAGGTATCCATTAGCTCTACCTCAGAAAAAAGTTTCATTGTAATATGTTCACTGATGTAGGAGTTATCGCTGTTTGAAAATTGAACCATTGTTATGGGGTTTTCCTCATTTTGCGGGGTCAAGGAACAACTTATCGGAATTTTTCAAAATTTCTACATATTCTTCATCAAAATACGCGTTGTTTGCATTTTTAAACTTTAAAATCGTCCAATCCGTTCGGAAGTAATGACGTTTTAAAGATACGCATGAGATTTTAGGGAATATTTCTAGTCCGAAATTATATTTTCGGTTAGGAATTTTTTTCTCGAAAATGGTTAGGAATTCGGGGGTATGTCCATTCACCAAAAATGATTATAATTGATCCCCGCAATCGGAAATAATTTTTTTAGAACGATTTGAAATTTTTTATTTTCGTCAAAAAATCAAGGCATCTACTCGAATTTTTTTCTCGAAAACGCGTAGGAATTCGAGGGTATGTGTATTCACTAAAAATGATTGTAACTAACTCCCCTAGCTAAAAATAATTTTTTTAGAACGATTTGAAATTTTTTATTTTCGCCAAAAAATCAAGGCACCTACTCGAATTTTTTTCTCGAAAACGCGTAGGAATTCGAGGGTATGTGTATTCACTAAAAATGATTGTAACTAACTCCCCTAGCTAAAAATAATTTTTTTAGAACGATTTGAAATTTTTTATTTTCGCCAAAAAATCAAGGCACCTACTCGAATTTTTTTCTCGAAAACGCGTAGGAATTTGGGGGTATGTCTATTCACCAAAAGTGATTGTAATTGACCCCTGCAACCGAAAATAATTTTTTTTAAACGATTTGAAATTTTTTAATGACTTTTTAACGAAGCCTCGATCAACAAATCGATATTCTTGATTTTCGTCCTATTTTGGCCTCTAGAATCCCCCATTAAAATTTTTCCTAGGGTTGGCCGAACACCCTGTATATTTGAACCTTCACTCTTACATAATTTAACATTTATTTATTAATATTTTTATCGAATCTAATATAAAATTATTAATCCATATATTTTTTAAAGATTTCACAACTTTCCGGGGGGGAAGACGATTGTCCCTTTTTCGATTCTACTCCTGAACGTTGAAAAGTTTGTAAACGAATAAATATACGTATAATTAATTTAATCTCTCATCTAATTAACCGATTACGCGACGCGATCAAACATTTAGTCGTCAGAATTAATCGCTATTGACGTTAGTCGGTTAGTGAAATTAATCGCTCACGACGACTGGCGATTGAATTAATGGTTAATCACTCGCGACAATTGACGGTTGAATCAGTGGTAAATCGCTCACGACGCTTGCGACCATTACTGATCAAATTAATAGTTATCCCTCGTCGATGTCGCATTGAAATCATCGAAAAACATATTACTGAAGATTAAACTATTGTATTGATATGTTGCTTATACTTGCATCGCATTATACGTATATTTTATTACAAATTCAAGCGGTAAAGGCCAACAATTGAAAAGGTATTCGATGAAACTATAGAAATCTCGTTTAAATACTTAATATGAATATTTTCTCTCGTCCTAGGCTCGATACGCGATTAAGAATTGATGGAGTACAACGTAGCTGCAACTAGGAACTTTTTTTCATTGCTTTTGTGCCTTTAATCGACGACGATTTGAATGAAAAGATTAGCGGCGGACACCGGTGCCCGCCACGGCACTCACCAACGTTAAAGGTATAAATGGCGCCATTGAAACTGCTGCAAGTCCCGCTGATTCACGTCTGTAGGCTCTAATCAAATAGATAATACATATAGCATGAGATCGGTACGATCAACCGAGCTCGTGGCTCGATTACCTGAAACGGGACGGACCGTGGCTGTTAACAGATTATAACGATGTCGATTATAATACGGCCACCCTGTATGCAATCATAAAGGAGTATCTTGCATGACATGAAATTTGCAAAACAAGAATTTCTTTGAGATTTTCACGTTGCAGAAAGGACTTTCTAACGCGACAGAAAATTACGGCCAAACTTTCCCCATGTAAAGATAAACAAAATGTCAACTGGAGTTGGTATTAGATTATCCAGAAAATAACTAATTTCGCTACTAATTGTAACATGAATAATAATGCACGGTTTAAAAAAGAAATTTAATCGTCCGTTTGAACGTTTTCAGGCCCGCGTACGTTCGTAAAAATGGTTCCAGTGGAAACCAGTGAAAGGATGACTTAAACTCCGCCTAATTGTACCCGAGCTACCACTCTTACGCTTGTAGTTATTGAGAAAATTCGGATTAACGAATTTGTGCCTATTTCCCCTACTTAATCGAGTACAAAAATTATGAAAAAAATCTGGTGCATTGTGGTTATTGAGATACGCGTTCGAGAATTTTTTCCGATTTTTCGATTACAAATCCTAGGCGTGAAAAATTGAAAACGCAAAAAAACACAGAAAAATACGGATTTCGTATCGAAGCTTTCGAGACACTAGGTTTATATAATTACTGTAAATGCGTATTGTCGTTGGTTATCTCCCTGAATTTTTTCCGATTTTTCGATTCCAAACCCTAGGCGTGAAAAATTGAAAACACAGAAAAATACGGATTTCGTATCGAAGCTTTCGAGACACTAGGTTTATATAATTACTGTAAATGCGTATTGTCGTTGGTTATCTCCCTGAATTTTTTCCGATTTTTCGATTCCAAATCCTAGGCGTGAAAAATTGGAAACGCAAAAAAACACAGAAAAGTACGGATTTCGTATCGAAGCTTTCGAGACACTAGGTTTATATAATTACTGTAAATGCGTATTGTCACTGGTTATATCCCTGAATTTTTTCAGATTTTTTGGTTGGGTGTGCCGTAGTAGGAAAAATGAAAAACCGATTTTTTCCACCGAAATCCCCGACACGGAGCGCAACTAGCGATCGATCCGGCGCGTAATAATTCCCGAAACATTTTGGATAGACGTTCCCACGTCCATCGTGTACTCGATCGGGATATCGATCTACCGGTTCGCTATGATCTCGAGTAAAAATCGAATCCACGGTCCTCGAACCATCGTACCACCGCTGGGCGCGACGAGAAATTGGCTTCCTTTCTTAACAAGTTCTGGTTTAAGGTGTGTGAAAATGCCGGATACTAAGGCAATTGCACAGCTGACAATCACAACGTGAGCGGGGTTGTTCGTTTACGCGGATCATCCGGGGGATAATGATTACAGAACAGTCCTGGACCATGATGCTGGACAGCGATGTCGCGGGCATCAATGAGTAAGTATAACTCGAACTATTCTCAATTATTCTCTTTCTTGCTTTCATTCTCTCTCTCTCTCTCTCTCTTTTCTTCTTTTACTTATACGCTTAGAAAAAGAACTCTTTATATATATACGAAGAAGACTCTCTCAATTGTTTCGTTTGTTTAATGCGACACATCATTAACACAATAACACTGTTCGGTAAGTGTCACATTGTCAGGTGTAACGACAAGATTTCATGCATTTGGTGGTGTATATATACACGCTTGCATCGTACTACCCGCATACCGCACACTTCTCTGTTCACGAACCAATACGATTCTTTATTTCCGTCGGGTGGGATCGTTTGCAAAGCGACCGATCCGAACGATGGCCGCCCGAGGATCGATATGTAAATAGCCTAGCATTTCGAAATATGTGTGCACTGATTATTATGTTCGTGTCTATCCATTATGCCGCGTAACTTTCTTTAGTCACGACGATACGCACAATGGCGGCCACTTGAGGAGCAAGACCACTGTAAAAGCCAAAATAAAGCGTTTCTTGCGATTTTTTTGTGGGAGGATAGAAAAGTAAGAGAGTAATAATATTCAAGAATATTATAAATATCATTAAGTGTTAATAAAACAAATATTTGTTTAAAAATAGTGCAAAATGACCACTCTGGAGCCATTCTCACGAGACGCGTTGAATTTGAGGCATTTTGCCTCTGAAAACAGAAAATTTTCTCTTAATTTACGTGAGAATAGCTAGAGAAATATGCAGGGGATTTTTGAAACATTAATTTTTGTGTGATTGGTGAGTATTTTAAGTGGAAAGTTCAATTTTGTACGAAAAATGGGGCAATCATTTGTTAGTAAACAATATTAAAATTAACTTATCGAAGACGAGTTACCCTACGCATTTCTCTAGCTATACTCATGTAGATTAGGGGGAAATTTTTTGCTTTTTTCCCAGATACGAATTTGCGTCAATTACACTGACGAATTCGTCAGTTCAACACATCTCACGAAAATGGCTCCAGTGTTGTAATTTTGCACTATATTTGTGTAAATATTTTTTTTTTAACACTTAACAACATGGTTAAAGACATTCTTGAACATTATCCCCTTACTTTTCGCTTCATTCCAGGTTTTTACAGTCTTCTTACCCCTTAAGACCGCTCTGAATAGGTTCTGGTACCAATGGCGACTGCTATCGCATCGAATCAATTCCTAGTACGCGAATAATTAATTAAAATCGTGATAAACGAGGTAAACAGGGTAATTCCGATCAGGGAGGATCAAATAAGCTGGTTTCTCTCGAATCAAATTCTCTTTTTTCATGAACAGAACTGGGGATTCGATCATTTGACGAGTAATAAAAGGGTATAGCCGGATAAGATGGTCAAAACTGATCAGTGAACATATCAGTTAATAGACCATTCAAAGAAAACCATTTGTGTCAAATATCAACCCCGCACCCTTACTGAGAGGGTAGTTACAGGGCGTAACGCAATTTTCAGTTTAAGCTGTATATCTTTTGTTGTATCGTATAAAAGATTTTGAAAAAAATTGGGGGTATTTTGCTCCACGGCGTACGTGTTTGTGAATTTTTTCAGAATTTTTCACCGCAAAATGGATTTTTAAAAAATTCGAAAAGTATACAAATATTTTTTTTTAATAGAAATTATTGTTCGGGGAACAAAAGGCGTCCAATAATTAAAAAAGAAGAAACTAAATCGATGTATTAATTTTCTTCTATTTGAGTAGCTTTTAACTGAACTTAAATTAACTTGTATTTGAATTGTTCTTCTTTTATCCTGCGTTGATAATCAATACTATGTTAACTGGAGAATTTTGAACAGATAAACGATAACTTGCATCGGTGGATTAGGTCACTGGCTATTAAAATGAATTTGTTCTTATCTGTAGTGTTGTTTCTGTGTTTGCCGCTGTTTTATAGGTTTGGTCGTATTCTACATAATAAAATTATGTAACGAATATTATTTTTCTGCCCGTATCGAGGTTAATAAAAGCTGGCGGTCGTAAATATCCCGTGATCGGAATTATCCCCAACCTACCCTACATCAATAGTCTATATACACTAAAGATATGCAATATTCTGTACTATTAATATAAAATATGAGGAGTTTCGATGTTCCATAAGTAACGAAGCTGCTTGGAAACATATATATATTGAAAAAATAACAGTATTTATTAAACTCGAATACAGGGAAATATCAATGCAAAATAGACAAGAATCGTTGTGCTACGATTATGTCGATAACGTGTATCTTTGGATCATTTTTTCTTAATGTATTAGGTGTACATAGACTAACTGTGCCTTGATATTGTTTGTGTGGGATCGTTTAAACGCGAAGGTGACGATGTCGAAGAGTTTGTGTTACATTGAGGAGGGAAATTCTGTGTTAATTAGAATCAAAGTTTGTCCTACTGGGTGTTACACGCTACGTTGTTTTAGAATTTTAGACAACAGTTTGATTACATCTTGGATTTCTCTTTTTTGTTCCCGTTGAAACAGTCAAAGTGCTCTGGTTTTCAAACTTTTGTCTGAAACGATGTTAGGTGAATGCCAAGAAATCGTGGTTTCCGTGGAAACCGCTCAACATCGAAATTGTGTCTTAAAATGGTCTTCGTGTTGAGTTGAAACAGTGTTTTTGTACCCACAAGAATGAACATTCGTTTCTCATCCTACACTCGATGTACACGTACATTATAATTGTTTTTTTTTTTTTTTAATTTGTATCAAAACTGTAGTAAAAACAAACACTATTACAAGAGCAATCCTCTCTTCGACAAAGCGGATGAATTTGTGTTCATTTGCATAAATGTGATTATTGTGTCTATATTTAACAACTGAGATAGCTCTCATACTATGTGAAACACGTTGTATTAATACACACTCCTTAAGGTGTTCGAAGTTTCGTGTTAAATATCAGGATAGGCGGGAATATTAAGCTAAATATTTCGTACAATTTAATATAAGAATATTGTTTAAGTATTCGAGTACTGCGAACAAGTTTCGAATATTTGAGTACTTAGATATTATCGTTAAAATACTATATGTTGAATGAAAATCAAGCTTAAACAAGAATTACGATTTGGAGAAATTTATTTGTAGTCCATATCATCCTACTCAAATATTAAATACTACTTAAGTATTCGAATTATATTCGAAGTATATTCGTCGGATATTTGATCACAAAAGTGTTTGAATATTCGAATGATATTCAAAGCGTCGAATAATCGAATGAAAATCAAGTATTTAAATTATATTCGTCTGCTACTCGAATCGTTTAAGCGTTCGAATATTTGTGTAATCAAATGTTCGAATTATATTCGTTGGATACTCGAATTTTGTTCGAGTATTCGAATTATATCCAAAGCGTCTAATAATCGAATGCAAATCAAGTATTTAAATTATATTCGTCTGCTACTCAAATCGTTTAAGCGTTCGAAGTGTTTGAATATTCGAGTAGTATTCGAATGATATACAAAGCAATGATATGCAAATCAAGTATGTAATCAAATATTCGAATTATATTCGTCGTATACTCGAATAAATTTGTTCGAATATTCGAATTATATTCAAAGTAAATTCGTCGAATATTTGATCACCAAAGTGTCTGAATATTCGAGTAGTATTCGAATGTATTCGATATTCAAAGCATCGAATAACCGAATGCAAATCAAGTATTTAAATTATATTCGCTTGTTACTCGACTCATTTAAGCGTTCGAATATTTGTGTAATTAAATATTCGAATTATATTCGTCGTATACTCGAATAAATTTGTTCGAGTACTCGAGTAATTAAGTGTTCGAACGGTGTCATGTCTATGAGTAGACTGCGGATCTTCATGCAAATTCACATTATTATTAATCACTAAATATAATAATTCGTATCTTACTTTAAGTATTTCTTATATTTTTGCATATTAAATGCATTCTATAGTTTTTCGAGGATTAAAATTCCCCATAAATGCATAAACATCCGCGGTCTATCTATGAGTATTCACGTGTCAGTTAAATGGAGATGTTTCGTGATCATGGTTGTTTTAAATGTTCATCGTGAACGTGGTATATCGTGGGTCGCGGATGTCTAATCGAGATTCTGTGTGTTTGACGGTGATAGGTTGAGTATTTCCCCGAGGAAACAATTATGGATCAAGGCCGTGAAGAAGCTGACCTCCGAGAGGCTGGGCAGGGAAGGATTGGCGGCGTGGGAGGACCGGAAATCCAACAACGATCCGGAAGTTCCAGACCCTGAAGAAGAGCCCGAGCCTAGCGAGGATCCGGAGAACGATACGGACGTGGTTCTCGACGAGGAACCTGTCGACGCGGAAGCTCAAACACAGCGAGGTACCATCGATCCTATTCATTTAAATACACCACCAAACCTGAAAACATCATCCTTGAGAAGGAAAACAATTTTATTTCATTTACCTTCGAGTTCGATCTACTTTTACAAGATGGCAGACCACGAGTCCCGCTTGCTATTTTACAATTTGTAATTTGTAGCTGCCTAGTTCACTCCTTGCAAGCAGGCTACCTAGCACACTCCTTGCTAGCTAGCTACCTAGCTCACTCCTTGCTATCTAGCTATCTAGCTCACTCCTTGCAAGAAGCTAGCTACCTAGCTCACTCCTTGCCAGCTAGCTACCTAGCACACTCCTTGCAAGAAGCTAGCTACCTAGCTTACTCCTTGCCAGCTAGCTACCTAGCACACTCCTTGCTATCTAGCTACCTAGCTCACTCCTTGCTAGCTATCTACCTAGCACACTTCTTGGCAGCTAGCTACCTAGCACACTCCTTGCTATCTAGCTACCTAGCTCACTCCATGCAAGCTTGCTACCTAGCTCACTCCATGCAAACTTGCTACCTAGCACACTCCCTGCTATCTAGCTACCTAGCTCACTCCTTGCTAGCTATCTACCTAGCACACTTCTTGGCAGCTAGTTACCTAGCATACACCTTGCTATCTAGCTACCCAGCTTGCTCCTTGCTAGCTAGCTACCTAGCTCACACCTTCCAAGCTTGCTACCTAGCTCACTGCTTGCAAGCTAGCTACGTAGCACACTCAAAGAGATTGTCTTATCAATAACAATGAGGATTCGTTAAATAGTAAAGGGTTAACGTTTGAAAATTGTTTAATTTCATAAGACCACGAGTCCTGCTTGCTATTTTACAATTTGTATCAAAGAAATTGTCTTATCAATAACAATGAGGATTCATTGAATAGTAAAGGGTTAACGTTTGAAAATTGTTTAATTTCATAAGACCACGAGTCCTGCTTGCTATTTTACAATTTGTATCAAAGAAATTGTCTTATCAATAACAATGAGGATTCATTGAATAGTAAAGGGTTAACCTTTGAAAATTGTTTAATTTCATAAGATTTCATAAGATGGCAGACCACGAGTCCTGCTTGCTATTTTACAATTTGTATCAAAGAAATTGTCTTATCAATAACAATGAGGATTCATTGAATAGTAAAGGGTTAACGTTTGAAAATAGTTTAATTTCATAAGATTTCATAAGATGGCAGAGCACGAGTCCCAGTTGCTATTTTACAATTTTTATCAAAGAGATTGTTTCATCAATAACAATGAGGATTCATTGAATAGTAAAGGGTTAACGTTTGAAAATAGCTTAATTTCATAAAATTTATTACAAAAATCATAATTTTACATGAAACGTTTGCACATAAGATTTCCTTTAGGAAAACACATGAGATTTGCTCTCAGCGTCCGGTAGCTCTCATTTTAGCTCGCGTTGAAGAAACCTAAGCAGTGGGGATGAGCCTTGTTCATGAATCCGGGGTAAAAATTGAGTCTCTAAAGCAGAGATTACCGTGCATCGTTTCCTTTCAGTTTCCATGTTACCAAAAGAGAGATGTGTTTCATTAATATCGTACAAAATCTTCCATTAACATTTATGCTAAATGAAGCAACAATTCTTGCATCGCAAAAGCGATCGCGTCAACAATTTCGCGAATAAAATGCGAAACGCGAGGACGGTGGACAGTTCGGTGGTCGGTCGACTCGTAATAAAAATAAACATACTTTTACGCGCGATTCTCCTCATTTCCGTTCCATTTTATCTTATTTACAAGTGGTTTGGCACGCGTTGCTAATTTATTTTATACATACAGCCTTCGGCTATAAATACGACTGGATATTTTCAGATGTTTTCAAGAAAGGAGTCCTCTATAAGGGAATATTCTGCCCGTCGCTCTCCAACAGCTTCCACAGCAAGAATCTGGAGATCTCGTATCTGCATTACTCGAACCGTCAACGGCAAAAGTCGCTGATAATGCTCAATATCGTCGATCTCAGCCTAAAGGTACGTGAGGAATCGCTGTGTAACTCTGGATCCGTGATGCATGAACCGTACACAGGGTGTGCAAGAAAGTTTGTGCGGAACTTGGCGTGCATGTACGTTGAGTATGATCGAGTCCGTGAGCTAGAGCTCAGCTATACCGTGGCTTTCGCTTGTAACCAGCTTATTACCTCCTTCTACCCCTTCCCTACCTCCGTGTGTATCCGAATTTGTAGTAGAAACTGTCTGGACAGTGTTCTGAGTCGAGCAACACGTTGACTGCCACAGTCTCCTCAATATTACATTTTTTTTTTTTAGATAAAACGATTGTATTACTTCCTGCGCTACCTGTTATCCAGACACTCGGTATACGAATCTCACGCAAGTTAGACGAGCGCGTAAGAGTCGGGGAGCAGCCAAAAATTCTGTATCGAATCCTAAGAACAGGTTTCTAAATCTAACTCCATCGAGTGGCAGGTCGAACTCAACGAAATTACGTTATTATTGTTCCATTTATTCACTGGGGGGGGGAAAAATCCTTTTGATGATTCTCTGATTCAAGTTTTGAGTACTATTCATAGTCCGGTAATGGGACATGTCAGTCACAAATTAACTCGTACTTGGCAGTCAACGTGTTAATTGCGACTCGCTCGTAAAGTCGAAGTTCTACATTCGTGTGTCGTCGCGATGATTTAATAGCGTCGGGACTGTCTGGGTAGAATTCTCATCTTGCAACAAATTTCACAACGGATCAAATTGTAATCGTCTTTGCTCGTTTTTAGTTGGTAACCTCGAGTCTGGTGCATACTTCTCTGCACACTCCGTGGTATCGAATACCGGGGGAACTGGAAAAAATGCTCCTGGACGAAATTCACTGGCCAGCATCTTTGGAAAATGTTACTTCATTACTGATCAAGACTTGGTACTTCATAAACAAGAGTTCGAAGCACAATCTCAGTGTTGCAGAGGTCGAGTCTTTCACCCCGACTGGAGAATATCTCATTTACCAGTTTGAAAATGTTCTTTTGATCGACTCTCAATGTTCTGGGATCTAATCCAGGATTCCACGCGCTCAATTAACAATCAGAGAACTGTAAATTATGAATGGAAAGATGGATTTCCTTTCCACGCGTTCCAGGGGCATTCTTTGGAGTTTCTCCGTGTACAATGCTATTATGTTCGATGATTCTGTAACGCGGGACCGTGTGTAGATGGTACTCATGGCGATATGGCTGTGGCAAAGGGAGGAGGGCAGCGGCGGTCTGATCGAGTCGTTGTCTTGGGCGACTTGTTGCATGGCGGCGAACCTGCTGGTGTGCATACTCGGCTGGTGGCGGTGTTTCTCCAATAATTACTTGCACTGGGCTTCCATATTCACTTGGTTACTGATCAACTCGCAAGGTGACGATGCATTTCGTCGAAAACGGGATCGGTTCGAACGTTTAAAGTCGCGTCGAGTACCCCCCCCCGATAGTTTGCCACGTTACAATTTAACACTCCGGGGATACGTACGTATACACACACACATACACGGTCACAGTTCGTATCTCCGTTCACCGAATACGGTTTTGCTCCACTGGCTCGCGCGGTTGGCGGTCCAGCGAATCGCTCGAACGCCCAGCGAACCGTAGAGAGAAACTCGGTAGAACGAACCTTGTACCAGGCGTGGGCTACCATCGATTTCACGATCCTCGTCTGACCCAGTCAACGAAGTTCAAATGGAAAGAATAAATTGTAAAACGCTATAAAAGACACGGAGTCCAAGGTGGGATCCACCAATCGACGCCATCTTAGAAAATACAGCTTCAGCAGTTCCTTGCAAATTTTATGGTCATTATTATGGTAATAATTGTCTTCTCCATGCAATCGTTAACCCACGAAATATTTCCAAAATACTGTACATAAATATCTGTATCCATTTTCCAAGATGGCGGCGATACCACGATTCCAATCTTGTAAGACTCGTTCCGAATATCTCTGTCGAACTTCGAGACCTTTCTTATTTATTGTTTTTCACGGAAATATCGAGCCTCGATGGATACAGAGTGGATTGGAGGATCGAATCGTACATTGTTTTACGCCCGGTGTCGATTGCAGGTTTTATAGGTGCCGGTCTAGACTTCTCTAGCCAGCAACGTCTAATGTGGTACATTTTGTTTGTGGTGTACGCACCGTACGCCATGCTGCCGTTGCCATTGAGATGGTGCGTCCTCGCCGGTTACGGGACAGCTTTAACGCACATGGTTATGGCGGGAATAACGTTATTGCGAGACCCGACATACGTAAGAATCCCTTGGTCTACATTATTCCGTTTTCACCCCCCCGTCAACGTTCCCCGTTTTTCCTATTTTCGCGACGCTTCGAACCTCCGTTCGTTCATTTCTTTCTCTTTCGTTTCGATCAGCGAGACTCCGTGTGTCGTTCCAACTTGCAGCTTTTTCTATCTTTGTTCCCTTTTTTTTGTTTTTTTTTTCTGTTAAATACACGTCGTTTTGCTATTGCAGCTGCACGATGTCGCGTGCATAGTTCGAATGCTAACGACCAACGTCCTTCTTTATCTTGCAATGAATCTAGCTGGCATGTACACTAAGTATTTGACAGACAGAGGACAGAGGCAGGCATTCTTGGAGACCCACAGATCCATGGAGACCAGGCAGAGGACGCAGAATGAGAACAACCGACAGGAGAAGTTGCTACTTTCCGGTGAGGATACCATTTTTCCTACGTTTCGCGAGTCTGGGATCTGCGATCAGTCCTGGACGAACTAGTCGGTCAATATGATTAAGTTACACCCTTGCATTTGGATAAAAAAGAACGATTAAACGTTCGAGCATTAAACCTTTCCACCACGGTTACGTGGAAGATAAAAAGGACCAATTGATAGTGGAGATACGTGAAACGTGGCTTTTGTTAGGCGAAGATCCCTCCATCGAAACAAGATACAACAATATCTTCTTAATATCGAATATAAAATATCTCCATTTCTAATTACTTGGTTCTTCTTTTACAGAACTGTAGCGGAAAGGTGTTCTAAGTGTTCAAAATTGTACCTAGATATAGGTAATCCGAGAGACTTCAACTTTGAGTAAAAAGGCCCCAGTAAATTTGAAAATTAATAACGTTCCATGTATTGTTATCATTAGACTGCGGATCTTTATGCAAATTCACATTTTTATTAATAGAATTAGTGAAATCAGAGCTTTGCAGAGAGCTGTCTCAACCCCTAAATACACATAATTCGTATCTTACTTTTGCATATTAAATTATTTCGCATTTTGTAGTTTTTTGAGAATTCAAATTTCCCCTAAATGCATAAACATCCGCAGTCTAGTTGTCATCGTTGACCCAGAAACGGCGACACGTTTAAGTGGACGGTACCAGCCACGTAAGATGAACCGAATCCCTAAAATGACCCTTCCTTCTAGAAAAACTGAAAAACATCAGCCTACCTGATATAACAACAAAACAACAATATATTTAGTAAATCCTTTTGGAAGGACGTCAGCCGTAACTGGGTTAAGTTGCAAAATACACAAAAGGTTATTGTTGTATAAATTTACTTGGAGACCCTTTTTTTTTTTTGTTGATATTCGAGAGCCGTGGGTCGATCCGTCGACGGCGTTGAATGAGACTCGCTATTCTACGATTGCTCTCGGTGTGGCGTTTACGATGGTAAACCATAAATACACGCGGGTTTGTGTAATTATGTACGCGGTGCCGTTCGACAGGTATGAAATTATATTTACACGTGTGTCGAACGTGTCGCGTACAGTATATAAAGACGCCAACGGGGGTTGCGCCGCAACCACGGGGCTCGTCGGCGCGTGTAACTTGCTCAGCCGAGTGTCAAAAAGGGTCACTGGACACTTTCACTCGATTGCGCCAGATATGTTTTACCGATAGCCTGGCAGTACTTTGCTTTTCCATATTATCGATTCCACCGGCGATGATTCGTTTAGGGAAACCACCTGAAATATACTACGAAACGGAACAGAAAATTAAAGCAGCCCTCGTTTAGCTCAACCCCGTCCATTGCGAATCCGCCAAACGAAATCAAACTACCGAGAATTTCGATAATATTAAACAAATAGGAAGCAGGGGAAAGCAATGTATTTAATTTTAAAAGAACTACCAAATTTCTATAAGAACAGTCTGTTAAATTTGTAATTTTAAGGGGGCCATTCTACCTTGTAGGCACGAAAAATTGTACATGATTCTTTGTGAATTTTTTTTTGCGGGGGTATTAAAGAGCTATTAATTCTAGATTTTGTAGGTACATTTGTTGTATATTTAGCTATATTTATGAATTTTTGCAACGCATAATATCTATTGATTAAGCAGTTTTTCTTGATCTACCGACTGCGTAGGTAGTATTTTGCAAACGAGTTATTCGAAATCCAAAAACCAACGATATTTTTAATGTAGATAAGTTTGGGTATAGCATGAACTAGGATTTTTTCAAAAGAAAACACAAAATGGCAAAATGGTAGCTATTTTACGTAAAAATGCTGAATATTTTCATATATTCGGTTGTTTTTTTGCTAATAAAAGAAAAAGTATTGCATATATCGTAATTATCTTAATTAATGCTATAGAGAGATCAGTTCTAAAGACACTGTATTAATTTCATGTTGATATTTTGAATAGTTTTCATGTTATTGTCTACGCAGTGTCGAAAAATGTAGTTTCGAGAAAAACAGCTTTAAAGTTTCACGTCCAGTTGTTATACCTGCGCTTATAACTTCGTTAGTTTTTCAAATTTCAATTTAATATTTTGTAGATATATTTTCAAGACTACATACTAAAAGACAATGCAAAAAAAATTCGATTTTTTTAAACCCCACAAAGTAGAAAGGCAACTTAAAGTTTCACATTCAGTTGTTATACCTGCGCGTGGTACATCTCAACAGGCTATAACTTTGTTAGTTTTCCGAATTTCAATTTAATATTTGGTAGATCAATTCTCGAGACTACATACTATAGAGGAAAACTCAGAAAAAAAAAGAATTCGATTTTTTAAACCCCACAAAGTAGAAAAGCAACTTAAAGTTTAACGTCCAGTTACACCTGCGCGTGGTACATCTCAACAAGCTATAACTTCGTTAGTTTTTCAAATTTCAATTTAATATTTGGTAGATATATTTTCGAGACTACATACTAAAAGACAATGCAAAAAAAATTCGATTTTTTTAGTCCCACAAAGTAGAGAGGCCCTTTAATGTAACATGGCGGTATTATCGGTATTATATGTAACATGGCGGTATTGGCGGTAATATATAAGATGAAAATATCGATGATATTGTATGTAATGCGTGGCCAATTGAGATTTTGTAACGTTAAAAAGTGTTGAATGTCTGTTATAGTTTTGCCAGATTTCGTGGCCAAAGAAATGATCAGTGATATCGCCCGTGAAACAGCTCGAGGTGGAACGATCTCCTTTACACCCAATCAATTTCACAGAATATACATCCATCGCTATGAGAACGTTAGCATACTCTTCGCTGACATCAAAGGCTTCACCGGTACGTAGCCACTTGTTCGATACGTTGTGTCGCTGCGAAACATTTTTTCGTACTTCCGAACGGAAACTTCGAAACGTCGAGCTTCAAATGTAAGTGACGTAAACTGACGGTACGTAAACGACGTAACTATTCATACTATATATTCTCACACAATGGAACAGCGTTTCTTAACATTTTTTCTTTTTCTCGCGACCCCTTCTCATCAACGCGTAAAATCTATAATAAATCAAATTTGTAACAACGATCACTGTAAAATACATTTTTTATATAAAAATCAGTTTATGCGACCCCCAAAGCGGTGACATTAAAATTAGACTTCAAGATTAATTGTGCAACTCTCAGAAAAAAAACAAAATTGTATTTCATGGGAGTTTCGTTTCTTTTTAGGTTGAATCCAGTAGCGGATCTAGGAAATTATAAATAGATCGATAGTATCATAACTAAAGAATTAGTATACTTCGACCAAGGAGCATCGATTACGAGACACGGAGGCCACGGCGATAAATAAAACTCGAAAGGGGGCCGCGAGCCAAAAAGGGTTGAGAAACACTGCTCTGCATTAACCCCTTGCCCTACGATTTAAATCGAGACTCTGTGCGCCATAGTCATGCATCAAATATGTAGATCGTCATTTACTGTAGATAAAGATTCAAAAATTAATAATTTCATTTTTGTCAGACGAGGACCATAACTTGTATCACGAATTGTATTTATATTCGTTTACCAATATGGGGTCTGACTCGATGTCGTAAAGCAAGGGTTTAATTTCTCTTGCATCATTTTATATTTTTTCCCGATATTACAGCTTCGAAGTACTCATTGTTGATTCTCCGACTCGTTTAACACTTTGACTGCCATATATGGGTGACAAGACCTTCCCACTATGGAATTAAAACAATTTATTCTGAAATTGAAATTGAAATGTTAAATAAATTTATATAGGACGAAGTTTAACGTGGTTACGAAAATAAGTACCAAAGACAAAGTTTAAGTTATGCAGTTTATAGTTGCTTAAAATCCAAGTTTTGGTCTCGTAAAAAATTGTACGGTTTTGATGTGGCAGTCAACGTGTTAACACTACATTTACGGAAACCGTCAATTCGACGGAAGTCTGATTCCATATTTAAAATTTTAGAACGCGTAAATATTATTTTTTAACAACTTAAGTTGAATTTAATTGATGCACTGGCATGAATACATATTTTAATTAAAAAAAAAATCGTATTTTAAGGTAATCGTCAACACGAAAGGTATCGATAAATATACACGAATGTGCCAGTAGTGCGCCGACGCCATTTCGAAAATTATCCTACGCGTACGTTTATATGCAATTTGGAAAACGTTTCGCGATTGTTTTTGTGAATTATCGTTGCTGTAATTAGCATTTTTATTTGATCGATTCTTCCTGACCCTTTCAACGACCCCACGGTGGCCGCCATATTGGAAGCGTGCGTGAGGTAATCCGCGCGCAAAAATGGGTCAAAATCGCCCGACGAATTTTACTTTTCGCGAGAGTCATTTCGAAAATTATCCTACGCGTACGTTTATACGCAATTTGGAAAACGTTTCACGATTGTTTTTGTGAATTATCGTCGCTGTAATCAGCATTTTTATTTGATCGATTCTTCCTGACCCTTTCAACGACCTCACGGTGGCCGCCATATTGGAAGTGTGCGACAAAAATGAGTCAAAATCGCTCCATAGATTTTGCTTTTCGAGAACTGTTTCGAAAACCTGAACCTCGTCTTTGCAAAATTACCAAAATTATATTCTTCGCATTTTATCGTTCGGTGTGAAATCACGTTGCTTTTATTAGCATTTTAATTGTAACCTCTCGCTCTACCAGCGTTAATGGATTGTTTTGAACTTGTTTATCGTAGCGTTGGCCAGTCATTGTAGCCCCCAGGAGCTGGTCAAGGTGTTGAACGATTTGTTCGCCCGTTTCGACAAGCTGTCCGCGGAGAATCATTGTCTTCGTATAAAGTTGCTCGGGGACTGTTATTACTGTGTCTCCGGGTTACCGACCGCCAGAAGCGATCATGCCCACTGTTGCGTCGAAATGGGCTTGCATATGATTAAAGCGATAAGGGACGTGCGATACACTACTCAGGTAATTCAATTCTTTAATAATCGAGGCCACTTATCAGCAATAAAATCCAAACTACGGTCATCAGCGACCATTAAAGTCAGGATGGTCGCGTGTAAAATGTATTGATACGCTTTTAGGTCGATCTGAACATGAGAATAGGGATTCACAGCGGCTCCGTGTTGTGCGGTGTGCTGGGACTACGAAAATGGCAATTCGACGTCTGGTCCTACGACGTCACCCTGGCTAATCACCTGGAAAGTGGAGGAATACCCGGGTAAAGTTTCATTGTAAACCACCCATGTTAACACTAGAAAGACTGAAACTTAGTATATACCTATACATATTGCCCAAAAAGCAGTCAAAATTACTGCATTGGAAAAGAATAACTAATGTGCAAAGAAATTTGTTTAAAATTAATTTTTAATATCAGGCTTTAATATTATGAATTTAGGGCGCAAAAGAAATAAAATAAACAACTTGTTAGAACAAGTATCACTACATAAAGATTCGAATAAAAAGTACTACTTTAGCTTATTGAGAAACTGCAACTTATCAAGTATACGTCCAAATCGACAATTTATCATGTACTTGGTATGTTATCATGTGTTGGTAATCGAAAAAAAAATGAAAATTTCAATACAGAGCCGAACTTGTCAATAATAAGAGTCATTTGATTATTTAAAATTTCCCAAGCAGTCAAAAAGACTGCTTTTGGGCAATATAGGTATAACAGACATATATATACCGGAAATGAAGGAGGGGGGAGGTGTAACTACGATCTATCTATACTATTATATAAAGAGAGAGCCGATTTTTATGTTCGCGCAAAACTCAAGACCTATTGAACCGATCTTCCTCAAATTTTGATACGTTATTCCTGCATACTCTAGGACGGACATAGGATATGTAGCATGTCTCAGAAGCGCGTTATTATCATGTAATTTATATGCAAAGATTTCATGTGTACGACTGTTTGGCAGACCATGTGACCCCTGTATACGACAGTCTACTTGCGCATGCGCGTATTCGGCCCGCGCGATACCTCGCCCGTAGCAGTACTGCGATGTTACCGCCAGGTGGCGAAGCTTCTCGAGCCCTTTCTCGCGAGAGAATTGCATTATCGCGGATAGATATGTCAGGACGATCTTCTGGGTATAAATTGCTTTTGCACAAGGTCGGACGAAGCCGAGACGGGGCGTGCTAGTTATTAATAAACGCATTTATATGTTGTAGAAAAAGTCACAAAATTCTAAGAAATTGTGTGTCATTATATACATAATTCTTTTTCTAATTGAAATTAAAAAACAGTCAAAATTACTTCCGTGGGCAATCTGGTGTTAATGTCCCTGTGTACTTTGTTGGAGTATCGAATGAGAAATGGATGCGTTTCAGGCGGGTGCACATCTCAGAGGACACCCTGAACTGCTTGAACGACGTGTACGAGGTGGAACCAGGAAATGGTACCGAGAGGGACAATTACCTGAAGGAGAGGAACGTGGTGACGTACCTGATCAAGCAAGTGGAGCCTTTGAAGTCGAGACGAAGGTATTCCACGCGTCCCAAGGTGTTTTCGGAGGAGGACGCCGGGAAAACCAAGAAGAGTTTCAAGATGAACAACCCTCTGGCTGCTAACAGCAGCGCTCCAAACACGTCGACGGACGACGAGATCGGCGTGGACTGGACACCGGAAATTCCGTTCGAAAACGTGTGTATCTATTCATCAGGAATGTAGAAAATTCTGGTGTAGATACAGTGTCCTCTAAGACATCAAGAATAATTGATAGTTTCGTTTATACAGGGTGGAGCAATAACTATTGTTGGTTGGGGAATAAACTCGTAGCGTTTTTATCAAAGAAAAGATACAGGCATCCACCCACATGAAAAATGTTAATATCATCATGTCCCCCCCTCTGTACCGTGCAAGTTTTGTATATAAAATTTTGTAATATTATTACAAATAACAAAGATATTCAAGGTGGTCATTGCCCCACCCTGTATATTAATTAACTTCTTGCTTTGCAAGTACAATGATAGGCAAAACCAAACACACTGTTTTGTTCGTTTTTTCTTGAGACTGAGCCCCTAAATTTATCGTTGTATATTGTTTGTACGTAGTTGAACACGTCGTCGTCGGTCAGCAATTTGGAATCGGAGTATCTGGAGGAAGAGAACGGATCCGCGAAGAGCAACAAGGCTGCACCACCTGGGCTGAGGGCCGGCCTCGAAACAGCGAGCAACAAGCGTATGCGTTTGGCGAACATAAACGCCTGGACGTTGCGTTACAACGACGAGAGCCTAGAATCGAAGGTCGGCTCCACGTTAACGTATTTATTGCCTCTAGATCCATGGTAAAGATTCTGGTGATACAGGCAGTGTGTGTGTTTGCAGTTCGGCCAATTACGCGAGGATATGTTCAAGTCCAACATGATCTGTTGCTTCTTCGTCTGGATATTTATCGCCATCTGCCAAGCTGTTATCTTGCCGGAGTAAGACACGTGCACCGATATTACATTTCATACCCACGTTTGTTACGAATAACGTTTCAGATAGTTCTCGACTCTCGGTCGATTCGTTCGAGCCTTTGTTTTTTTTTAATCACGAAACCTGAGACGGCAGAAGAAGATTAAATACCCAGTAGTTCACTCTGGGATTCTTCCAACGAAGACAAATATCCAAACACGACTTAAATCAAAGAGTTATAAACTTCTAAACCGTTCTAATCTAAGGTGCAGACTCTCCATACTGTTCACCAAGCTTAGTTTTGATTTCCTGACCTGGTCTGCCTCTCACTTTTTACTGATCACGGTACTCGATGGATTTAGATAAACGCCAACCGCTTCAAGAGTGTCTAGCGTCTAAAAATAACCACGATACTTAACGAACAGCCCTAGTAGCTTCTCGCGAATTTAACGGGGAGCTAAGTCGAATCCTTTTTCTCGCAGCTGCACGATCCTCTTGCTCTCTCTGCTGCTGACAACGCTAATTCTGGTGGCGTCGTCCATCCTGGTGATGGCGGAGGAGTTCAAGAGTCTGCCTACGTACCTGCAACACGCCTCGTCGATGCTGGTGCACAACAAGCAGCACCGGACGATCTTCATATGCACGGTGATCAGTCTGATGGCGGTGACGTCGATCGTCGGCGTTCTGACGTGTCCAGCGTCCACGCGACGGTATCCAGAGGCTCTGGTCCTCGAACGCCAGCAGCAATTGACCACGCCGACGTTGCAGCCGGAACGACTAGTAGCGACCACTGTCGGTTTGGACCAGTTCATCCTCACCTTCCTGGAGACTGCTCTTCGCGACGAGCCTCCAGTCGAACGGAGGGACACGTCCCGCAAAGAGAATCACAACGCCACGAGGCTCTCCAACGACATCGAGACTTTACTGGCGAGGACTCTCAACGGAGGCTTTAATCCGGTGAAAGGTCGCGGAAGAAAGGAATCGTTCAGGTTTCGTAGTCGCGAAAGCCACGGATCCGTTGCAAAAGGCTGACAAAAATGTTCATCTCCCTAGTTCCAACTTCTTCAGAAGAAAATGTTGCATTTAGAACAGGGCTGCAGAACGTCAGTTCCAATAGCCAACGTAGCGTAATTGCAATATCTCTGACATCCCCACCACTAGTAGAGAAAGCTTTCATGATAGCCAAGCGTGGCTACTGGGTCCGCCAGTTATGCAGTTCTTGCTTAAAACACTTAACTTTATCTTGACAAAGATGTATACAGTTCACCCATGAGTCGACGCTATTAGTTTTGTGTCATAGACCTCTTTGCATTCCAATGTTTGGTCCATACAGAAAGCAAATAGCAAAGACACCATTTTTGCCAGCCTTTTGGGAACTCTGACCACTGTGCAGACCCACGCATGCAATGTATTATTGACAATTTGTTTGTAATAGTAGGGACGAGCAAGTTGAGACCAGGAAGACACGGTCGACGTTGCAGACGAAGCCTCAGGCTGAAGCTTTGTACTCCGCCGACTACGACGAGGACATCGTTCTGGGGATCACCTGTGTGCGACCCGAGTACATGGTGTTCACGTGGATCTTGTGCTTCATTGCTCTTGCGTCCGCTCTCAAGCTGTACTACCTGGTGAAAACGGCGCTGGCCACGATCATCGTGTCCGTCTACGCTGTGCTGATCCTCGTGGTCTGCAAAGACTTCTTCTCCATCCCCGACGAGCAGAGTTCGTGAGTCTCCCATGGATGTTGATGACAGTGCTACACCCACAAACCTTTCTCTGTACCATGCTCCTTCAGCTTAAGTTGTATAATTTATAAGTATAATTGATACATATTGAGGCATATAAATGTGTAGAGTCAGGCTTGTGGCGCTGCTTCGCTGCGGGTAGAATCTCGTGAGAATTCGTAGGAGGGCAGAAAAGGAAAGGAGGCCCTGCCTTAGACTACTGAGATATTGTGAAGTCGTTCGAGGAGTGTATATATAGCAACCGAGGGGTCGTGAGAGCGCTTGTGAGAGCGCGACCCCTCTGGTGGCGAGCATGGGAGGCGACGCCACAGGCTCATTTGATTTTTAAAATAGTTTGAATCTTGGAATGTGAATTCTTGGAATGAAACGAGGCAAACAATATTAGTTTCAGACCAGTTAGATTCAAGACATATAGAATAGCCTGACAGGAGAGTTTTGTGATTTTGTAGGCCCTCGATACCCCTCTCGGCGCAAATGCTGACGTTTCTGTGCGTGTTCCTGGTGATGGTCACGTACCACGGTAGACTAGTAGAAGTGACGTCCAGGTTGGATTTCCTGTGGAAGCAGCAGGCTGAGAGGGAACTGAGCGACATGATCGAATCGCGTCACAACAATATGCAGCTGTTGAAGAATATTTTACCTGACCACGTGGCTCATCATTTCCTGACGCAGGAACGAGCACCAGAGGTACTTTCAATCTAACGACCAAAACATTACCATTTTCTTACTTTTATGCTTTTTTTTAGGAATTATACTCTCAATCGCGGGACAAGGTGGGCGTGATGTTCGCCAGCGTGCCAAATTTCACCGAATTCTACTCGGAGGACGTGAACAAAGGAATGGAGTGTATTCGTTTGCTGAACGAAATCATAGGTGAACTCTAAACATTATTTACGTATCGATATATTCGACTAATTTTAAATCATTTTTATGGTCCCTTTCCAGCCGACTTCGACGAACTCCTCGACGAGAATCGTTTTCACTGCATTGAGAAGATAAAGACGGTCGGTGCGACTTACATGGCGGCTTCCGGTCTTAATCCGACTCAAAATGTAATCTTAAGTGACTCAATGCTAGGACTTCTGTTGAATTCTATTTTGTAAATGTCACGTTCAATGTTTTTATTTCAGGACAAAACCAAGGACGACATGGAGCATCTGTGCAGATTGGTAGACTACGCGGTAGCCATGCGACTGCGTCTCGAAGACGTCAACATCCACTCGTTTAATAATTTTGATTTAAGAGTGGGCATTAGCTGTGGCCCCCTTGTGGGCGGGGTGATCGGGGCACGGAAGCCTGTGTTCGACATTTGGGGCAACACTGTGAACCTGGCGTCTCGTATGGACTCCACAGGCGTCATGGGAAAGATACAAGTTCCAGACGAGATCGCTAGGGTAATTGCTAAATACATGGAACAAATTTATTTATTCTTTGCCGATTGGAACAAGAGCATTTCGGTTCTCTTCAGGAATACCAAGCTCCAAATTTACCCAATCGTTAAATTCTCCTCTGCATTGAATGTTATTACATAACTTTGTACTCCAAGAATCGTTTGTTGATATCAACGATTGGAAGGACTGTAAGTTTTGTAGCAAACAGTAACTTAAAATTTGTGTTGTGTATGTTAGTTCTTCCAAATTTACCAATCGTTAAATTCATCTCTGCATTAAATGTTATCACATAATTTTGCACTCCAAGAATCGTTTGTTGATATCAACGATTGGAAGGACTGTAAGTTTTGTAGCAAACAGTAACTTAAAATTTGTGTTGTGTACGTTAGTTCTTGGAATCGAGGGGATATCAAACACAGAAAAGGGGCCCCATCGAAGTGAAGGGTAAGGGACTGATGGAGACCTACTTCGTGCTGGGCAAAGGGTCCATGGAACAGGAGAGCTCGACGAAACACACGACCAGATGCCGGAGTCTCGCAGCTGTCGTTTATGGTGTCGTTCAAGCGCGTCGTAAGCAAATGCGAGCACTTCGAAGGACATAAACGTCGTAATCGTATCAGTTTTTCCATTCGATTTGTTGGGTGCCTAGTTGCGTAAAACGGTTCACCTTCGTCGAATTATCCAAGAGCGTGCCACTTAAAACGGACCATTTTATTCGTCCAGATAGTAATTATTTTTAATCTGTCTATAACAATTATGTATATTTTTAATTATCTTTTAACGGACATTCTTAAAACCAATTTTTAATATATTAAAACGAATTCAATTATTCTACTGTGGGGCGCTGCTGGGCTGAAGGTTAGGAAACTCGTGATTAGGGAACTCGTGAGAATCGTAGGAGGACAGAAAAGGAAACTTTACTCATCAGTAAGGCTTTCTAGCAGGCCCTGGGATATTGGAAAGTCGTTCGAGGAATGTATATATAGCAATCGAGGGGTCGTGAGAGCGCTTGTGAGAGCGCGACTCCCTCTGGTGGCGAGCATGGGAAGCGACGCCACACTACGTAGGTACACGCAGAACGTCTTTCTTATCTTCGAATATTAGGAAGATATTCCACATGGACAGTTTTAAGTGCCACGGCTCTTAATAAAATTCAAGGAACGACGAGCACTTACAATTAACATATTTACTGGTAGAATTGTTTCTTATCGAACGGTCGTCCAATATGTTAATTACATTCGATTGATGTTCACCGCTAGACCGATGTAAATTGACTTTGTTTCCGTATTTATAATTCCGTTACGAGTATCGTTATTTTCTGCTCGCTGTTATCTCATCGTAATCCTTTGGGGGGACGATACTTCCGGAGCGGGGTACTGAACGATGTTAATACGAATCCAAAAATTTTATTTTAATAAATTAATACTTCGTATCCGATCAATATTATACGTAAGAGTTAAAAAAAACTGTAAATACTTTACAGTTGCTGTGCTAATATTATGTAATATATACTACATTATCAATAGTATATTTGTTATATAATATTAATATCGTGTTAATACGTAATATGAATATATTAATATTTACAAAGGGCATGCAGTGCATTTAACGCTTCGAGTTGCGAGTTAAAAAATGCATTGTCGTAAGTATCTCCCAAAGGACTATAATTTTCGTACTGTTCGCGGAACTTTTAAAAACTTGACCATAATTTTAATACGAAGACTCGTACGTGTTGCATTTTTTCCCCGCGTCTATTTTAGTTTTGTTCTACGTTATGCTGGTATCGCGTACCGAGGAAACATAGATATAAGTTCGATGAGTGTAAATTTGTTAAAAAAATTGTGTTACATCTAGTCAAACAGGAAGGTATGTCATGTATGTAAAGTATGTAACGAACATGAAAGAAAACAACAAAGAATCTACAATTCCCTACTGTCGTTATCGTGTAATTCTAAACGGAATTCGAACAATAAACAACGGGTCGCCAGAAATTTTGCTCGAAAGAATATTATCCGTTCGATGTTTTAACAACGGAGTTGTACTTTTTTTCGTGTTCTCGCTCATTAACGATTGAACAGGAAAAATACCAACTATCAAGGATCATCAGGAATTGGTGTTTGCCATCTATGTCAGTTTCAGACAGTCGACAAAGGCAAACTGACGCATGCCCTCTCTCTCGATTCTCCGAAGCTGCCCGAAGTCTCTCGACTCCCACGAGACGTTCCGAAGTTACTTCGGGCAGCTTCGGAGGATCAAGAGAGAGCGAGCATGCGTCAGTTCGCCTTCGTCGATTCGTCCGAGCACACGTACGCGTGATCTGTCGTTGTGCGAGAAAGTGGAATGAGGTGTCCCCGGTGCACCCGGGGCTCCATCATGCATCTCTTTGCGTTCGCCAGGTATGAAATAAAATTAAACACAGTGGAGCATTTTTGGGAAAAGTCAATTTAATTAATAATTGCAAGGGCAGCAGCGTTCGTGTTGATAATCATAATGTACAGCACAGTCGAGCTCTGTGTAACTGTATATTACATTGTTATGGTAAACACAATATATTTTAATTAACCGTAATAATAATCCATGATAATAATAGTCGTAATGATAATAATAAGGCTAGCTACAGCGTGGTCCCCCGCTCGAAGAGACCACCCGATCCAACTGTACACTTTTACAACGTACTTCAATAATAATCTAATTACATTAATATAATTACCGTAATCATTACAATCTGAACCTAACTCGAAGAATGTGTTGCAACACGTGGGAGGGATCGCACGCCTTTGGTCCTTCGAGAAATCGATGGGACGTTTAAAATTCTGTTAAATTAAATAGAATATTTCTCGTTCGTTTATTAAATTGAATAGAATTATATAAATTGTTGTTAAATATTCTATACATTTAAGGAAGAGAGTCGACGCTTCGAAATCATTTCTTTTCCCCTCGAAATTCCGGGTGTGATCCAGCGCCGAAGCAACTCGGTATAAAGAGGTTAGAAACTTAACGTGCATCGATTTCTCGGGAGACCGAAGGGCGTCTCTTAAAAATTTCATTTTCCTTCCTTTCTTTTTCATTTACGATATAAAGGCACTGTACACGTAAACATACAATATATAGGAGGGCGCTATAGGCGGTCCAGATGTTCCTAAACGGTAAAACGTGCCCGTTGAAAAATATTATAATACGATCTTTTTTTGTTTCTTTCTTTCTTTAACCGTTAAGACGCTACACGCTTAAAATAGGGGAGCCGTTTTCCTTCGATTCTAGCTGCATTGGTCAACGCTATTCTTTTCGACATTATATTATTTATATATATATATAATATATTTATATATACACATATATATATAAATATGTATATATATATGTATATCTTAGACGTTAAGGAAAAATATAGATGACTATTATGTATATATCGAATGTGCAGAAATCACGGTAACTATTTAGGAGGAAATAATTGGTCAATGCGATCAGAAGTTAAGAAAACGCTCCGGGTTAAAGGTGGGATCTATTTTATCACAATTTGGCAGTGAACGTTCTCACGTTTAAAATACAGTTTTACAAGTTTTTCTTCTTTAAGAACTACAATCGCGAATCTCTATCTCTTTCCATGTGTTTTTTCCCCCCTCTTTTCTGCTATTGGCTCGCTACGTTTCGTTTGTTTCTTCTTGTTACGTTACAGACGTGAAAATTTGAAAATATTACTTCTTTACTACATTTCATTTTGGTTACACGGACAAAATAAATCCTTTCGATTTCTCGTGTCTGTTCGGTCAACATCGATCGTCCGTCAAGTACAGAGTGTCTCGAGACGCGTGCTGTTTAAAATAACGATCGCGTTGCTTATTTTTTACGCGATACTAGAGAGACAATTTTTATTCTAATCTTTATTTTCTTCGAATATGTACCAGACTGGAATATGTTCCATTTCAACCTAAAAGTAGTACACGAGAAAGGATAACGTTGTCTTTACAGCATTTTTATTCCGTCAAATTAGGTTGGACATTGTTTCAAACGGCACTCGTTCTGAGGCTCCCAGTATCGAACATAAACTTTTTCGTTTACATCGTTTAGCGAAAATATCATCTGTAATTTTCATGTTTCTTTTCCCTGTCGAACCACGCAATGTTTGTTTATGCACGCTCGTTCGCAGAGCTCCAGAAAAGAGTTCAAAGAGAGGTTAGAACGGTCCTGACATCTTTCGCGGTGATTCCCTAGTATCTTGTGCGCAATACTAAATTGCATTACTTTATAAAACCAATGTGACGCTACTCCACGGATCGTCGGTATCAAAATACGAGACTCCTATAGATCTGTGTACATACGTGCAGGATAAAACGGTCACGCGACCGTTACGTGATGCAAATTACTATACAATCCTGTTTGCTTGTTATTCCGATATTACAAAATGAAAATCAAATATTTACATCTACTTACATTCCGTTAAAATTAATGCATCCGTCGTGTTTCGATACAGTTCCTTTCTAAGGTTAAGTTATTTCTGGTTTTTTACTTTTGCTCAACCGAATCCGCGATTTTTATCACCAAAAGTAAAGCTTCGTGAAAGCAAGAGAATGAAAGTTTTTTGTAATTTTTAAGTTTGGATTCAAATCGACCGATGAATGTAAAGTCTCTGCAGTCCCATAGTTTTTAATTTAATCTATGTACGGTACTAGAGAAAGTTTACGTTGACTGGTCTGTTCTTGCGAATAGTACACTTTATATTCCTAACGTTTCTTTATGTTAATTCTTGTTTCTAACTTAAAACATAACACTTTTGCAGGCTGGTAGAAAAATCTGGTATATCGCTTTGCATATAAAAAACTTACAGAGTTATTCCTGAACGAATGATTGTTACTTTGTGTATCTTTATTCCCTAATTTTTCCATATTTTTTAACACGTAGTTTTATTAATGACACTGCTACCGAATCGTTCAAAGTTATATACTAGATTTTCAGATCATCCTGCAGAATATATACCTCTGCGAAATATGCTATCAGAGCAACATAAATAAAAGAAACTCAATTCCAAAGAAAACGATTCATTTCTATTACGAATGTTTGCCTTTTACGTTTACAGATATTTACTGTCGCCTGGGTCTGTAAATATCCATCTACCAATTTACGATTTTATCAATAATTGTTTACGCGTTCCTTTCGTTAGATTTCCGATAAATTCTCAGTCAAATCGTGGACCTGTTCGATCGCAAATAACAGGACACGTACACGATTCGAGAGAACATTTTTCTCGGTTGCTACTTTAAGTTTGCCTGTAAACGAAACGTTCCCATCGCAGAATCTTAGCAAATTAAATGTAATCGCGAACAAACTTGGACTGCCAGCGCCGCGGATTTTTACCGAACGAAACCAAATATCGGTTGTAGAACGTAAATATCGTTCCTGTATCGTGTCATTTTTTTAAAACGTTGCCTCTAACCCTTTGGAACAATCGGCAATGCGACAGTCTTTTTAGCGCGATCGAAATGGCGGCAAAGCACGGCGTATCGAACAGCGTGTTTCCATCCCCACTCTTTCTGCAGTCCGCTGATTGGCAGGCATCGATCTTCGTCACCGTTCTCGACCAATCCCCGTGAGTCAGCGGACTGCACAGGCGCGGGAATCTAAGCACGCTGTGCCTTCTCGTGAAAGGACAATATCTTTCTGAAACCATAACCAGGAATCGAACCAGAACTCTTGTTAGCTTTGTCAAGAAATTTCTTTGCGTGTAAGATCGAGGAAAAATCAACTGATTGCTCGAAGCCACTCTCCGCCATTTTATCTTTCGGTACGCGAAACGGAAAACGGAAAACGTTGAGATTCGGTCGGTTGTGAAAGTGTCCGTGGCCCCGAGAGCCGCCAGTTGCTTTTAACTCTTCCACGATTCTAACCTACGACATTGCGAATGTTCCCGATTCGTCGGTGACCAAGAAAACAACGTAGGGTTTAGCGGTGCACGATTTTGGACTACTCTCAGTTCGTTCGTATCGACTATCGAAGCTCTTGAGCCGTCTGTTCCGTTTTAACTTCGCGCGCTGATTACCTAATCTTACTCTTTACATTAAATATATTTATATATATATATATATTTATAATTTATTAATCGTTAGTCGAAGTTGTCAAGTCAGTTCGATATATCGGCAGAGGTTCACGGTCCGCTCCTCTGCTGCCAATATTAATCATATGCGTTGAGATCATTTTGAGTGCATGGATTAAAATACTCTTTATCGCGTACAGTCGGAAGAAAAATCAACTGGCTCGATCAAGGTTACCATTACGCGAAGTATATTACTTTTAACGTGTTACGAGGACAGTGGCCTTGAACGGCTAATCAATTTCGCGCCAACTTAGTTATCGTCGTGGATCGTGGCACCGACACGTTCCAGAAACCAGCATTACACACACACACACACCGCCATTCCTGTATATTACGTAGAAATATATATATATATATATATGTATATATTGCAATTGAATGGCGCAACGTTGTAATCGATCGCGCGGTATATAAAAGGAGAAATGCGGTTGATCGTTCGTCGTGAAACTAAACTCGGCGGAACTAGCATTTCTAGGATTTTCAAAAATACATCAGTCCCCCCCCCCCGATGATCTTTATTACCGACCTGTACGGACTATCTACTTCTGGGTATTTTTTTCTTCTTTTCGTTCATTTTCTCCCTTTCTCTCCCTCTCTCTCACACACGTTTGCGAAAAATACGTCTTTTCGGCAGAACAAGAATTGCATTTATTTATACACTCGCGGTAGGTATGATTTGTGTTCTCTCTTTTTCTTTTTTCTTCTTTTCTTTCTGGCACGTACATTTGGCGCTGCTAAACGCCAATGTGAATTGACGAGACTGAGTTGAAGGTACGTTTTATTTATTTGTTTCCATTCCTCTGACTTAATATACGATTTGCTTGATTAGACGATTATACATCAGCGTTTCCCAATTTCTCATTCCCGATATAACAGATCGTCGATCCGGAATTATCCGTGCACCGCCGTGTTAAAATTAGTTAAAATTCATCTAAATGTTCGACGATCGAATCAAGTTAAACGGTACATTAAAAAGACTCCGTTTCACACAATTCTTGTCTGTTCTTTGTCTAGTTAAATAAATCGAATAGATCAACAGCTTTCACACGATCGAGATCGATCGGAACGAATTGATTAGGAATTAATAAATATCTCTATGATTAAAAATAGTTCTATACACGATTTCAAATTTCTGATACACAAGTCTTCGCGTTTCTCTTCGTTTGCGAAACCAATAAATTGAGAAACGCCGTTCTATAAGCTGTTCGCAGCACATGTCCCCTCCCCTCCCCTCCCCTCCCCTTTTGCTTTACACACGATATATCTTAGTAATTGCTATACAAACCATACGTTTTACTATACAAATATGTTAGAGCCGCAATGACACAATAATTGATTCATTCTGAAGGAAGATATTTGTCCGGAATGCCACTGTACTGTTTTATATCCGTTTCCTTGTTCTGTTTTTCTTTGTTTTTCTTTTTATGTTCGAAATGGTAGAAAAGCGTAACGGTAATCGTTCCAAAAAAGACGTCAAGTACGATATGAAAACACTGTTTCTCGTTTGCTCGATGAATTTTTAGTCACTGGCAGTAAGACATTCGTGACCGTGCGAAATATCCCCGTTGAATTTCATAAGAAATCAATAATCGTCTCGATCCGCTTGTTTACAAAAATGTACAAGTATGTTTGAGCAGCTTCGCGTTACTTTACAACCGTACTCTAATCCGTAATAATAGTTAACGACAGCTTAATCATCTCTCAATCGCTTTGGACTAAATGTAATCCTTTAACATATTCGTAATTGGCAGTGAATATTTCCGTGATTTCGTACGCATTTCGTCCTCGTATTTTCTTTTTTCTCTTTTTGGATTTTCTTTTTTTTTTCTTTTTTTTTTTGGATCGTGATTCGAATAAAACAATAACGAAGAAAATTTTCTATACTCGCGGTTGAACTCGCAACGAATATCGGATACGTTTAAATGCTCGTTTCGCAGTCCCTTGTCGCGACACGAGGCTGATAAGAAACGCGGGCAAGTTCGTCGATAACTTATGTCCAGCATATACGTCTTTGTCGCAAATCTTTCGCACGGCGATGTCATCAAAGGATTACGTGTGATTACCGTGTAATTTACAAAAACACAGTCTTTTCTCGTTTACGTTTTTCATAATTTTTTCCTTAATTTTCAAAAACTTTACATACCCAAGAGCTAGACCAATTTTTTTTTCACACGTATCGCGCAATTTCGAAGTTAATTCGTGTATCGGTCGCTAACCTAAAACCGATCTGTACAAACAGTGCTAACTAATCGTCAGGATGTCCGAGACTTTTCGATCGCTCCAGTGACTATACCGAATATTGTGCGTGTCTTACAAAAATTAGCCATGGAAACGGTACGCAACGCATCGAATTTCTTTTTAATTTCTTCCGCTTTGTTCCTCCCACATCCCCCCCCTCCCCCATTTTTTATAGTAGCTCTCAGGTACCTGAATAATGCTTATCGTAAAGTTCCTTTTCGAACACAGAAATCGAACTGCTCGAGTCACTGCAGCGTGCCCAAGAAGTCCAGATATCTGTGTTGCATGTAGCCTCAGGAGGACTGGCTGGATTGAGCCGACGAAGATGTGGTTAAAGACGTGTGTAAAGAAAAACCGTCATAGACGTCCATTAAATCGCGCATTCTGTATTCTTCTAGGCAAACGAATCCTTCTAGGGATGGAGATTGTTTCCTTGCGCAGTCCATACAGTGCACTACGTGTCGTTTCTCTTGCTCCCTTATGAACAAGATGTTGAACACTTCGATCTGAAACAACATCGAGCAAAAGATCATTATAGTCCTTCAATTACACTTGTTTAACTCTTTGAGGCACCTTTGATACACTGTAATGCATCGTGAGGCATTTTTAGTCCCATCTCTAAATATTGCAATAGCTGCATGCGTATAGGTTTATATTTTGTCTTATTTACGTGAAGCAGTTGGTAATATCTTCAAAGAATGTTACAAATGTATTCACTTGCGTTGGCAACATTCAACATGCCAATACAGGTTCATCGATTGTTGCAAGCGGAAGGTTTATTGCGACAAATTTAATTAAACTACTATTTTTTGTTTAATTTGCAATGAAATTTCTATGCAACACGGGTCAATTTTATTATCTGAAATCCTGTGCCCCAAAGAGTTAACGTTAGGCTTTACTTTTATTTCAAAAGCAGTTGCTTGTACCGTAATAGTATAATTAATATTTATAAAATGCTTACCTCGCATTGCCCGCAGTAATGTGATGCTTCGTTCTTTCCTCGTCCATGGAACCGAACTTCTACACCCTTACTTTTTACAAATTCTAATATTAAACAGCATTGTCTCATTGTTCTTAACAGACAATTCTTAATGAGCTCGAACAGTCTCGGGTCCGACACTTTAATATTTCGTGCTAGATTCCAGGATAAGTGTACCATCGGTACAATGGATTTGAACGACTGCAATTTGTTCCACTCGTAGCGTTCAATTGCCAATTGGTATTGACGAGCTGTCAAAGGACCCACGTTCCATGCTATGTTGTTACACCAGCCAACGGCTTGCACCCAATGTACGCAACCTAACAGAAAATTCTACTTGTTTCAAATGCTTAATACCTTGGTCGCTTTAATTTTAGATTAAAATATTTATAGAATGGAAGTGAAAAAAACCGTTTACATGATTTACAGTTACTAGTTACTAGTTGTATACAAGCATTATTTGATAGTAACTGGAAGTCAGGTTAACGTTTTAATCGAAAACGTAGAATAAAATTACTTCGTTTTGTGGCGGGAAAAACGATTTCAAACATGTGTCGAGTACACGTGTACTCGATTATCTCAACTCGTCGGATTTCGTTATACATTATTTATATTTCTGTTTGCATTAATTCAATTCGATAATCAACGACATGCAGTTAATAGCTTAAAATTTGTTAAAACCGTTGTCCATTACGTAAAGTAAAGTTATTTTTTATCAACATGGCCGCGTATAAAAAATTTTATTCTATATTTTTAATTAATTTTCTTTTATACAGAATCGAGTGTTCTGTATAAGAAATGAACATTGGATAATTTGTAATAATTTGTAATCTCGCTCACCCGCGTTGACCCAGACAAGGTCGCCTGGCCTTTGAAGAAACCTGTACACTGGAATATTTTCTTCGTACAAATCTTCTAAAGATGGCCACCAACTACCGTGGAGATAATTGATGTTATTCCGCTCGCAAAGTGCACAAATCACGCCCCAATACGCGTCAGGTACTGCAAACCATTCGCAATCGCCGGGTCCAATGTTGATATTAATGGAACAAAAATTATTGTTCTCTTGGTGTCCAGGTGTCCTGCTACCAGGCACCTGTAAACAAAGGTATACAAAATGCACACTAAAAAGAAGTCTTATCGATAAGAAGAACTTATCGGTCGTATTACGATCATTGCACGTACCTTCATGTATAATTGAACAGTGTTCATGCCTAAAATAACGTGGCCAACGTGGCTGAGCATATTCCCAGCCGACACGACTCTGGTGAACGCCGGCAATTTCATCAACTCTTGTAGCTGCGGTTTCCATTTCCTCTCGTCCGATAAATCTACATTGGTCCCAAATCGCAACATCTTCGAGCCCGGTCGACCCGCCAATCCAAACGCGTTCTTCTTCCTCCTAACAGCACCAGTGCTATCCTTAGAATCCGAATCAGATAAATTCGAGGTGTGTATACCTTGAGCCTTCTCTCTCTCTTCCTTCAAGCTTTCCTGAAAGCTCGAGGCCTGGTACTGCGCGTACTTCGCGATGGTCGTGTGACTTCTGTGGCTGATGCAGCCCCAGACCTTTCTGCCCATCACGGGGTCCCAGTTCTCGTCGCTGGTCTGCTGCATCTGGGTCCTGACCTCGATACCGTGGTCGGGATTCGCCTCCACCAGCGTTTTCGTCGAGAAAAGCCCGAGGTCTAGCTTGAGCGCGGCTGCCAGGCCGCGTATCACAGCTATCGGATGTTTCAAGCAGAACTCTTGCAACTGCGGACTGAACGCGTCTTTCTTGTTCTCCAGGTAGACGCTGGGCGTCGGCGGTAACAGTTGTTCCTTGGTTAGCCTCTGGCTGGGCGCGTCGGGCGGCGCTGGGGGTGGCGAACGATCGCTGAGTATGGAACAGTTCGGTACGCCTTTCAGTCCCTGGCCCTTGCACGCCTCGATCAAATTCTTCGAATCCATCTCTATGCTGAGCTCTTGCTCCGGCTGCGACTCGCACAAGCTCTCCAATTTGAGAACCGGCTCGACGCGAGCGGATGGCTCGGACTTATTCGTACTCGACGTCGCCTCGCATTTCACCGTCTCCACCGTCGCGGTGGGCGTCTTCGCGTTCCTCTTCTCGTACGTCTCGAGTTTCGACGTGGACGACGGTTGGCTGTCGTCCACCTTCTCCAGTTTCACCTCTTTGATCTTCTCGTTGCTCTCCTCCAGGTTCGACGGCGAGAACGGACCCGAGCTCAGGGTGCCATTGTTGACGATGCTGGGCGCCTCCTCCTTCACGTCCAGGTCCTCGGAGCCAAAGTGCTTCAGCAGGTCCTCCGCCAACGACGTGGCGATGTCCTTCTGCGACAACAGCGCCTGCAGTTCTTGGTCCGTCACCCCCAGGTCCTTGTTGCCCGCGGAGCCCTCTGGATAGTTGCTCGTCGTCGACGATATCTGTGTGTAACCCTGGGCGGAGTACTGATTCGGCTGGTACTGGTTGTACTGGCCGGACGTCAGCTGCCTCTGCGGGAAGCTCGAGTCGGAGGCGGACTTGTAAGGCATTCCTGGCGTCTGGCTGTTCCCTGTCGCCGCCGTGTTGTAGCCCACGTTGGAATCGGAGAATCCTGTTTGCAACGCGACGGTCCCACCTTGCTGCAACTATGCCAAACAGGATGAGCGTGAAATGAAAGTGGAGCAGGTACATTTTTGATAAAAAAAAGCGGTTGCAATATTGACATTGTCTGTGAAGGGGAGATTAAGACTTGGACTCGATCAGTTTCTTTAAGGTCTATGATATCAATAAGCAGGCTTCGATAAAGGAATCGTCATTACCGGTTGTTGGGGTATTCCAAAGTTTTTGATGACCCCAGGTTGCCCTAACTGCGTGTGGTTGTATCCAGTGGGGTAACCAGGTTGTCCAGGCCTCAATCCCCTCTGCGCAGCTTGCTGTTGCTGCAGCCTGATCTGCTGCTGGTGCTGTTGCATGGATCTGTACTGGTGCTGCAACTGTGCAAGCAGTCCCTGCTGTTGAGGCGTCAGGCTCCCGTGATTCTGTTGGAGAAACTGTAGCATTTGTAGCTGCTGGGACGAGAGGTAAAACGGTGGTGGCCTTTGCTGCGCGCCTGGGGAGATTGGCTCCTCTCCTGGCTGAAAGGAGCACATCGATTGAAAGAAAAGCAAACTGACGGACGCTACCAATAATTCACAGGCTGCTAAAAGCAAGGCTCATCAAAGCTCACCTTGAATCTTTTTGTGTTTAGATTTTGTCCCTGGCCTTGCGGATAAGGAGGCGGCGGCCCAGAGGGCGTAGGGCCGTACTTGTAGCCTGGACCAGAGGGCGGTTGTTGCTGCTGTTGCTGCCTGCTAGACATCTCAGCGCTAATGGGCAAGTTCCAAGCCTCCTCTATAGACGGCAACTGCCGCCTCCTTAACGAAAACAGAAATATCACGCGTCAACGAGACCGATACATATCCCCAGGTTGCTCTTCTGACAATTACTCAAAATACGAATCGAGCGTTTTATCGCGACGACGGTTCTTTTTTGCGCAACACGAAAAACGTGGAACGTGTGTTCCAATCTCTTTCTCGTTTATCTCTCCTCGGGAACGATTCGTTCGTGTGGACAAAACAAAAGTGCTTTGGTGTGGAGTAATGTTACCAACGAGGATAATTTGTTAATGTCTCTGTACGAGTACCGTGAGACCCATAAACGGAAGTCGTGAGCAACGTTTTTTCAGAAAACTGAACGTTCGATTTATTTTGGTGGAACAGAAATGGCTGTTTCAAACAATTATTACCAGAATATTGTTGCGTTCAAACTAATATTGAAATTATTAGTCTTACCATCTTTATTTAATACTTGAGATACAAGCACGTTATACAGGGTGTTAAAATGAAACGAAAATCATGAATACCCATTTGTTGATGGAGGCTTCGTTAAAAAGTTATTAACGTTTACACTTCCGCCTATACTGAATTTTTTTCTCGAAAATGCGCAAGATTTCAGGAGTATGTCTGTTCACCAAAAATGATTGTAATCGACCCCCGCAACCGAAAATAATTTTTCTAAAACGATTTGAAATTTTTTTTGGTCCGTCGAAAGATTTCACAACTTCTCGAATTTTTTTCTGGAAAATGGGGAGGATTTTGAGGGTATGTCTATTCGCCAAAAATGATTGTAATTAACTCCCCTAGCTAAAAATAATTTTTTTAGAACGATTTCAAATTTTTTTTTTCGGCGATAAAATTCAGCACTATATCCCCTGTTGATTTTTCTTAAAACTTCGTTTTTAATTTTTAATAAATTTGTTTGACGTCCTACGGAAAAGTTGTTTAGTACTTTTTTGTAGGTATCCATTAGCTCTACTACAGAAAAAAGTTTCATTTAAATATGTTCACTAATGTAGGAGTTATCGCTGTTTGAAAATTGAACCATTTTTATGGGGTTTTCCTCATTTTGCGGGGTCAAGAAACAACTTTTCTAATATTCTTACAATTTCTACATATTCAACACTAAAATACGCGTTGTTTGCCGTTTGAGACATTAAAATCCTCCAATCCGTTCAGAAGTTATGATGTTTTAAAGATACGCACGAAATTTTCAGGGTACATTTCTGGTCACACGTTATATTTTCAGTAATTAATTTTTTTCTCGAAAACGTGTAGGAATTTGGGGGTATGTCTATTCACCAAAAATGATTGTAATTGACCCTCGCAACCAAAAATAATTTTTCCAAAACGATTTGAAATTTTTTAATTTCGTGGAAAAATTTTACACCTTCTCGAATTTTTTTCTCGAAAATGCGTAGGAATTCGTGGTTATGTCTATTCACCAAAAATCACTGTCATTGACCCTTGCAACCGAAAATAATTTTTTCAAAACGATTTGAAATTTTTTTTGTCCGTCGAAAAATTTCACACCTTCTCGAATTTTTTTCTAGAAAATGGGTAGGATTTCGGGGGTATGTGTAATGACTAAAAATGATTGTAATTAACCCCCACAACCGAATATAATTTTTTCAAAACGATGTGAAATTTTTTTTGTCCGTCGAAAAATTTCATACCTTCTCGAATTTTTTTCTCCAAAATGCGTAGAAATTTGAGGGTATGTCTATTCACCAAAAATGATTGCAATCGACCCCTGCAACCGAAAATAATTTTTCCAAAACGATTTGACAAATTTTTTTCCCCCTGCAAAATTTCAGCACATTCCTGATTTTTTTTCTCGAAAATGGATAGGATTTTGGAGGTATGTGTAATGACCAAAAATGATTGTAATCGACCCCCGCAACTGAAAATATTTTTCCCAGAACGATTTGAAATTGTTGAATTTAATTGTTAATAACTTTTTAACGAACCCTCCATCGACAAATTGGTATTCTTGATTTTCGTCTTATTTTAGCCTCTAGAATCTCCCATTAAAATTTTTCCCAGGGTCGAACACCCTGTATGATTCTTAAAATGACCCAAATTGGGGGGTCAGAAATATTAAATAAAGATTTTGCTCAGGCGTGGCTAATAACCTTATAATTACTATATCTAATAAAATGTTCGAGTAAAACTGAAAATGCAGGTTCGCTCACTGGTCGAAACAATCGGAGAATATGGTTTCTGAATGATTTACGAAAATAAATCATCGAGCACGAGGTATGAAATGCACTTGATGTGTTCTAACTCAGTGTCTAACATCGCAAAATCTACGAGGTTTTAAAGGTAGCTGTTTACTGTACCGAGTAATAAAATCCATGCAAGTAGAAATAGAAATCCCAGTAGCGGAATCAAACGTTAGAAAGGTCGGTTCGAAGAGATTAGTGATTTAGGTCAGCTGTCAAAACAAATCAATTTCCAATGTTGCAGATGCAATATTGATGTCTACTGATGCAACAACAAATAATTTCGACCGGGAAAATCAGCGTCGACGTACTTGTCTTCTGTCTTTCCAACATGTCTGCAATTACCGCTCAAAAATTTGGTACACACATTGCTGTTGTATTCATGATTCACGATTACACGACGGAAAACAAAACAAAAGATAATGCAGTCCCCCCATCGTCTTTCAATAAGTTTATCTCAGCCAGCAATAACATTTATTGTACAAGATAATTAGTTATACTCACGATTGTTTGCTATGTAAAACGAGGTACGAACTAGGAACCGAAATCACGAAGATCACGATCTTCACGAGCACACGAAATCCCTGTCGAAGTTAGAATCGTAATGGTCGCTTTGCGTAAACGAAACTTGTCTTCCAGACTTATTGTAGAAAAAAAAGTTATCATATCGTGCAGTGCAATAGACTGGTGCAGCGATACGAAGAAAGTGGGTCTCTTCTGTATGGGGAAAAGGTCAGGGAGGCCTGAAGCAGTGGTTCTTAACCCTGTTAAGGTCGACGTTACAATTTAGAACACGTAGAATATTCCAAATGTGATGGTAAATGATTCCAAATTTTTGAGCAGCAGCGTAAGATGTTTGAAACGACACAGGGCGGTCTGTCGTGATATTTTCGAGGATTTTAAGTATGTTAACGCGTTCTTTTCGTTGCAGTCGGCCACCCATAGGCGCTCGACAAAATCGCTCACCGTATACCATCGGCGCCTACAGTGGACCGTGTGCGTTGAACGCCCTAGGGGCGTTCGTCGGTTACATATGCTCAGTGCGTGAAACACTCATCCGCACGCGGCGACGACTACTGCACAGACAAGCGCGCGTTCTTGCACCGAAGATGTCCGCACTTAACCCTTTTCCCTGTCCCTGTCCCTGTTCCGCCGCTCAAGGCTGCTCCTCCCAATCACACGCTCTGCTCCAAAATTTAAAAATCCTTCATGACTCTTTCTTCTCAGAAAAAAAATCCATGCATCGGGTCGTACCACATGAAATTGCCATTCAAACGGATCAAAACGAGAAATTGCTATATTTGTCCTCTTCAAGAATAGGTTCCTACTCGATTGTTAATCATTGGCCAATTGGCGTGGTACTTACTCTTACTTTACTGCTTTCTATTCTAAACAGACGTTAAGAAACTACTGTAATTACGACTCCTAAGTCTGGCTGGAGAGCTTTGTTTCTGGATTAGGTTCCTTCGTAATTCCTAATCGATCCTCGTTCGAAAGGGATTTGGGGTTCTCGCCCGGACTCGGTTTACAGATTCAAATCCCTGGAACGAAATTTCTCCGACCAACAGTCTCTTCTGCTTGGTAAAAATTAATTTTTCTACCTGCTTTGGCTGCACTAGGTCTGAGTTTGAATCTGTGTGAGTTGTGTTTCTTCTCGTAGAAAGAAGTGAAGTATAATAGAAACAACTTAATGATCGAATAAAATTATAGACCACGATAGATGCAATGTTTAACTTAATCGCCAATTTCATGTAGTACGACCTAATGTAAGCAAATTTCCCTTCTATCGAGTACAAGATTGTTACATGAAAATATGTCTGTTTTAAAACAACGTAGGAGACAGCGCAGCGATCATTTCCTCAATTAGTTTGTGTCTAAGATCGGTGCTAGCACTGTACTCAAGTGAATAGAAAAGAGACTAACATTTACATGTAACTGAGAATTACAGAATTTGCTTTTTCTTTTCATTGAGAAATGTCCAAAGTCCTTATTTATGAGATTTATTTGAATTTCTGGGCCTCTTAGCCGCCTCGATATTATTAAAATGTATAGAAAAATTCCAAATTCCAAATTAATATACGGAGACCTCGAGACAATTGATTTTATTTGAATTTCTGGGCCTCTTAGCCGCCTCGATATTATCAAAGTGTACAGAAAAATTCCAAATTACAATTGATATACGAAGAATTCAGGATTGTTTAATTCCTTTTAACGAAAAGATAGCCCTTAGAGTATCAAATATATTTACAATCTGTATCAGTGAGCAATGAAGATAGTAAGTTGGACAGAATTTGAGTATACGAGTGTAATTTTGATGCACGATGACGTAAAGGTGACGGTAGAATGGAATTTAAAGGTTTACTGGGCGAAGAAACCAAACGACGCATGCTCCAATCGCGAACGAACCAACAAGCCGTGAAAAACATTCCATGATATGATATTATCAATGTTAAAATAATGTTTGATAAAGCCTGACTGATCCAAACTAGACACCCTCGAGTACTTTTGTCCACTAATCCGTTCGATAAATCATAGGTGCGTACAATAGAACCTAGATCATTACATTAAATCCAAGTACAGTACCCCTTTCGACAAAATGCTATATTTACCATTCTATCGCTATAAAATTATCATCAATAGCTTGGTGACGATGTCCCGAGAAGAATGAGTACAAACACGACCACATTTGGACCATTTGTAATTACTCATAATTTAAACATTACAAAAATTTATACGCATCCCTGTAGCGCGTAATAGATGAATCTAAACTTTGTTCAATAGCTTGGCGACGATTTCTCGAGAAGAATGAATACAAACATGACCTCATTTGGACCATGTCTAATTACCCGTAATTTAAACATTTTCAAAAATTTAATAGATGAATCTAAATTTTGCGTTCGCTATTGGTCAATAAAATTATCATCAATACCTTGGACCATTTGTAATTACTCGTAATTTAAACATTTTCAAAAATTTAATAGATGAATCTAAATTTTGCGTTCGCTATTGGCCAATAAAATTATCATCAATACCTTGGCGACGATTTCCCGAGAAGAATGAGTACAAACACGACCACATTTGGACCATTTGTAATTGCTCATAATTTAAACATTTTCAATAATGTAAATCATCCCTCTAGCGCGTAATAGACGAATCTAAACTTTGCTCAATAGCTTGGCGACGATTTCCCGAGGAGAATGAGTACAAACACGACCACATTTGGACCATTTGTAATTGCTCGTAATTTAAACATTTTCAAAAATTTAAACGCATCCCTCTAGCGCGTAATAGACGAATCTAAACAATGCCTTCGCTATTGGCCAATAAAATTTACTCCATCACTGTCTATGGTCACGCCCACCTCGAGCTTCGTTGGTTGCCAAGCAACCGTTCGTTTTGCTCGTCAAGGCGATGCAACGAGCGTTCATGTATCGAGGTTCTACTGTACGCGTGCGCCAAGAGTTTCGAGAAATGAAAAAATTGAATGGAACTTACTTGGTGGCAACGGAAGGCATCGGGGCTTGGCTCAAGTGACTCTGCAGGAAGTTTATCCTCTGTTGAAGAGATGGGTTCATCGGGGTGTTACCGCCGGACTTAGCCCCACCTAGGCCCGCCAGTGAACCCGTGCAATTCGGCGTGTTATTATTACCCCTAAAGAGGAAAAATATCGTGTGTGATTACACGATCCTTCGGACTCTGTGGATAGGTGAGCTTTCCACGTTCTCTGTCTCTCTCTATTTTTTTTTTATTTATTTTTTTTTCTCTTTGAATGCCAACCCATCATCGTTCGACTTACGGAATCGTTCTCGTTAGATTAATGTCTGATGCGCCATTATGCGGGGCGCGTACTATGGCAGATAAAAATACACAAAGTGGTACAATGAATACAATATACGATGGACGAACAAAGACTATGCTTGTCAACGAGCGTCTCGTTCCGTTCAACATGGTCAATTTTCTACCCAAATAAATCCACTAAACGTACTAATCAGCAAGCATATACTCTAGCAGGCGTTTTCGAAAACAGAACTATTTATCATTTGGTTCGTTACTGGCCCCGACAAAGGAAACGCAAAGCACACGAGAACTCTAAACGGACGAAATAACGTTTTTTTCGACGCTAAAATGGAGATACAGAAGGGGTCGATCGTAGTGATTCATTTCCGTTTATTTTAACTGAAAAATGTACATGTCGGTATACAGTATCACAGTCACGATGACGACAAAGGGTATAATAAATGGGGTGGAGCCGAAAAGAATGCACCTGAATGGAATTCAAATTTGGCTGAGACAAAAATTCGTGAAAAAAAACGTTCTTCTCTTTATTGGTCAGAATTTCTTATACACTGGGAATTAAATAGCATCGCTAATAATAAATTACGCAGTTTACGAGTCGAGAGACGACCGATTGTTTTCTCATTGTCTCTCGTGGCGAACATCGCTCAGGGACATTCTTTGGAGCTTCTTGCGATACAAATGATGAGATTTTCTTTTTCTTTTTTTTTGTTTTTTTTTGTTTTTTTTTGTTTTGCGATCTTTCGATGCTGGCGATGAAAGATGTTCACCTTTCGGAGTCGAACGTTTCATCGACAGCGTCGTTGTCGCGCTGCGACGGCAGAAGCGTGATTTCGCTCGCGTTCTGTCGGTTACTATACCTGGAAGCGTTGACGTAACAAGCTAGAGCGTCTTTAGGTTGGCTAACGCTTTCGTACAAAATGCCCAGATTCGTCCACGCAGCCGAGTGAGATTTATCTAATTGTACCGCGCATATATAGGCTTGCAGAGCGTCCATAGGCTGGTTCTGCTGCTGATAGAGGACCCCTATGCTGCACCACGTGTCAGCATTGCCTTCTGATTTTTCCACAGAGTTCCTGCAACGTCCCACAACGTCCTCCGTTAGTCACCATTTCGATCAGTTTCGCTAATTTTCAATTTCGCTAAGGGGACCATTCTACCTTGCAGGCACGAAAAACACGTGTTTCTTTGCGATTTTTTTTTGGGGGGCTATTAAACAGCGATTAATTCCAGGTTTTGTAGATACATTTATCATATATTTAGCTATATTTACGAATTTTTGCAACGTCCCACAACGTCCTCCGTTAGTCACCATTTCGATCAGTTTCGCTAATTTAAGGGGGCCATTCTACCTTGCAGGCACGAAAAACACGTGTTTCTTTGCGATTTTTTTTCGCGGGCTATCAAAGAGCGATTAATTCCAGGTTTTGTAGATACATTTATTATATATTTAGCTATATTTACGAATTTTTGCAACGCATAATATCTATCGGTTACGCTGTTTTTGTTGATCAACGAACAACAGTTTTTAGGAACGGCTGTGTATGTGATATCTTGAAAACGAGTTATTCGAAATCCAAAAACCAACGATATTCTTAATACAGATGAGTGTGGTTGTAGCACGAATTAGGATCTTTTCAAAAGAACAGAAAATGGCAAAATGGCAGCTATTTTACGAAGAAATACTGAATATTTTCATATATTCGGCTGCCTTTTTGTTAATAGAAGAAAAAGTATTGCAGATATCGCAATTATCCTAATTCGTGCTATAGGGAGACTAGTTCTAAAGATACTGTATAAATTTCATGTTGATATCTTGAATAGTTTTCACGTTATTGTCTACGCAGTGTCGAAAAATGTAGTTTCGAGGAAAACAGCTTTAAAGTTTCACGTCCAGTTGTTATAACTTCGTTAGTTTTTCGAATTTCAATTTGATATTTGGTAGATCAATTCTCGAGACTGCGTACTAAAAGACAATGCAAAAAAAAATTCGATTTTTAAAATCCCGCAAGGTAGAAAGGCCCCTTGAGGGAATATATTTTTTCTAATTTTTTTTCCCAACGATAGGTAGGCTGTTTCGTGCTGAGATTTTACAGATATATTTATTCGTCTCACAAGCATCTACAGTATTTTTTTCATCAAAAAATATTAAAAATTGTGAGAGTTATAACTTGTAACATATTTTTTGAGGTCTCTCTCACGCTGGTTCCTATTACGGCTATAATAATTGATATTTTTATACGAAATTTTTACAAGAAGTAGTTCAAGATATGTACTTTCGAAAGCATTAAACATTTGTCAGAGAAAGTTTCACAGTTACGTCCAAAAAATTCGATTTTTAAAATCCCACAAGGTAGAAAGGCCCCTCAAGGGAATATATTTTTTCTAATTTTTTTTCCCAACGATAGATAGGCTGTTTCGTGCTGAGATTTTACAGATATATTTATTCGTCTCATAAGCATCTACAGTATTTTTTTCATAAAAAAATATTGAAAATTGTGAGAGTTATAACTTGTAACAAATTTTTTGAGATCTCTCTCACGCTGGTTCCTATTACGGCTATAATAATTGATATTTTTATATGAAATTTTTACAAGGAGTAGTTCAAGATATGTACTTTCGAAAGCATTAAACATTTGTCAGAGAAAGTTTCACAGTTACGTCCAAAAAATTCGATTTTTAAAATCCCACAAGGTAGAAAGGCCCCTCCAGGGAATATATTTTTTCTAATTTTTTTTCCCAACGATAGATAGGCTGTTTCGTGCTGAGATTTTACAGATATATTTATTCGTCTCACAAGCATCTACAGTATTTTTTTCATCAAAAAATATTAAAAATTGTGAGAGTTATAACTTGTAACATATTTTTTGAGGTCTCTCTCACGCTGGTTCCTATTACGGCTATAATAATTGATATTTTTATATGAAATTTTTACAAGAAGTAGTTCAAGATATGTACTTTCGAAAGCATTAAACATTTGTCAGAGAAAGTTTCACAGTTACGTCCAAAAAATTCGATTTTTAAAATCCCACAAGGTAGAAAGGCCCCTCCAGGGAATATATTTTTTCTAATTTTTTTTCCCAACGATAGATAGGCTGTTTCGTGCTGAGATTTTACAGATATATTTATTCGTCTCATAAGCATCTACAGTATTTTTTTCATAAAAAAATATTGAAAATTGTGAGAGTTATAACTTGTAACAAATTTTTTGAGATCTCTCTCACGCTGGTTCCTATTACGGCTATAATAATTGATATTTTTATATGAAATTTTTACAAGGAGTAGTTCAAGATATGTACTTTCGAAAGCATTAAACATTTGTCAGAGAAAGTTTCACAGTTACGTCCAAAAAATTCGATTTTTAAAATCCCACAAGGTAGAAAGGCCCCTCCAGGGAATATATTTTTTCTAATTTTTTTTCCCAACGATAGATAGGCTGTTTCGTGCTGAGATTTTACAGATATATTTATTCGTCTCACAAGCATCTACAGTATTTTTTTCATCAAAAAATATTAAAAATTGTGAGAGTTATAACTTGTAACATATTTTTTGAGGTCTCTCTCACGCTGGTTCCTATTACGGCTATAATAATTGATATTTTTATACGAAATTTTTACAAGAAGTAGTTCAAGATATGTACTTTCGAAAGCATTAAACATTTGTCAGAGAAAGTTTCACAGTTACGTCCAAAAAATTCGATTTTTAAAATCCCACAAGGTAGAAAGGCCCCTCGAGGGAATATATTTTTTCTAATTTTTTTTCCCAACGATAGATAGGCTGTTTCGTGCTGAGATTTTACAGATATATTTATTCGTCTCATAAGCATCTACAGTATTTTTTTCATCAAAAAATATTGAAAATTGTGAGAGTTATAACTTGTAACAAATTTTTTGAGATCTCTCTCACGCTGGTTCCTATTACGGCTATAATAATTGATATTTTTATATGAAATTTTTACAAGGAGTAGTTCAAGATATGTACTTTCGAAAGCATTAAACATTTGTCAGAGAAAGTTTCACAGTTACGTCCAAAAAATTCGATTTTTAAAATCCCACAAGGTAGAAAGGCCCCTCAAGGGAATATATTATTTCTAATTTTTTTCCCCAACGATAGATAGGCTGTTTTGTGCTGAGATTTTACAGATATATTTATTCGTCTCACAAGCATCTACAGTATTTTTTTCATCAAAAAATATTAAAAATTGTGAGAGTTATAACTTGTAACATATTTTTTGAGGTCTCTCTCACGCTGGTTCCTATTACGGCTATAATAATTGATATTTTTATATGAAATTTTTACAAGAAGTAGTTCAAGATATGTACTTTCGAAAGCATTAAACATTTATCGGAGAAAGCTTCACAGTTGCGTCCAAAAAATTCTCGAAAATTGCCTTTATTTTCCCCCCTTGAATCCATATTTTTAAACTGACTTCCACGATATTTCAAGATCTAGCGGATCGATCGACTTCAAATTGGGAGTGAATACTCAACAGACATGCCTCTATCGCTGGAAGTGTAAATTAAAAAAAAAATAGACTTTTAAAGTGCTTCGAAAGGACAGATACGAACGTACAATAATCGACGACGTAATTTGACGATAGATCTTCGCGAAAAGCTAATAAAATTTTAAAGTTTGTATCCGTGGTAACAGTGTTGTTATAAAATTCGCGCGGAATCGTTTTTGAAACGTTAATGACGGGGTATTAAGCTCGCTTAGGCATTAAAACCGAGGACTGGACAAGACGCGGAATCGTTCGGTCTAAGAGGCTTATAGCATCCCGGTTTGATGAATGAATGCAATAATTTCGAGATTAGCGGCTCTTCGCGCCGGGACACGTTACCTGTATGCGATAAATGCATCGTGAACTTTTCCAGAAGCGGCAAGGCAACGGCCCAGCAGGTAAAGGCTTTGCCCACTCTTCGGTTCCGCCTCGATAGACTTTTGCAGGCAATGAATAGCGATCGCCTGCTTCTGCTGTCTCGTTATACCCAGCACGGTACAGTCAACAACGTGGTACATCCATCCTGCAACGACAAATCAACCAAATAATCCCGTGGATCCTCGCAGAACCTCGCGCCTTCCAATCGTCCATTTTCGTATTTATCGCGGAAAAATTTAAGTCTCGGTAATCCACAGAATGCACTTGATATGCACAAATACAAGAAATACGTAAGATACTATTATATTTGGGGGTTCAGAAAACCCTCTAAAAAGCTCCCATTTCTTAATAATTAACACAGATATCAATTTGCATAAAGTCTGCTTATAACACTGTAAATATCTTGCAATTAACAAGCAACACTTGTCTCTGGGTCTACATGGTAACTGATAAAAAAAAGTATATTTTTAAAGTTTCTATAGCCAATGGAAACTATCATAATATCGTATACAATTTAAACTTTATTATATGTGACTTCTTTCGTAATAACAAAATAAAAATACAATTCGTGCACTCGAATTTTAATCCATCGATAAACCGTAATATTCTTCAATCTTCGATCGAACCCTCGAGTGGATTGAATTAATAAATGAAAATGTATGTACCCCTCCATTCACTATTTGATTTCCATTTACAAATTTGTTAAAAATAAAATAAAATAATTCGAGTCGAGCTCGAGAGTCCCCACTCAGTCCATACACGTGTACACATATAAAAAAATAATCATCGATCGATCGAAAACAAAACGAATATTCGTAGCACGTGTTGCTGGATATCGTCGCCGAGAAGTATCTACCGGGTGTCTACCTGGCGAAATCGGGTCCAACGACGCGATACTCCCTAAACCACGAAACAATTCGAGCAAGAGTAACTGGCTGGGGATTCGCGAGCGGAGACGAAGAAGAAGTCCAGGGGCCGGAACGTTCCCCGTGGATCGCAGGAATGGAGGACGTGTTGCCTCAACACTAGACGAGTACCGAACTGAATAGATTTTCGCAGGTATAGCCTAGGGTAGCCACTTTTACCCCACTCTCCCTTCGAGGCGGTCTCGAATTACAACCCTCTATAAACATAGGCGTAGAAGCAACTGTGGAAGCCTTGTATCTCGTGGAAAACGGTTCCACCAATCGAGAACACGGTTCCCATCGAATGGAAACGCGCCATTTCCCCAGGAATAATTTCCATTTTTCTCGACGGCGATTCGCGAGCCACGAAAAAGGAAATTGAATCACGTCGGTTTCGGCAACGTCCGTTCTCTTTGGCCCAAAGTAGGTGGTCGGTTATGCGTGTACGTGCCATCCTTAAAGGCAGCTGTTAGCTGTTAGCTGTAACGGTACACCTTTATTTTCCAGTTCTTTCCTTCATTATTATCCGCCTAGACCTGCCTCGACTGCAAACCTACCATCGTTTACGCCTGCAAGTCTAAATAGAACTAGAAATGATGCCTGGTGATTTCGTTTACAGCGAATCTGAACCATATTTGTAATTGTTACTGACTGTATATCTCTTTGTTAATTCGATAATTAATTCTATTAAACGTTTGGACTTTGTATTGAGAGTAGAAGGTAAAGGTGGTTAGATTAAATATTTCCACCCTTTATAACACTCTGAATAATTCTATAGGAATTCAAGAATTAACTAATAATTATATTGAAGGGGTAAATTCCATTTTTCTACTGTAGACAATTGCAACAATTTTAAGTATTAAATTCAAGAATTCAAGAATTAGATAATAATTATATTGGAGGGCTAAAAGTGATTCCATTTTTCTAATGTAGATAATTGCAACAATTTTAAGTATTAAATTCAAGAATTCAAGAATTCAGGAATTCAAGAATTAGCTAATAATTATATTGATAGCGTGAAAGTGATTTCATTTTTCTACTGTAGATAATTGCAACAATTTTAAGTATTAAATTCAAGAATTCAGGAATTCAAGAATTAGATAATAATTATATTGAATGGGTAAAATTGATTCCATTTTTCTACTGTAGATAATTGCAACAATTTTAAGTATTAAATTCAAGAATTCAAGAATTCAGGAATTCAAGAATTAGATAATAATTATATTGAAGGGGTAAAAGTGATTCCATTTTTCTACTGTAGATAATTGCAACAATTTTAAGTATTAAATTCAAGAATTCAAGAATTCAGGAATTCAAGAATTAGCTAATAATTATATTGATGGCGTGAAAGTGATTTCATTTTTCTACTGTAGATAATTGCAACAATTTTAAGTATTAAATTCAAGAATTCAAGAATTCAGGAATTCGAGAATTAGATAATAATTATATTGAAGGGGTAAAAGTGATTCCATTTTTCTACTGTAGATAATTGCAACAATTTTAAGTATTCAAATTGCAATTGTAACTGCCTGTATATCTCTTTGTTAATTAAACATTTGCACTGTGTATTGAGAGTAGAAGGTAAAGGTGGTTAGATTAAATATTTCCACCCTTTATAACACTCTGCATAATTCTATAGGAATTCAAGAATTAGCTAATAATTGTATTGAATGGGTAAAATTGATTCCATTTTTCTACTGTAGATAATTGCAACAATTTTAAGTATTCAAATTGCAATTGTAACTGCCTGTATATCTCTTTGTTAATTAAACGTTTGCATTTTGTATTGAAAGTAGAAGGTAAAGGTGGTTTGATTAAATATTTCTACTCTTTATAACACTCTGAATAATTCTATAGGAATTCAAGATCCATTTTTCTACTGTAGATAATTGCAACAATTTTAAGTATTAAATTCAAGAATTCAAGAATTCAGGAATTCAAGAATTAGCTAATAATTATATTGATGGCGTGAAAGTGATTTCATTTTTCTACTGTACATAATTGCAACAATTTTAAGTATTAAATTCAAGAATTCAAGAATTCAGGAATTCAAGAATTAGCTAATAATTATATTGGAGGGGTAAAATTGATTCCATTTTTCTACTGTAGATAATTGCAACAATTTTAAGTATAAAAACGACAATTATTATAGGTAGAAATGATTCTATTGAATACTTATGTTTTCAACTTGATCGTTGGAAGTAAAGTGAAAGCTGGAAATTACAGTTTTAATAACGTCCATTACAACACTCTACACTCATCAATAGTCGATACACAATTCTCAACTGACTCGTTTAAACAAACGCGATCCATTTACGTCGCGATTATTTATTCCCACCTTTTCGTGTTGCAACAAAGAAAATTAAACGATTAAAATTGCAGGTAAATATAATAATTAATTTGAAAATGATAAAAATTCGTGAACGTTTGTAAGATGAAATTTTCACGGTGCAATTTTGTATTATTATTTAATTTACCGCGAACGAAATCGAATGAACGTCCTATTCGAGAATTTATTTGTATTACCCCAGGATACGCTTCAATGTAAACGGGACGTATCTTAATTAGGGCTGTTAATTTCCATCGGTACGCGAGGTCTCTTTATTTTATCATTTTGCAATATCACGGTCGGGCGCATTTTCCGACCACTCGACGCAATTTTAATCGCAGTAATTTTCGCGTCTCCGCGCCGCTGCACTCTCTAAATTAAACACGCGCCGTGGGAAAACGAGAGTTTTGCAACAAGTTATTACACAATCGTAGAACGCGATGCTAAACGCGCGGCGATTCCAAATGGAATTAAGTCGCTCGGTCTCGTAAACCGGCCGGCGAAATTAAAGCGTCCGCGACTATGCTCTAATTGTCATTCGCCATTCATGGACAACGATGGAAAAGCTTCCACGAGTCACAGAACGTTAGATCTTAAAACACTTCCAACAAATATTAATGGTAAAAGAAAGGAATCGTAAGGTTCGTGTGATCGATTTAAAATTAATTGAACGTAAAATCAAATTCAATTCCCCAAATATTAGATGTGTTTTCATAGAATTAGACAGAAATATTTTTGGGGGGTTCAGAGTTTGTTCGACGACTGTTATAGTAATTTTCTTTAAAAGTATCGTCGAAGCGAGTCTCGTTCGTCTTCCTATTGACAGAAAGGGAGAATCGTAAGGTTCGTGTGATCGATTTGAAATTAATTGAACGTAAAATCAAATTCAATTCCACAAATATTAGATGTGTTTTCATAAAATTTGAGAGAAATACTTTTGGGGTGTTCAGAGTTTGTTCGACGACTGTTATAGTAATTTTCTTTAAAAGTATCGTCGAAGCGTGTCTCGTTCGTCTTCCTATTGACAGAAGGGGAGAATACGATTGTGTAATTGGATTTACGTAACACGCGTTTCACCCTACCTGTCCAGACATTAGCTGTAATTAATTCAATTAATCGAAATGTTATCTCGAGCGTGTATAAAACACTATACGGTGAACAAAGCATTTACTTTGCTTGGTGAGAGTATATAAAATTAATTTCCAAGGGATGAGCACAAAGAAGATCTCGTTCTGATAGATTCTAAGCATTTAATCCATACTGTCTCGAGCGACTCGAATATCACGATATTCTGTGTTAATTCACTCTTGAAAGGTTGTACGGGACCAAAGAAATCCAAATCATTCCTATTGACAGGCGATACAATACGATTAATTGGATTTACGTAACACGCGTTTCACCCCACCTGTTGAGGCACAGTCGGCAACCATTTACCCTCTTCGAGCCATCTGCTAAATTGCTCCCTTAATTAGTGCTTCAGAATCTCCAACAAAATTTCCACGACCATACATTTAAAAAAAAAAATAATCAATTGTTTCGTAACACTTGATCAACAGGTTCGCTGTCCATGATCCGCATACGGGTCACAGTGCCACGCTTTTGGATACGACGCTGAGAGAACGGACAGTGAACGTATGTGTCTCTAAAATATTTAAAAAATTAAATATGGTAAATACTTCGAGGTAATCATTGTACTGCATTCAGAACGTGTTTCTAAAATATTTCGTCAGAATTACAATCAAATTACATATCATATGATATATCGAATTAAATCGATGTCTACGATAGTTTCTGTTTCATTGAATCATTGTACTGCATTCAGAAAATAATAACCCTAGAAATGATTAACCCTTTGCAGCACACCTATGTCGAGTGTGATTCGAAATCAATTTTTATCTCAGGAGCTCCTTT